GCTATCATAAAACAAGACTGCCATTGGCAAGAGCAGGCCTTTACGAGACTATTAAGCCGTTGCTCTTGTATTTCTATCGTGATTTAGTATGGTTTCCATTCGCTATTCTTTTGCCAGCTTTTGTGTTTTTGCAGGCTCTTTACTAAAGCAGAGTCGTGATATGGTATATTATGGTATATTTTATAACTTTTTGTTCAAACAATGATTTACAAAATATGATGATCTGCTCATATTACGAATACGAACAGATTACGAAAAGAGAAGCAAATTGAGGGTTTCTATATTCGTTCTTTATGTTATCCCAGCACACGTTCAGACTCACAAACTTGCAGACTCGCCATTTGCTGAATAAAGGCAAGAAGAGGTTGTAAAGTACTTTACATGCCTACCTGAGAAGAATCAGAACTTTTTCCAGTAGCGTCTTTCAGATTGCTGACGTCTAACACGAGAAAGGGTCTGTATTAGCAAAATGAAGTCAATAACCATTAAAGTAGGATCAAGATAGAGGCAAGTTCCAGTCAACGACCATTTGCAATAAGAAAGGAGTCTAGATTGCAATGAAAAAGAAGGCAACATAACAAGGTAAACAGCCCTATCTATGTCAAATGCAAAATATGCGCGATTTTTCAAGAAGAAGGATTACCGTAAAGAGCTCCTTTCGTATTTAGCTTAAATAGTGTCACAGTTAAGGATACTTCCAGCGCAATAACTAAATTCTGATAGAGTTGAGAGCAAAATCAAGAGTGACGAAATCAAACCTATACATAGTTGAGCATAAATTAATCATATATAATCGATTTCTTAAAAATAGAGAATTTTCGGTTGATTTTTTGAGATAAAACAGGAATATTCTTATCGGTTTGTCAGAGCATGTTTTCGAATTTCCTCCTACCGGTATATCCTTAAAGGCCGCGTCAAACGGTCAGATTTTTCATAAGACATTCACCAGAAAATAAAATTGATGAATATTCAATAGTTGAATATAACATAATTCCGTGCAAAATTTCTACACCCTTTGACAATAGTAACATCTAAAGAATATTTGTGAAAAACTCTAATCGTGTAACAAAGCCTTCGTTCATATTCTAAATAAATTAAAAAGCGAGTTAGATTCTTACCAAGGATCCCACTTAGTGACAGTTCTGACACCTGCAAGAAAATGACAAATAATTGACGCTGGTATGGTTTTGTATTAATTGGATTAGCAATGACTGTGATTTTAACGGCAATTTTGCAGTTTCATAATTACGCATAATTACAATTCATTGGTAAAATTAAACTAAATAGTAAAGATTTTTGTGTGACTAGGAACATTGTGATTAGTCGGTGTATGTTTTTATTTTAAGACGAAGAATCTTTTGTTTCGATCAACGAAAGTAAAAAGACAGACTTTCACATTTACAAAGGTTAATCAGCAACCTCAAAATTGAGAGCTCCGCTAATAAAATACGATTGGCCACTGCATGTACAGGCGTTTGACAAAACTTGGTTGGGTTGAAATACAAGGAAAAACAATTTTTGCAATCGTCGTTTGAAGACTTTTTAATAATCGTCCCACATTTTATGCAAGCTAATGTCTACTTACATCGCTTCCAAACCAATTGTGCTCAAAATTGACTGGCTGCATCCTGAATACTTCAGCCTCGCTTTTAGAAGGCGTCTTTGTTGGGCATTTCACTGGTGTAGTGAGAACTGAAGACACATCCACGGTCGTCACCTTACTGACGGCAGCTGGAAAGGTTTCCACCACAGAAAACTGTTCAGTCGATGTAGAGCCTTTTATTGGGGCTGTTACAGCAACTAGGGCAGAATTTTGCGTATCTTTATTGTCAGTAATGGGTGTCTTATTATTGGCTTCGCTTTTACCATTCTTACATAAATTCTTTGTAAGTCCGGACAATATGGTGGAGAGGTTGATAGAGTCACCACCCGTCTGAGAATCATTTTCTGACCTGGAATCATCCGTTGTTGCTAAAAACGTTGAAAGATCAAATTCGTTGATATTTGCCGGATTTTTTGTTGTAACGGTTTTATCTAAGCATGGTAGCTTTGATGATTTTTCAGTTGTGGTGACAGATGTCGGATGAAGCCTTTTAACAGGTGCTTTCGTTCGACTTCCTTCTTGTATCACCTCCACTTGTACTTTGTTTGTTAAATCAGGTACCTCACTAGTTGGAGAGCTCCATATTGTCAATTTGGTGGACAAGGAGGAGGTGCTGGGCACTGAGAAAATGGTAGAAGTGACAGGGCGTGCTAAAAAAGATAAATTTCATAAAACGACTAGAAGTAGATCAGTCATTATTGCATGTTCAATGTATCATGTCAGGCATCCATCAACGAATCGTCCAATTTCCAAAGTCAACGATTAAACTCAAATGAAAAAACATTAAACTGCTTCTTAGTGGCACCCCATTTAGTAACATCGAGAAAATATCTTGAACACTAAGAGACTTTTTTGCAGTTCTCGGTTACAAACCGTAAAGGTTACAGATGGAGTATGAAAAGTATCTTTTGCTGACAAGAGAAACATTTCAAGACTGCAACAACTAACGATGCAAAGCTTGAATCCCTGAGAAAAATGAGAAAATGACAAAGCCAAACAAGAGTTAAGGATGTTGTTATAATTTACAGAGCCTAAGAGTGGTTTTCTACAGGATTCTACAGGAAGGAAAATTATCCAGCTAATTTTTCTCTGTTTGACGGGCAACCTCAATCCTATTTAAGTAGCTGCATTAAAAGTGATAAAATCTTATTCTGAATTCATAGTGAACTGAAACTCATGCACAAAAATTTCGAATTCCAACCAAATTTCAATACACCATTTTAACTTAATGACCCTTTTATCCCATAGCTACTAATTTTCTTCTATGCCATATATCAGATAAGCACGAATGCAGAATCAAGGCCACATCCATAAAAGCAGCAAGAGATTGCGTTCATGTCATAAGAGGTTAGATTAAGTAGCCAATAATTTTGTACCCACCGTTTGAAGTTTCAATATGTGGTGTACTGACAGCAGAGGATGTTGAGGGTAAGCCACTATTGACAAGCTGGGTGGAAACAGGTGGAACTTGGGCGAACGGGACCAGCGTGGCTGGCTGTGGGACAATGTTCACAGCAACTGCTTTTGCCACAAGCGTTTTAGAAGCCGGTTGTATGGGCCTAGGCCTAGGCACAACTTTACGCTGAACAATAGTTGTATTTGGTGTCGTAATTACATTGGTAAGAGATGGTAAATTACAAAGGAGTGATGTTTTTAAAATAGAGCTTGGAACTATTGGTTTGGGTCCCGCAAACAACGGGTCCGAAACTGGAATGATATAAGACCTGTTTGCTTGGCCTGGTCTGATTAAATCTGTAGCCTTCAAAGTCTGGGCTGCTCTAGAAGCACTGGATGTAACCTTCGTTACTTGCGTTGAAACTTTCACAGACTTGACAAGGTCCCTTTGTGCAAGCATAACTAACTTATCAAAACAACTGTCTGAATATTCAGCGCATTTAGCAACCTTCACGTCAAAGTCGTACTCAAGGCGGATGACTGCAGGACGATTTAGCGCTAGAAAACAGGTCTGGAGGTCCTTCTCGTTGCAATTTTCTGCTTTTAAAGGAAAAAAAGGCGGGGTCTTCTTACTGCTTGGGTCTTTCGACATTTCCCCATCTTCTGATTCAACTGTTGTTGGAATCAAATTGTTAGCAGATGGAGTTGTACCTTGTGAAGGAGATAGTGTGGCATTTTTGCTGATGTAAGAAGCAATGACGTTACCCCCTAGCAACGGCGTCACAATGCCCGTGGTTACGTCTGCAGCGCTTCCCACTAGATTGCAACTGTCTGCCAATCCTTTTTGCAAGGGCAAGGTTAAGAGTGCACTTGAACTGGTTTCTGGCAAAACTGACACTGTTGGTGCAACATTACTTGAACTAACTGCTTGCAAAGTCTGTGACTGACTGATTGCAGAAATAGTAGGATTTGTGCAAGCTGATTGGTCAGTTTCCGATGGTGATGATAGCAAACTGGTATCTGATTTGTCATTAGACTTTTCTAAAGGCTGCGATTGCAGAACAATGTGAGACTTTGCATTAAATGTGTTCTGAGTGGAGGACTTATTTCCTCCGTTTTTACTATCAACAAATTCTTTCGGGGGCAACAAGTGAAAAACTAGTTCTTCTTGACTAGTTGCTTTTGAGCCAAATCGCATTTCAAGTAATTTAATAAGAGATTTGACTTTCAGTGTTACTGGAAGTGCATTCAGTCTAATACGCGGGTTGTAAGCCAAACATTGTGCCATCGTCCATGCTTTGTTTGAATGTGGGTAAAGCTCGACATCGATAATTTCCGGTATGCTGTCAAGCTCTCTTGTAGATTTATCATCATCATCTATCAACTTTTTAAGGAACCTACAGATTGGAGGTTTTATGCGGATTTTTCTCCCTTTGTGCCTAACAGTAGTCGACCCAGTTGTTACTAGTTCATCAAGCCGTTTTAAATCTTTATTTCCGAAACCACGACACTTTTTCCTAAGCTCCCCATAACAAATCAAACAGTATAGTTCGTGTTGTAATCGTTTGCTTTCACAAGGCTGTAAGCTCACGGCCTTGGATATCTGTTTCCACGTACGGTAATAAAAATATCGAATCTGATCCTTGTTACGCGGTTCGCAGTCTTTCACGGACTTCCCTCTAGTTTTCGATTTGCGATCCATGTAAGAGCAAATCTTGTCGAAGTCCTTACCAAACTCAGAAATTGCTTCAAAAAACAGGTCTTTATCTGCCTTTGCCCACGAGCCCCAGTGGCGCTTTTGTTTTCCTTTTGTGTCAGCGTCAAACTCGTCAATTTCAACCGCATTGCTTTCTACAAGAAAGTATCTCTGTCATTTGACACTTCAATTATCTGTATGGTGAATTTCTAGTTAGCTATAAAAATGTTGACTGTTACTGAAAACTTGAGTAACTGTTCTTTGCTGAGACTAAAAATCAGAGCCTTTGCTTGGAAAAGATTGCAAAATTCTTAATACCCCAATATAAATACAGTATATGTTGGATCCTTGCAGGGGCGGATCCAGACATTCGCAACATTCGCACTTGCGAATGTCAGATTTCCACATGTCTTTTTGTAATTGTCTGTTAATACATTTTAGCATTGTGAATATTGTACTGGAAATGGCCAGATAATAAAAAAAGGTCCATAGAATACAAGAAAAAAAAGTTTTGTTTCCTGTCCTAGTTGCTATGATGTCACCTTGTTGTTTACTTTTTAGGTTTTATTCCCTCGTTTTCGTGATTTAGAGATGATATATTCGAAAGAGGGCTCCCCCTTTTACGCATAAATTCACAGAGCACCAATAAGGTTTGATGCGAATGTCGAATGGAATTATAATATATTAGGCATGCGTGCGCAAACGAAGTAGTACTGAAAAATGTATGCCAAAAATTTGTGCGAATGTCAGTCCACCTATGTTATCTAGCCATCTGAAAACCAATAGGAAATGTATATGGGAAATTTTTTTGCGAATGTGGCGAAGGTAGATGCGAACTATGTTCGGTAGCCAGTTGAGGGAGAGAACCTTGGAAAGTGAGTAGATAGAAACCTCGCTTCCAGATCAACGGCCATGATTGTTGTTGGAAAGCTGTGGAGACATTTGCTTGCAGAAGAGCAGCAATTGTACTTCAGAGTGAGTGAAAGGAGTCAAATATAAGATAATTTTTAATTTGAATCAGGGGATTTCTAATGTAAATGTTCATAGTTTGTCGAAGATTTTGGTTGATGGATGGAATTTGATAGATGGCAATATGCGAGGACAGTTCAGTTGGACCTAAAATTGTTGAACCAAAATTTTGCTTATGTTTTCATTTTCATGATGGAAGACGTTATTTAGACAGAGATTCAGACTCAAATAATATTTTGAAGAATACGTGTTGCATTTTAAGGTAAATAGCCATTTTTATGCAGGCTGTCAATCAGAACTTTTAGGGTTCAAGTCAGGTACATAATGTACCGTACATCTTGATAATGATGATGTAGCATTCTGACGAATGATTCTGTTCTATAAATATCTTGATGAATTTGAATATGCTGAATTCTAGAATTCTAGATATTTTTTATTGATAGATATTGTTATTATCACAAACCTGTAAATAGTTTGACTTTGCTGGGGATTTGTTTTTGAATAAGATATTGCATTTTCTACGGCGTATTCTTTCCTTGTTAATTTATGCTGTCAGTTTTGGAAAAATCTAGACTGCCATATTTGTAAATGAGAAATTGTAATAGTATTTTGATTTTATTTGCCTGGTCATGCCATAAATATGGTAACCCTTTTCATGAGTTTAACCTCTAAAACTAGTAAAATTATTTGTGGTTTCCACACTATAAGAGTATACCATTTGAAACTTTTGGTTCTGAAATACCCTTAAGATTCATTAATTTTTGTTTATGAATTTGCAAGTGACTGACAGTTTTCTTTTCTATGTAATTGTGTGTGTAAATAAATGTAAATATGGGTAGTAAGGAATGATCCTAAAGGGGGAATTACTACATTATTAATAAGAAATTCACAGCAAGTTGGTTCTGCCAAGTAAATATCTTATATAAATCCATATAGTAAAAGTTACCATGTTTGCCTTATTTCTTTGCCATTACTGACTTTGTTTGATGTACATTTTAAATTTGTATATAATATATCTATGATGTTCTTGTTATGGAAAGACAATGAATTGTTTTAAATTCTGTTACATTTGCTGTTTTACCAACACCTGAAAATACAAAAATTGTATGATGTGTATTGACCTAATTTGTATTTTTGGCCCTGTTTAAGGCACATCACACAGCAGTTCAGATAGAAAGGCGAATGCACAAAATAAATAACAGAAAAGCTCTGAGTCCCTAAAGTATTTGGTGTTGAAGTCAAACATTTGGGTGGATATTGCATTGAAAATTTCTACACTTAACACAGTATTTGATTGTTAAATAATATAATTGTATAAATAGAACTAAGATTCCTTTCTTAAAATGGCTGTTTTTTAAGTGAGTGACATAAACTATTTTTAATGAGTTTTTCTCCCTGAGAAGGGGTGATACACACGCCTAATATACCCTTATTTTAGCTCATCCTCTTTGTTCTTGACAATTTGTGATTCTGTGCCTAGACTTGCCATTAAATCATCATTAAGAGGACATTTCAAATCTTTGCTGTTGTTTTTCCATCACAAAAGCCATGTAGGAAACAAAACATGTCAAAACAACAAAAGCTTGATGAGTGTTTCTCAAAATTTTTCCAGAGATCTCTTTTCTTGTTCACTCAATAAGTAGAATGTCAAATTGTCAATGTAATCCAGACCTGGGTGTGATTCTTAATATTTATCCTTAAATTTCTCAACCTTTGAGCCTCAATATTTTTATTTAATCTATGCTGTTTAAAAAATGTGTTGTTAGTTTCCTAATCCGAAAACTTAATATGAGGAAAAATACATCTTTAAGTGGAAAACTTCGATTCTGAGACTATAGTAAAATTTGACTGATTTTTTGGGCGTGGTCACATAGGCGTGGTCGAAACTTTGCGAATGTCAGATTTTTTTCTGCATCCGCCCCTGGATCCTTGACTACAAGACCCTGGATGATCAAATAAGATATATCTTGTATAAGATATATCTAGATAGATCTAATGACACATTTTATTTGCTTTCAATATGGATTATAAATCATTAAGTTCAACACTGAACTGCCAAACTGGTAAGCTAAAAGATAAACACATATATAATGCATTTCTTTTAAATTTGAACAAAAAGGGCATGATCAACATGAACAACATGATCAAACTAAAAATGTGTCAAAAGAAAGCTTGATACAAGTGGTCAAAGCACAAGGATTAATAAAATGTATCTGCATGGATGTAATTTTGCAAACTCCCCTTTACTAAAAGGAGCCCTCAAACTGTAGAGTTTTCTTCTGTTTCAAGCAATGATTCTAAGTGATTTCACTAGTCAAAATAACATATTCAGAGCCACGAGCAGGGTGCTCTTTTGTGGGTGGTACCAATTTTCTGGGGGCTCATCAGCTTTGAATTACTTCTCTACACAACGTGCAACAAAATCAAAGCTAGAAAATTTCTATATCTACAGGCCCAGTAATTTGAGCCATAGTTCTTGTTCCCCTCCAGGCTCTCCTCAAATGCTAGCAGGGAGCTATAGATTCCTTTCCTTAATTGCTCCAGAAAGCAACCTTGAAATCAATATGTTTTGGTTCTAATTTATCTACATAGATCATCTGGAAAATATTAGGAAAGCTGTTTACTGTTCCCCTGTTAAAAGTCTCATGGTTAGCCCTGTATCTAATGTGAAATAAGATATAAAAATTTAGTGTTATTGGATGAATTCTTTCATAGCTTACAACTTGAAAGGTTTAAAGTTGTGTGGCTTTATTAAAAACAAATCATTCGTTTTCTGCTCAAGTTCAATATAAATGTCAGTTTCTTCCCCATCATCATTACCATTCTCCTTATAATCCATTTTTTAGCTAAGGAACAAATTTACCTTAAACAGGAATGACATGGCTTTTTGACTGTTTTAGTGGGGTTCTCATTCAAAGAGGAAAATCTATTTTCAGCATTTCGGTTCAGATAGGATTAACTCTTGTTTACTAAAAATTTTTCAATTGTTCAGAGAATTGCAGTTAGATCTTTTCTTATTATGCTTTCAAAGAAGACATTTCTAATATTTCAATCTATGGTCTATCTAAACCTAAAACCCATAAGGTTTCAAAGACACATAAAACCTGTACCAAACCGCTAACAATGTATTTTTAAGGAGGTACTGAGATAAACAAGCTCAAAACCCACAAAAGTTGGTTTAGTGTGGCATTTCAGCATGAAAATGTTAAGGTAGCAACAGATTAATTAGAGAACCAGAGAAGCAAGTCCAGATTCTTAAGAGTTCACAAACCTTCATCCCTTTCTTTTTTATCATTCTCAATTCTTTGTTTCTCTTCCTTTTCTTTCTGTTCAATTTCCTCTCGTTTTCTCTTTAAAATCAATTGTTTCTTATGGCTCAGCCTAAGACTCTTCTTTGTTTTCCTTGGTCCATCTTCAGCAATCTCATTTATGATCCCATCTTGCTCAACAGCCATTATCAAATTGACCATTTTATGCTGTTCTACGCAACAAACACATGCTTATCTAGGGAAAAAGTAAACTGTCAAATATTTCTAAATAAAATGAGCTTTATCAAAATGAACAAATTTTGAGGGCTTGGAAAATGAGCAGCATGCTTGTATTGAGGCTTTACCAATTAAGGTGAAACTCATGCAATGCGAAAACATTAAATGCCCCTAGATTAACCAAGGGAATGAAAACGCCACAAACCACACACCCTACCCTAGTTTACAAATCAAGTCCTCAGGAGGCAATGGTGTGAGCACTGCAAAACTGAAAAAAATGTCATTTGCAGAAAAAATTGTTCAAGTAAATCTAATTCTTATCTCTCTAGATTCAACAAGAAGATATTGGAGTGCAAAATTTTGTTAATTCAAGCTGGCACCTGTCCAAATCTGCAACACTTTTGTATTGTGCAAAATAGGGACAATTCTTGTTTGTGCTAGAACTTTAGTCTAACCTTAGATTCAGAACCTGCTGCCAAACATCTGAAACTTAAATTTCCAACGACCATTTACACAAAACACTTCTACATGATTTTTCAATAAGACCTTATTCTAATACAAAGTCCTATTCCCAATTTGCTAAAAAACGCTAGGACGGAACTCTTTTCTGTAATGGTCGCCCATTTGCACGCAAGTTGTCAATGGCGTGGTTGGACGTCTTTTAATCATCACAGACTTCGTGAAACCTTCTACGCCCTCAGCGACCAGAATCAGTTTTAGTCTTTCCGATGTGTGACAAACATAGCTTGATTCACAAAATCTCAGATAAATTCGAAACTGAGCATCTTAAAAAATTGGACGTCGCAACCCATAAAACACGTCGCCATTGAGAGCTAATGCATCTACTGCCGCTAGCGGTTCATTCGTAAATAAAAAGCTTCTTCTTTTCCCATAAACCCTACATACCATTTCAACAACGTTACCAAACTTCCGCTGTGAATAGAAAATTTTTCAAAATTTTTTGAAAATTATATAAAATACATTGCAAGAAAACCAAGAAGAATTAGCGATTCGACCGTTATTAAACACAACAAGGACGACACCCTGTGAGAAAAGTTTAAGCACTTAAATCACAGCTTAGTTCACCTAATTCTCAACAAATTATGAAACAAATGCTGCTGTAAATATTGCTAGGGAAATTTGACTATAATACATACCTGGATATACCTGTCTTGGTCCACAGATCTAACGCAAACTTGGCCAAGTTTCCACTTCCACAAACAACAGGCCTTTTTTAATTCCTTCAGTCTGATGAATTTCGCGGGAGACAACTAAACCAAGTGGCCTCTTACTCGAAGAGCCTCTTTTCAATTTTGGGGCGAAAGTTCAATTTGTTTGAAGTAAATATTTAGTTTAATCAGGGCCGGCGTAACCGGAGGGGCCGGAGGGGCCATGGCCCCCCATTTTTCTGCAGAGCTACAGAAAATTTTAGGCAAAAGTGGAAATAAATGTAGTATAACCTTGTAAGTAACTTTGCCTAGTATTCTCTCAAATGTGTCCTTAGCTTTACCTTGGTTGCTATGTCTTTACCATAGAAGAAATACATAAAATTGAATATGGGAATTAGATCGAAAAAATCGGACATCGTTTAAGTGTAACAACGAGTAACAGCTTGGCTTAGGAAATTGATCGAGAAATCTAGTCCAGAATAACTTGGTGCCAGCACAAATTGACGGAGTTACGTTTTTCCATTACCTAAACTTGGCACACAAGGTCTATTTGTTAACGAAAACTTCCTCAGAAACATTACAAAAAGAGAGAAATCAGCTGTTGAAGGATAAGAAACAGCTGAAAAGAACTTTTTTGAGGATACGAGAAATAAAGTATGGACAGATTTGTTCTCAAAAAGTATCATCAGGAAAACTTCAGATTTTGATCGTTTGGATAATCCATTCCTACTAAGAAAGAGAAAAAATCGACGCAACAATTAATTCTATTTAAACTCATTTTGACAAGCCCAGCTTATAGGTCTTTCAAATTTTTGTTAAAGCAGTTAATTTCCGAAAAATTTAAGATCAGATGTTACAAAGTTATTTCTTAACTGTACAAAATTGCTTAACTTTTTATTTCTAGTTGATAGTTCTTCTGTTGATATTTTAACGTTAATGTTTTTTATTAATCCGTGTTTCATTTATTTTCCTCCTTCATCTTATTTCGGGTACTTTTAAAATCTAAAAAAAGGTTTCATTACGAGACAAAGTGGTTATTCTAAAACTTTTTCAAAACTTTTCTATTTCAAGTCAACATCACAATAGACGCGACTATGCGCAACCTTCAGTCAAAATTAACTTTAAATACAGTTTCTGGCCATCCCTAAGACACCATAATTCTAGAATTTTTCTTGCCGCCAACCGGTGGCGGCCTTTCCTAAGCCCTTTCAAGACTTTGATATTTTGGCCCCTCCACTTTCAAATACGTTTCGCTGGCCCTGTAAAATAAAGAGGTGATTCGAGTGTATTGAATGGTTTGATTTCCTCGACAAGTTCTGTTAAAAATTTCATTCATCTGTTTCGAATTCCATTATATCTACAGCATCTGTCCTCCTAATTAGCAGCTCAGGTCCTCTACATGGAAATTCCACAGAAATTTCCTCATTACATTAACTTACTCTTTAACACAAAAAAACAAAAATACAATAAATGACAGATTTAAACATTCGAAACTTAAGGGAATTTATATTGAGAAATTCCTAACAAGGGAGCTCTCTCACATAGTTCATTTAATAATATCATAAATTTTGTCTCCTAAGAAAACATCTTTGAATAGGGTTTCGGTGTGTCTCTAGCCACACACTTTAGAAATAGTTTAAGTTGTAAGCTGTAGAAAATATCCAGATTTTCATCATTTAATAGTACTTCTCTATTTCCATTTGAATCGGGCTCAATTTTTGTTACATTCTTAGATCCCTAGCATTAGGCATTCGTGTGAATTTTTTGAACTTCACTAATGTAGATTTAACTAAAACTTGGTCGATGGAAGTGAATCTTGATCGTGAATTTATCAAATGCTTCCGACAATAGCTTAAACTATTTATCAGTTTCCGATGCAAGTCAGAAAATCAGAGGGAAGGCCAAAGGCAAACAAGAAATTCATGGCTAAAGATTATGTAAAACATGTACTTCTTAAAATTTTTTTGAGGACATGGCACATCTAATGAAGCTGATAATATACGCTGGGCTGTAAGAAGATCTGTATGCATAGAAGACAGTGCCGTCGGAACGAAATTCATTTCGGGGGGGGGGGGCTGCCCATTGTATTCCTTTTCATTCAGTACGCTGTTATAAAGGAAACATACTACAGTTTGACAATTATTTGGGGGGGGGGCTCCAGCCCCCCGGATCCGACGGGCCTGGAAGACAACATCCAATAATGCCAACAGAGAGAAACCAAGGATGACAATGGACTGTTCAAAATGAACTCGAAAAAAGACAGAGCTGCGTTATTGTTTGAACGCGGGTAATAATCTATAAAAATGTAGCAAATAAAAAACACCGCAATACGCCGAGAATAAACAACAATAAATACACGTAAATCAGTGAAGGCTAATATTTCGCCCCGGCATACGGGGCTCCATCAGAGCATTGATTTACGTGTTTTTATTGTTGTTTATTCTCGGCGTATTGAGGTGTTTTTATCTGCTACATTTTTATCGACTTTTCGCCGCAAGAACTCCTTGGAGCCCGTCGAGCAGCCTGCTACATGACCTCTGCTTTATTCACACACAAAAATCTATGCACTGCGGAGGAGAAGTGGGAGATGGCCCGTGGAACGGAAATAAGCTGAGGACCAACCCAAAATAAATATGCGATTCTTATCGAGATTAGGTATCACGGTTCGCGGGGTTTAAATTGGATTCATACCTCTGAATGACTTCAAAATGGAGGACATTTACTCTGCTGCTAGAGACGGCAACGTGAGATTTGTTCGGCAGTGGCTCGACAATGTTGAAAATGATTTAAATCAGGGGTAAGTTTGCTAAATTGTTGTAGCCGGCCTAGCCTAATTAGGAACGCGCTGTCACGAAGCTGTTTCCTTGAACGATTCTCTGGTAATCTTTGTTTGCTATCGATGTAAAAATTATACAGTCTGGTACTCTGGCTGTTGTTTTAAAACAATGGAATTATGCTCGTCTGGAACTCTGACTTTCCACAAATATTAGGAAAATTTTGGCTCTGATCTCCTCATTTCTTTTATCTAAGGAGAATTATAGGACAAAGCAATGTTTTGTTGTTCCTGCTCACAGAAACCAGGTCTTTAACAGTGGGAAACTTTTGTTAATAATTTGGTTTGTAAGCTTATGAAAGCATTTTTCGAATATTTCCTGAATTTCCTTTCCAATAAAATTTATAAAGTAAACGAAGGAAAATACCACAAATCAATGCTTTATAAGAAACCACGATGCTTTATAAAACCAAAGCCCTATGTGTTCCACAAGTTTATGATTATGATGTTATGAGTATAATTAATGTAGTAACTGGTTTCATTAAAGTTGTTTTAAATATGGCATTTTAATTTTCTTCAAACAATTATTTTTAATAAGAGTTTTAAAAGGCAGGTAAGGATCACTATTAATATTTTTGAAGTGCGACCTAAAAATTCTTTTTAACAAGATATGGCCTCATCTTCATTGCTATAGGTTCCCCTTCTAGTCACTTGACTCTCTTTAGTGTTGAAAATGATTTTCAGAATATTTCTTCATGATGTGAATAATAATAGCAACATTGTTTTAGGGTGTATATGGAATCCAGTTTAAGAGTTATGGATGCTACCCCTTTGCAAAAAGTTCTGTTTCAAAAGCAAATAGTTTTTTGCCATCTATGGCAGCGGTGTAAGCAAGGTTTCAACTTGTTTGCCAGGATGGGTTCCTACTTTGTCACGAATAGTACCTGAGCACCCCCCTTGTGTACAAAAGCTAGCAATAGCCTAAGGTGCACCCTCATCAATTCTACCACACCTGCATCTTAAATGTACCCTCTTCATGCTCTGCATACTGGCGGGGAATCAAGTAGTTGTACCTGACAAGAAGGAGGAAAGTGCAATAGGCAAAAACATAAAATATGTTTTCACGAACTTTGATAAGAATTTTACCAAATATTTTAAAATGCCAAAAGCCTTCAATAATTTAATCTTTAGCTTACTCTAAGCAATTATATTCACACCAAGGTTTCTAAATAAGTTTTCAAACGTAATCAACCTCCCAATTAAAATTATGTATTGTCATGTTAATATTGCTTTTTAATATCACTGTAGCAAAGCTTCTTGTCACATGGGTCCTCTTTATTAGTTTGTATATATAATCAGAGTTTTGTTTTGATTGCCAGAGATGACCATGGCTTCACACCACTTCACTGGGCCTGTAGAGAGGGTCAGATGGTCATATTTGAAATGCTTGTTGCAAGAGGAGGGAGATTAAATGCAAAAAATCATGGTGGGGATACACCTTTACACCTTGCATCAGCACATGGAAGAAGAGACATTGTACAAAAGGTATAAGTCATAAGGTCATATTATGTCATTTCTATCAACAATGATATTGGTATGTCAATACTTAATTTCAATATATCATACATGCAGTGTTATTGTGGAAATTACTAATTTCTCTAAACATCATAGTACAACTTTTTGAGCTCAAATTAGAATTTGCCAGACCATACTTTTGAGCAAAGGTGCAGTTTTTCATGCTTTTGTTTGTGTTTCTATTGTAAATTTTATGACAGTGTGAAATTTGAATAAGATTATGTTGGATTTGACCCCAAAATCATTCTGACTATGAGGATAGCTCTTGCTTCCCTCAAGGCTCTCCTCAAAGGCTGATGGGGAGCTACAGATTGCTCTCCTTTATTGCTCTAAAAAGCAAGTTGCTCTCTGTAGAGTCAATTTTTGCTTTGTTTCTATTCTTATTTATCTACAAATAGCTAATCTGGAAATTACTAGGAGAGTTGTTTGTCGCTTCCCTGCTAAAAGTCTTATGACCAGGCCTGGTCAAAAGCCTCACTTTTAATCAAAATTTTCAACTTTATTTCACCATGAAATCAATATCATGAGAACTTGCCAAGAAAGCATTTCTTGAAACAAGGCCTAAAATTTAATTGGTGTCTATGATACATGTACTGGAACCAGAAAAGAACAGATCCCATGAAACAACGTGGCACCTGATGTGCATTGATTTAAATTTTTTTAGCCTTTTTTTATTCAATGTCATGCTATGATCACTAACAACATCATATACATCTATCACTACACATACTACAGAAGTCCTTCACACACTATGAATTTCATCTTTGGTCATACTGATAAATTGAATAATGAATCAAATAGTAAGTTAGAACAAGAAATGTTAGCAAAATATATTTTTACAATGAAGTTAAACAAATATTTGCAATGTAAACTTGCAAATGATGAAAATTAGTGTTTACCAGACAGTTATTGAGTGCTCGATGCCATATAGGCAGAACTGTACATGTTGTTTGGTGTATAGAAAAAGAGTGTAAACTTGAAAATATGTTAAACCTTTATAGGTAGCAAAGACACATTTACATGACACTTCTTTGTGACTTATTTGATCATGTTCATCATCATTGTTTTAATCCTTTTAATTACAGTTATTACAACACAAGGCAACAGTAAACATTATGAATGAGCATGGAAACACACCACTACATTATGCTTGTTTTTGGAATTATGAAGCCATTGCCTTGGTGTGTATTAGATATCATGTTATGATTTTAATTCCACTTGATAACTGTATAAATAAATTAATTTTAATTTTTTGTGACATGAAATTCATTTTATAATGATATTATCACTAATCCGTATATCACCACAAAAGGATATAAATTCACTAGCTTTTTCATAAATGCTAGCTCAATCAATGCTAGGAACAATACAGCAAGGTCTATATGTCTTTTTATCTGGTCATGTGCTAAGTGAAATTTTAGGCACCTCTGCACCCTCTTTCTCTGAAAAAATGTTAATAGAATTAATGTTTGTTATAGTAGAACACACATTTCCAAATAGTATATTAGAGTTTTTTTGCTTTGTTGGGTGAGTTAACTATTATTGGTGAAGTCTTTGTTTTCTAGGATTATTGAGAAGTGAAATTCTTTTAGGCCGTTCAATTCACTGTGGCATGGCTATCCCCATACAAAATGCACATATTAGTCTTTAATACCCAAACGTTATGTGAAGAAATGCTCAGTTAGGTCTCTTCTTAACATAGAAGCCAGTAGTTAATTCCCAAACCTTATGTCAAGAGTTGTTTCACTGGGTTGTGAATTAGTGTTCTTTTTTTAGGAACTGGTTGGTAGAGGGGCTTATGTTTCTCAGTGCAATAAGTATGATGAAACACCCATGGAAAGAAGTAAAGCGCAGCTAGGAAACATAATAAAAGGTGAGCTTTTGTGTATCTTTCAGCAAAAGGCAAAGTTTTTATGAGAACAAATATTGAACTGCATTATGTAAATTGATGTTTGATTAGGTGTTTGTTGGTTTACATCAGTTCTCAAGCTTTTTTAAGGTGTGTTAAAAAATGCCACCAAATGACAATTTCAGCTTGAAATTGCTTTTTAATTTGCTTGTAATCAGTTTTGCCCACTTCTTTTGCAAAAAGAGTCAGGTGACCAAATCTCTCCCCACACATTTATTTGACAAATGTATCATTTATATAGATATTGTTGTCATTTAAAGTGTAAATGTATCTTTCAGCCTTTCCATAGTGATTGATATTCATTTGTGAATAATTATTGCAATTTTAATGACAGCATCCTTTCCTAGAGAAAGCAAAATCAGTAGGGCAAGATCTTGCAAGAATTCCATTTCAAGGTTGGTTTGCAAATGTTTATTTTTATCGTTTGATTTATATATGGCTGTCAATGGTGTCTTTGATATTCTTTATAGACTTTGTTTTACCAATTTTTCTCCATTTCTCAAACTTGGAAGTAATGAGTTTTAGTTTTAAAACAAGGATTTGTCATTCCAATTCATTCAGATGATAAAAAAACTTGCAGAGGTGGAGAAGTAGACAATGGACTTTTTCAAGGGGCATATCATTCAACAAAAATTCTGTAAACCTTTGACATACATCCTTTTGTTTTTATGAAAAGTCTCCGAAATCCGTAGAGATCCCATTTTTCTAAAAAGCTTTTAGAAGCGTAGTACACCCCTCCGTCTCTGTGGTCGTCAGGCAAAGTCATTCCACTATTCCTCAATCCGCATATCTGTAAAATAATTTTATATTAAGAGGGACAAGAGTTTCATAACATGATGCAACCTAGGTCCAGACAGAAAGTCTTATTCATTCAATGGTTTACTCTGTTCAGCAAGTTGAGAGCCAAATTATCCTTAAATATTATCATAAAAACTTAGAAGTAGTTAGCATGTATAGTTTGAGTAATTGCTGAGCAATATTTTAAACAATTAGCAGTAAAGTGACTTTGCCCTCGTACTGATTTTCAATTGCAGCTGTCGAGTCAATAATTCAATTGTATTTCAGAGAGTTAAAGTGTGATTTGATTAATAATTGAAGTTTTCCCTGATCAATTTTAGAACAAGAGGAAGGAAACTTCAAAGCAAGTAAGTCAAATAATATTCCTTTGTTTGGGTCAATGCAATCACCAACAAAGTATTTTATGATATACATTGGATTCGACGAAATTACATCGGCAGAATGCGTCTATGATACTTGAAAATATTCCCTTTAAATTGTTATGGGGCTGTTCTCTCATAACCTCAATAATTTTTACCACTGGCTTCTGAAAATCAAATTTTCGTACGACTCGGTGTGTTTGGGCAAGACTTCTGGAAGCTTTTTCCCAGGCTTACACGCTTAAACTGAATTTACCTTGTCAATAGTCATTTTGATGGAGTGCAGAGATCAGCTTGGATAATCCTGCTTTATGCCTAATACCAAAGTCGTGCATATATTTTGCGGTAGGCTTTTTATAATCTTTTGACCAAAGCCATACCTACCGTGCTGTAAAACTGAAGAACTTATGCAGATCATCAGAAAAATCACCACACTAGTGCAGCTGCTGTCAATCGCTTTTACCTGTGGCAACCTTTTCCAGTCGCAACCCCCTTTCCAGCGTGTTAACATCGAGTAGTGTTTGTAAATAATCTTTTCAGTTTAATACCCCCGGCTGGGTAACCTGTTCAAAAGCTCTAATACCTAGGGGAACCTGAGGACAGGCATGGCGATTTGAGGAGAGCCATAACTCTTGCTCCCCTCCAAGCTCCCCTCAAATGCTCAAGGGGAGCTGCAGATTGCCCTCATAAACTGTTTATGTTTATGATACCCTTCTTGAAATCAATTTTTCCTTTATTTCTATTTTTCATTTATCCTTGAATAGCTCACCTGGAAATTACTAGGAAAGCTGTTTTCTACTGTCTTATGGCTAGGCCTGTATGGGACTAGACAGGGGTCACTTTTTTGCAGTATATTTTATCGAATGCATGGCACGCAAAGCCGGATATTTTGTATCTACCTGATTTTGGCGTTTAGGCATTCATGTGTTTAGATCAAAGTTGAGCTACACTTCTTTTATCACATTTTCCACAGGTTTGGAATTTTTGACGCTTAAATCGAAAAATGCAGGAATTGACTTAGAAGAAATCCATCTTGTCGAAAAAATCAGCGAAACACTACTTGGAGAGGTATTTGCTGTAGCTGATTCTTTTTGTGATCTTTCCCTACTTCCCTCGCAAACCTTCTCTAGTATTGTATACTAAAATAAAATTATCTTTCTATACATACAATCAATTTTGATAATGTTAGCTACCCAGTATGAGACGTGAAACTAGCGTAGATTTTTAAACTTTGATACGCACAGGGAAATAAAATTAGGCATTCTTCTCTTCTGCTTAGCCTTGATCAGCACCGAGATTTTACTCAGCGGTAATTTTTAGCAAAAAAGTATGCATATAACATTGACTGAAAATGTGAGCACGTGACACGGTTTTCTCTCAGTATATTTTCCCAAATCCTGCTCTGCGCCTGCATGCATATAGTGACGTAGAAAGGATGCGGGCCAGATTTTATAGGAATGTGATACCATTACGTTAAATACAAGCCAATTATTGCGACAGGAGCATTTCTGGAAAGATTAAATCGAAGTATCTCATCTAGATTCCAAATCATCCTCATCAGTTCCTTGTAAGCATCAAAACTTGTGTTCATCTGTTTTTTAACGCATTGTATTTGAAAAGGGGCGTCATTTATAATACTTTTTCGCTTTTCATCTTCTTAGCACAGATTTACTTAGTAATTGATATGTCATGTATGTGTATCTTCCAAAAAACCTATAAATTTTCATTTCAATAATTTATCTAGCTTCACAAAGGAGTTTGGAACAACATACCAATCGTTGCTAAAAAACTGAAGATTCGAGGTTTACAGAAAAGGCTCAATCTTCATTTCTGCGAAGAATATCCTAGGTTGAGGTGAGAGCTTAACTTGCTTAAACATGTTGGTTTAGGGGGGATTCCACTTTAGGTTAATCTTCGATTTTCGATCATGTTTTTGGGTCTACAATTGCTCTAAATATTCCCCTTCGATTTATCCAAGGTATTGGATTGGTCGTTAGCTTAGATTAGATTGTAGAATAAGTATGATCCAGAAAAGAATGGTTTGACTCGATTCCACCCGACAACCGTGTGTTTACCACAATCCTACCACGAAGAACTGTGTAACAGTATTTTAACAAAAGGCAAAGATACTCTAAAACTAGCATGAGTAAATCTGAATATTTCGGTTACTGTTATTGATTTTAATATTTCACTAGGTAAACTAAATTCTTATTTATACACTTGAGGAAATAAGTGGTTCTTTCACAGATAAGTCTTTGCAGTCCGTTTCTATTCTGTTTGCAATCCATGTCCCTCCCATTTCCAATCTGCCCTCAATCCTTTTCCAATCTATCTGCAATCCGTCTTCCATCAATTACTAATCCAATTTCAGTTCATTTGTAATCCGTTTTGGTTCTTTGCTTCACAGGATATTTTCCCACCCGAACGTTTTACCAGTCGTCGGTGCAGTCACCAAATCACCGAATCTTATGACGATTTCCCAATACATGCCATATGGCTCACTGTTCGATATTCTTCATGAAGGAACTGGTTTGTGTCATCCGGATTTTTTATATTTGTTAGCAAGACGCTGTTTACGTTTCCTTGTTAAGGCCTACGACTGTTGCTCAATACCGCAAAATCCCCAAGGGGCTATTTCAGGGATGAGGTTGGGGGGGGGGGGTTGAACGAGGGTGATGGCTTGTAGAAGTTTTCTGGAAGTCATCATTCATGATCGTGTGTTGACGCATTTCGCGTCACATTTTCTTAAGTTTGATGGCCCAGTAATTTGGGGAAGAGTCACACATACCATGTCAGGGGTATCGGACAGGGGTATCTTTCTTTATATCTAAATTTTCATAGAATTTTTTATATCTTATATAAAATGTCATCGAATTTTTTTGACAGTTTATATTTTCCATCCGATATAGCTATGCCACCTTTTCCAAGTTTACATGCTTAAAAAGTAAAATAAGGTTGCACAAGCTGCCCCACACTGTAATTTTATCGCCACTCTGTCCGTAAAACTTTAAAGGAATCAGGTACACGAGGCTTTCTTTATCAATTTGAAGGTATCGTCGTCGATCACTTGCAGTCAGTTAAATTCGCCATCGACATCGCAAAAGGCATGGTTTACTTGCACAGTATGGACCCTCTAATTCCACGGCTATATTTAACAAGCTATCATGTCATGGTAGGTGAAAAAATTCAATTTCGCAAACTAAACAGTGTAACTGGACTTTTTACACTATTTGTATTTGCTAATGTTGAGTGATGATCTAGATTAGGCTGACAACATGCCATGAAAACATGGCTGACATGAAGTTACATTATTAGAGCCAATGACCTGATAAAATCACAACAATACTTTTAGTGTGACTCCCTTATTTGGGTACGCCAGCTCAATTTGCTCAGATATAGGTTTAGCACCATTCTTTTAGTCTGGATAATTTTTTTCAGAATTGTTTGCTTGTAGTGTGAAATCTATGAAGATGTAGACTTTGACAACTTACAACAGGTTGACCGCAAAAATCACCCGCAAGAACAAAATAACGAACAACAGCATCCGGAAACCTTGCACTTCGAATAATATTCTAGTCCACATTCACGTCAAGAAATTTGACGTTCAAAAGTTTGGCCAAACGTGGCCATAAATATGATTGGTGTGTATTCAAATTGTTGTTTCTCTTTTTCAGATGGACGACGACTTGACAGCGAGGATATGCATGGCTGATGCTCGTTTTTCCTTTCAAGACAGCACCAAAATCCAGAAACCAAATTGGATGGCACCTGAAAGTAAATATTTGTACTTTTTTTAATGTTAAATGCATCATTAGTGATATGCACCATATAAATAAAGTTCGGTTCAAGGTTTGTCCAGTAACTTGCAAACCAACATTTTCAAATAAAGTGAATCATAGTCTTAGATGGCAAGATGACAGGGGCAGTGGCATCGCTTGATCTTCCAGACTAGGGGGTTGTGGAGGGTCATCAATAGTCAAATTTACCGACGAAGACAAAGATGGAGAGGAATTTAGGTGCTATTTCACTTACTGATAGATGATTTTACCGACAAACTAAGAATTTTGTAGACAGACTGAAGATTTACCGAAAAATTCGTGAAGTATTGAGGGGTGTTACACCTCTCTACAGCCCCCCCCCCCACTAGCTACGCCCCTGGGCAGGTAGTTTGGGTTCATTTTAGCACTTCCGTATCAGTCTGGTAGTGTCCTTTCAGTAATATCATGACCATGCCCTAATTCTTGCCGAGTTCCTGGGTCCATATGTGATAACACATCGTTATTGTAATTTACATGTACTAAGGCACAAAGCAACCCAAATACATACTTTTGACTGATTTAAGTACATCAACTTTTGCAGTATTGAATAACGCCCCAGAAACATGTGATCAAAGAGCTGCGGACATGTGGAGCTTTGCGATTATTTTGTGGGAGCTCGCCACTCGCGAGGTCCCCTTTACAGAATTATCTCCTATGGAGATGGGAATGAAGGTTTGTTATTTTAAGTCTTCTTATTCAAACTTGGGCTAACTTCTATCTTTTATGATATTTGATGTTTATAACATCTTCTTCATTAATGGTCTAATTTCGAAAATTCTGTATCTTCAGTCCTTCAAAACCATCTTTATTGTACAAATAACAAATTGAAGTTCCAATGATGTTCCACGAGATGAAGTTCCTGGCTGGAACGCCATTGGAGGAAACCGCTTCAAAAGGCACACTGGTGAAGAGTTTTTTTTAGTGTCAACCAAAGCAACTTTATCCGATCGAATTGTTTTAGTTTCTACGGGTTTCTATCAATTTTGATTTGACTCGTTGCTGTCATAGATGCTCCTTAATGAGGTGATCCTTTTTTTGCCATCTTATAGGTTTGTTGTTCATATCGTGTTACTAATAAGTTGCGCATACAGCATTTCCTTACTTTCAAGACAGTACCCCAGCTTTGAAAGCGTTTCTGTTTGACCCCTGCTGTCTTATTGGTTATCTATCTCTTTTTGTTTCAGATCGCATTGGAAGGACTTAGGCCACCTCTCATACCAGGAATGTCAAATCACCTCACGAAACTGATAAATATTGCTTGGAACCCAGACCCTGCTAAACGACCTCGTTTTGACCAACTGCTTCCGATCCTTCAAAAGATGCAAACATGAAGTATCGCCAGGCGAACCTCTCGCTTCGCTTCCAACACAGTAGAGGGTTTTTCAAAGGAACCATGCTGTTTACGATATCGCTCTTTTTATCATATATATTACTTGTATAAAGTATTAAATTTAAACCTAAATATTTTGACACCTATCATCCCTATAGTTTATTTAAATGATATGCATGTGTAGAATTGGTATTTGTAATAATTTTGTATTACATAAATAGATTAGTTACTTTGAACCAAAATTTCCTCATACGCTGAACTCATTCAGAAAGAGATTTCTCTTGTGAACATTGATTTTGTGGAGCAAGATTTGAATCGTAATTTTTACTCTCAAGAGTTAGAACTGGGTATTTTTTGGCTTGAAATTTCCAGGATAAGGCATTTTCTAATCTTTTTCTGGGCCTTTTCGAAGAGCTTTTCAGACTAAAATAAAGCCAAAAAGGTAATTATTTAGCTTATTGAAAATAAAATTTATGGAAATGAAAGGAGGTAGTCAGCTTTTGTAGCAAGGAAGGAGTTATGCCTCCAAGAAGCAATTAATTCTGGTGGTTTGGTTTGCGGGTAGCTTATGAACTCAAAAAATATGTCAAATATTCCTACCCGAGGAGTACTACCAAAAGATTCTTTGAACAAGAGGAAAGTCTTTTTAGTTGTTTGCTGAGATTCATCGCAAAATTTTTGATTAACGTTTGCTCCTGGATCATTGAATTCGGGAGAATGCCTGAGGTACTGGAGGAAGTGAATTATGCCCGAGTCACTCATTGAGTTGAATGACTTTCCCTCATCATTTGTGAAAATGGATTGTAGTACTTCATGTTTAGCATCATCATTTCTAATCTTAATGTGGGGTATGCTATTCAGTTTAATCATTCTATTAAAACAACTGATTATGAATGTTCAACACGATTTTATTTTAGCTATATTGCTACAATTGTGTTTTTTTTAAATCAAAAGTAGCCTTAGATCTCCCTCGATGTAGCAAAACATTTCAATTTATATTGAGTTTTAGTAATTTTATGACTGCATGCTGATAAAGCAGCGGGAATCCCAAAGAATCTTGCTGGAAATGAACCAGTACATTAACGCCAGAGTTGTGTTTCACAAATTTGCAGTTTATTTAACAACAATACTGGCATCTGAATTTTTGTTCCATTTACCTTCGTTTTTTTGTTTTAATAAGCCAGTTACTCCGTACCTGTTTACAATTTTTATTCTTAATTTTTATAATTTGCTACAAAAATGGTTTGTGCCTAGCAACTATGTCGTTTTTATTTGTTTGAGGTGCTTATTGTAGGATTTAATTATTGTAGCTTGACATATTTTGGCACAAATGAATCATTGCTCCGTAGCTAGCTAGGAGACAATCTGGTTTCGCCATCTTTCAGAGCTTTCATTATGTTTTATTTTAAAAATTAGTGTTGTTTCGGGGTATTCCTTGCAAGTAGGTTTGAAATGACCACTGTACACAAATTGCTTTGCATCCTAGAATTTCGGTATTCAAGCTTTCATAGGACCTTCTTAACAAAAAGTTATTGCTTCTACTATTTCTACCTTAAAAACTTTAACGTACTGCGTATTTCGTAAGAAATATATTTTCTGCAAACCTGATCCTTGAATGAACTTGTGATATTTTTGGCCCTGACTAAACTTGTCACATTTTCGGCCAGATGTTGTATTGAGTGAACTTGTGACATACCTTGTGAAAATAGTGACCAATAATCTGACCTGGCTGTGTTGTATAATGACGAGAGCAATTACATATCTACAAAGTGTTCAACAAGAGCAATAAATCCCTCTACTCAATCTGGCAGTTTTAGTGAAGATATAACAGTAAAACGATTGACCAAGGAGTAACTACTACTAGGGGCAAAGGTAAGGCTTGAGACAGAAAATCTCAGTCTGCAGGGGACACGGGCAAGTGTTACAAGAATATGAACAAGATTTTTTCCCCGGAAAAAATAACAGTCAGCTGTGAAGAAATTTGTCAAAAAAGGACCAGGGGAGCACAAAACATTGGATGCTACCAAGGACACAATTTCGGTTTTTATGCTACCATTTGATGGTTACTGCCAAAAATACTACCATTAGAGGGTAATTTTTTGAAATTTTAGCGTTGACCCTCTTTGACACTGACTGGACCCCCTGTTAGGCCATAATGGGAGTACCCCCCCCCCCCAGGTCTGTGCTCCCTGGTCGGTCAGTTTTCACCCAGCTTTGTTGAATTGAATCGACAGCAACAACCGGAGATGGTGTATAACAAAGTCTATCAAGGACAACTATCACAAAATTCGGTGTTCCTAGCTTGACTTGAAAGAATTGCTGGGTATAGTTTCCAGTCATAAATGATGGAAGATAAGGGCAAGTCAGTCGAAGGGAATAAAAACAACATAACGACAGTCGAAGAAAAATTGCGTTTGTGTAGACGGGAGCTGAAAGGATATCCTGAGCTCATTTCACGGTCGTTTGTAAATGTTGACAAAAGTAACAGGGAGTCTGCCGATGAAGGAAGGACGAATAATTGCTTCAAAGTTATGCAGTACAATATACTGGCAGATGGTAAGAATTGAGCAATACTACTATTGAAGTTTTGCACCATTTTTCACTGATTTTACTACTAGACAGAGATGTAAGCCTCCTTGGGCCCCGTCGAGGTTGTTGATGTTGGGCACGACTTTGCTGTCAAGTGACTGAGCCGAGGGCAGGGGCGGACACTTGATCAAATATTGGGGGGGGGGCAAGCCTATTGTTTTAATAAGATGACGTCACATTTCCCATTGTTCTAGAACAAAATACCATTGTCCTCTAAAGTATTGGGGGCGGTCGCCCCCCCTCGCCCCCCCCCCTCGCCCCCCCAAGTGTCCGCCACTGGCCGAGGGAATTATTAGGTATAGGGTTGGCCCAGTTATTTTGTATAATGTAGCAGAATTCTGGTATGAGGTCAAGTACTCATTTTAACAATGGCTAATATAATAAGTAGAACATAAGATCTAAACATTTCCTGTGTTACCGTTACTAGTTTTACTATATCTTTTCTTTGTAGCTCTTGGGACAGGAGCTGGAAACTTTGAAAAAGTCCCAAAAGACTGTCTTCCTTGGAGTTTCAGGAAACATAGGATTATAGAGCAAATTCTTCACCTGGATCCAGATGTTGTTTGTTTGGAAGAAGTTGATCATTTTCATGATGTTTTTCAACCATTATTTGAGGAGTTGGATTTCAGTGGATTCTTTTTTCCTAAAAAAGATTCACCATGCTTGAGAACCCCAGATAATAATGGGCCAGATGGAGTTGCAATCTTTTATCGAAAATCCAAATTTTCATTAATTGAAATTGATTCAAGATACCTTAACAACACAGAGAAACAACCTAGTAACCAGCCAGTTTTAATTTGCATGTTGCAGAGTAAACAGAGTGAAAAATGTGTATGTTTTGCAGCTACCCATTTTAAAGCAAAAAAAGGTTTTGAGGAATTACGGGCAGTGCAAGCTAAATCATGTCTGCATTTCATAGAAGAATTTAGGAAAAAGGTCAGCCCAGAATCTGCTGTCATTTTATGTGGAGATTTTAATGGGGCTCCATCTGAGAAGTTTTATGAAATATTAGAAAATCATTGTGGAAAATATCTTCAAAGTGCTTACAAAGAAGCAAACGGAAAGGAATTAACTTATACTACATGGAAAATTAGACAGGACAATGAAACAAAGCACACAATAGATTATATATGGTTTTCACATGAGCAGCTAAAAGTTGTGTCTTTTTTAGATCTCCCTGTTGAGGACGATGTACCTGAATCAAGGTTTCCTAGCTTTTCATGCCCTTCTGATCACCTACCACTTTGTTGTGAATTTTCTTTTAAAGATTAATAGTGTTGTTTAAAATTTTTATCTAATCTTTTTATACTTGGAAGTTTTGTCTTCTTATAGAAATCTACTTTTCATAAATGATTTGATAAGTTGATATTCTCCATTTACATATATAATATTTTCTGTTGTTAAAGACTCAAACTAAGCAACATAATTGATTAGCTAGCCAAGTAGTAAGAGGACTTTGCACAGCTAAGTATATAATTTCCTAGCTCAGCTTATTTGTATTAGTTCCTACCTAGCATTCAAAGGTTCTTTTTACTCTAGGAGACTGAGAAGTTATGCTTATCGTGCAGTGTCCTGGTCCCTCATCTTAATGTGACCACCCCTTTGATTTATACGCCTGGAATTATAGAGAGCTGGTAACTCCCCTCACTCAGGGTGAAAGTTTGGTCATGTCAGGGATTTGAACCCCAGGCCCTTGGATCTTTAGTCTGCAACCTTAACCACGGTGCCATCCTTATACCTCATTAATGTATGTAATGAGACCTCTGAGAAACACTAGAATTTGAAAACATATATTGATTAAAATGTACTGGCCACATTAACAGAAGTGCTGGTTTGGCTATTCTGTTCTTCATTACTTCAACTGTTCTTTGGGCTGCAAATATAAAACAAGCAGCACATGGCATCTATACAGTTGCTCCTTCAACACAATCATCAAACATTATAAAAAAACTAGTCAATTGGAAGACTGTAGCTCATAGAACTACTTATTTTTTTGTTGCAAAATAAATATGATGGAATAAATACAATGCCAGAAAATTTACATTTATATCAAAGTCTTTCTTAAGATCAAATTATGGCTTTTATATTGTCATTGTATACAAGTCAAGTGACATAAGACTTTTCATTTCTATGGCAAACTTCTTTCCATCTTGAAGCCCACTGCCAAAATCATTCATCATTGATGCAATAACATTGTTTATTTGATGGAGAGCATAGTCCCAAGGAGATGCCTCTACAGATATATGAGGAAAGAATTTTTGCTTCAAATGTGGATCCAAGGTCTTCAAGCCTGAAATGTCTATTGTTGCTGGTACTGCTAAATAAATCTGGAAAAAGGAATAAAAATTAGCTAAAACATAATTAGTACCATTGATGTTGGAACCAAGGGACATAGACAGCATATGACTACATTTTCAGAAACAGAGGTAAAGCAATAATGATCAAGAACATTTTAAACAATACAGTTTCATGTTGGGGGGTTATTATAGGGGGAATAAAAGCTCCATAAATTTAGCAGATAAGCTACAATATCCAAAGTCATTTTAAGCATTTAAAGCAAGTTGTTAAAATTGTCTGCACAGAAACTTTTTCTGACCAAGTTCACTGTAATTTTAGCTAAAAATACCCCTTCAAAGTTCCCTAGAAGCCATAGCCACACCATCAAAGCAATAAACAACTAGGAATAACAGTCATAAACTGCCTAAATTGTCTTAGCCATAGCCTATTGAGAAAAAGTGTTGTATCCATAACTCAAATTGGAAAATATGGTAGAGGCTGCAAAGAAGTAAAAGAGTCCCATTATTATTATGATTTTTGAGCCAAATATAATATAGAGTACAAGAGCATTGATTTTATTTACAGTCTTTGTTGCAAGATTCTTAGACTTCAACAAACAACCTTATTGAAGCATACTTTTTAGCAATATAAAGCAAATTCATTTTTCAAGGCCTTCTTTTTTCTTCACTTTTCTGGACACAACTATTACTGTTCTAAAAGAAACTGCAAATAATTCTTTCCAAAGCCAGATACTTTAAGAAGAATCACATTTCAAACAATTTCAGTATGGGAATTACAAGTACTTCACAATAACTCTCAAATATCACTTACCAAGTTTTTGCATTTTTTCAAGTGATAATTTTTTGACTGGTCTGAAAGTTCTTTGATTAAACTTTTAACATCCTTCTCTGTCTTCCCACCTAAATTATGCACTGCTATATCTGCCAAAGATCTATTTGTTCCAACATTTATCAGATGCTTTGGAGCCATGTATGTATACCAAAATATCACATCATACTTAACACATTTGATTCCTTCAGTTTTCAAGTCCATTCTACTTTCTTCTCTAAGATGAGACAAACAGGGAACAATGCCTCCTTGATGTACAAAGCCGAACCATGCAACCAAAGCTGCATTAAAAATGCACCAAAAATGTAAGAATCTTCGCCAGGCACCAGGATATCTTGCAAGAAACCATGGTGATATCAAACAAACTGGAGTTATTATTGGTATAATGAACCTAGGTTCTTGATGTTTGAAGTATGACAAGGACAAGACAGCAGACCATGCTGATGCAACTAAAAGTGAAGCTGCACCTTTGTTTATTGGCATATCACTACCAGCAGGAGAATTTCTAGGCTTCCTAAAAAGCATATATGAAGCAAATGAAAACATTAAAACTAGTGGACCAAACAGCAGTGGAAGATTGACAAGAAAGTGAAGGTATCTTGGGTGTTCTCCATGCATTTGCAAATTGGCTTCATCTAGATTGTACTTGATCATATTCAATGGGGTGATACTAAACTTGAATTTTTCACCTTGTGAAAAGTACATTGAATCTAAGCATATGATGGACAAGCTAGCAATGAATAATGTCACCCCGGCCAGCAAAGCTTGTGAAATTATCTTGCCATTTCTATAACAAATAAAAACATAAGCAATGCTCCCAAATGCAACAAAGAAAATCAGTGTTGGTCTGATAAAAAATCCAAATGTAACCATAAGCGTGAGCAATATTGTCGTGGAGCCAAGGCCATCATTGAAGTTTTTTTTGCTTATTTGGGACACTGCTTTCCATAAAAACAGTGACAAAATAACGGTTTCACAAACATTTGAAAAGGTTCTTGTCAGGAAAACCAAAGTGACAGCTGAGGACCTGAACAGAAACAAAGCTGTCTCAACTCCCTCCTGACAATCTTTGCCACCAGGTCCTACTTTGTAAACTTTTCCAGCAAGAAATTGAATGGCTTTGTCAATGAAATATGTTCCTGCTGCCATGAAAATCCTGGGCAATATCAGTAGAGTTGTAGTTGTAACATCTATGCCCAAAAAAGAGTTGCAGAGCTTAGCTACCATAAATGGAATTCCAGATGAAAGATATGGGAAGATAATTGTTCTTGTTGGCGACTTTGCATTCCATTCCCAAGTTCTTGAAACACTGGTTCCAAAAATATCACTGGCTGTAACTTCGGGCGACTGGAAGAATTCATCAGGGTGTATGTACCCATTCTGAGGTAGCAATACCAACAGAAACCGTGCCACTAGAAGAAATTTGTTGACTGTAGCTATGTGCTCCATCTTGAAAATGGAATTTAAAGCTCCGAACAAACTTGTACCTTCAAGAAAACAGTCTCTTGTTAAATTTGCTAGTAACTTTATGCCAATGAGGTAAAAATCAACCTTTTTTAAACCTTTGCTCTATGCTCCAATTTGAAAAGACGCTGTCACCATAAAAACCAGCCTCATGTGCTTGAGAAGCCGCTCCAATTATTCATCGAGAAAGAGGCAGGCCAATGAAAATCGGCATGTGCATTGCCTGGACTGGCGCTCAGCTCTTGAAGTTCAAGTAATGGCGGACGAGGTGATCGTTGGTGGAGTATGGGAGAGCTTCAAAAAGGCTAGCAAAGACGAAATGTAACAATTCAAAATTAATTTTTTCTTCAACTTTTTATCCTTTTAATTTTCTACTTTATTCGCATCTCTGTTCTTCCAGAATTTACATCGGTGAAGTTCTTTTTTTAGGCCATCACCTCATCGTTTTTATCTAAGGCCCCTGAAGATTTGTAATTATTATATAACTGTAGGAACAAATAACATAGTTTTCTAAAGATAGTTTGAAGTGACCGACGATAAGTATAGAATGAATGTTTCCAGTGCATAGTGGTGATCCTTAAGATAACCTTTTCCAGTCCCATTATTATTTTCGCTAAAAATGCGCATCATCTACCATGATCTTCAATTTTTCTCCTTCGTAAGAATCTCAGGAACGTACATATGACATACCTTCCCCATATTGGAAAACTTAAAGTCAATCTTAATTTAATATAAGATATAAGGCACCTTTAATTGCCTTTACTTGCACCTATTCTCTGTGCCTGGTTGAGGTCATCGATTTTGCATCTTGCTATATACAGACCTTTCTAAAAATGGGCTTCAGATTTGAAATCTTCATCTTGAAATTAGTTTAAAATGAAAACTTCATGTTGTTTGGACCATTCAGTCAGGAGTTTCGTCAGTTTAAGTATTTAGATATTTCTATAGATTTGACCGGAATTTGCTACTGTAGTGACAAAAATTCACTACAGCAAAAAATTCCATTGAAATGTATAGGATAAGCTAAATTTTGAAAATGGGTTAATTTGCAGACAGATAGGCCAAACAACATGAAATTTTTGACACAGACTTATTTTAACATGAAGATTCCAGTTCTATGATCCATTTTTGGCAAATTTGAAGATAAAAAATTGCTCTGAGCAGAGACTTAGAAATTTTGCTGCTGAAAAGAAAAATAATTTCTTGCTGTCTATTTTGATCCCATTGGCAACATACACCTAAAAGACTCAAACTGCATAGCATGTGTTGCAACAATGTCCATTTTGTTATCTAGTTTGAACCTCCGTAAACAAAGCAGTTAGAATTATGTTTTCAAATTATATTACTGTAACACACCTTTTCCATAACTTGTTTTGCACAATGTTTAAACAACATCAGCAGATTTGTAAACCTACAATGAGTTAAAATGATCCTTTATATGCTACAAGCAGACTTGGTTGTTTGTTTCTCCTAAATGACGTCATCATCAGGTCTTGCCATTTGAGGATAGCCATAGCTCTTGCTCCCCTCCTGGCTCTTTTCAAACGATGGAGGGAAGCTACATATTGATCTCCTTAAATGCTCTAAAAAGAGAAAAGCTCTCCTAAAAATCAATTTTTCCTTTGTTTCTATTTCTATTTATCTACAAATAGCTCACCTGGCAATTACTAGAGCTGTTTACTGCTCCAGTACTAATAATCTTATGGCTAGGCCTGCCTTTACTTGCTTTCTTTAAACCTTGTGAGCTAATAGTATATTAAAAACACTAACAATGTACAAAAGATAACCAAAAGTCAAGAAAATTCTTATTTTGATGTTTGTCAAAAATATGTTTGCTTCTATTTTGTGATCTAGACTAAAAGTGTGCAAAGAATCGTTGGTAAATTACAAGTTTGATCATGTTAGCCTGAAAGAGAAAGGTACAACTAATGTTTTTCTAATATCTTTAATGTTTCCCTATTTATATTTTTTATGCTATGATTGCATTGAGCCAGACAGGAATTAGCTGTTAACATATACAAGTGCATAGTGTTAATAGCTTGAAAACAGAAATCCCCCATGCTTGTTAAACTGTAAGAAAATTAATGAAACAAACAGATGGTAGCAAAAAGCATTGACATACAAAACATGCAAAATATATAAGAAAAATATATAGCCAATTTTATATGTTTAATGTTTTTTAGGCCTTTTGATTTTACAAGGTAGATCACCTTTTCCCTTGCCAGTCCCCTCATAAAATCACTTAGACATGGCTAATGGCTGCCCTTGCAAAAATGTGATTTGCCTTCCTTGACAAATTTTTTTGTTATTATTATTTATATACTTATTTCAATATAGTACTTCAGTTAGAGACCATCTCAGTCAGCATACCATGTTGTAGTTATAACAATTACACAAAACCTGACATTAACATTATAGATTATGTTGAAAACGCAAACAGGTACTTGTATTGCAACATTTTACCCAAAGCAATGTGGAAACCTATCCAACTTCAGGAAATGCATGGTTTTGCTAAAATGTTCTGTAATTGTATTTCAATGTTAGTTCATGAGAAGAGCAAAAGCATTGATTGGTGGTTAATTTTTTTGTAGATTTTAGGATTGTTTTTTATAACACTATATGGCTTATTGTTGATGGAAAAATTAAAGAAGAGGAAATTCTTTCTCCACTGAGTCATGCATTGGTAAGTCTTGCATATGTTATTATGGTTTTTAAAATTAAATTACAAAGCTGGATCTACCAATTGCACTGTTGAAGTTTTTTTAGGAAATAAATGATAATTTTATGCTAGAAGGAATTTTTATGGTAAGTAGTTGACAGCAGCAAACTTGAAACAATTATTTGATTACTTCCAAGATGTATGGTAATATGCACTACTTCCAAGATGTATGGAAATATGCACTACCCTAGAATTAAAATTACTTTTTTCTCATTAGTTGCTTGATGTACTGTCTTAAGAAGCATTTTTAGTACTGTGTTGAAAAGTACAAAACTCAGAGTAAATAAAGTCACATTTGCTTCAACCCACAGTCCATTTCTTGTGAAGACATAGAGATTAGATGCCTTGAATTAATTTTGTTTTGGATTCTTATTACCTTCAGGAACAGAAACCAGAAGGATTGTCAGTTCTTGGTGACTTACTTTGTGCTGTTGGTTAGTTATTTTTCATAGAACATTTTATTTTTGAACTTGGCAGGCATTTAATCAAAATTTTCTTAATGTTGCATCATAAAAACCTCTAACATTGCATCATAGCTAACTCTACCTGGTCTACACAACACTAAAGTGAAGTGTAATTTTTAAACTGCCAGAGATGATTCTAACTTGGTTATTGCTTAAATTTTATCATGCATTGATATCAAAGATGTTTTAAATTCATCAACTCTCTGAAGAGCAGTTGCCCAAACCTAGCAAAATTGTGAAAAAAATTCCTGAAGGCAAACTTTTATATTAAGATAGGGTTGTTTCTGTACAATAAAGTCAGCTGGACAACCATATTTTGCTGCTTTTCTTTTAATGATCTTGTTGATACAAAGCTGATCATCTTTTTTGCTTTAGATGCAGAGACCAGTAGCTTTGAAGATAAAGACAGAAGAGAAAGATTTCTGTCACTTCTTTCATCTCTTGCAGTATGTTTCCTTTTCAATTTTGCTTCAAATCAATTTTTTTTAAATTTTAGAAAAAGTAGTTTATCAATAATGCATTGTATTTCTATTGCCTGAGTAAAAACTATACAGGCAACTGCAAGAAAACTTTCATCATACCTTAATGACAGTATGTCTTCTTAGCCATAAAATTGTATTGATTCAAAGTGTTTTCAAGTATTGACAAAGTAGCAACTGTGATTCTTGAGTTGCAAGATTTGTAAGGTAAGGTCTTACATATTTGGAGTTTTCATAGTTTGTTTCTTTTTCTAAGAAAATGTATAGAGAATGTATACTTTTTAACAGTGGCGGACACTTGGGGGGGGGGGTGAGTGAGGTGACTGCCCCCAATACTTTAGAGGACAATTGTCTTTTGTTATAAAACAATGGGAAATGTGACATTATCTTATTAAAACAATAGGCTTGTCCCCCCCCCCAATAATTGACTAAGTGTCTGCCCCTGCTTTTTAAGATAGATCATTATTCATTTTGATAAAACTTTCAGCCAGTTATCTTTCTTGTAGAGTATCTTGCCTGACTCCTTGCTTAAAGAGAGACTGGAGCCTGAGACCTTGCAGCAAGCTGGAGTTATTCAAAGCCAGAAAAATTTCAATCAAAAGTTGATCAGAACAAAAACGAAGCTTTTGTGAGTTTTCCTGTTATGTCTAAAGATTTTTTTTGAAAAGAGATTTGTGCAGCCTAAACTACCACTACAGGCAGGTACATCACTTTAGGTGCTTTACCTAGTTTTTTGTCCCAAAAACTGAAGTATGTTGTTCCAATGTTCCATTTCTTTAAGCTCTGCAAATTCACACCGAAGTCCTTCTAAATATTAAATCTGAATATAAAAAGTTATTTTTTGTTACTTGAAACCAGAGGTGGGATCATTTGGTGACAAGGGAAAGGACAGAGGGCAAGCCCCCATGAGATATATTCAGGTCCCTATTCTTTTTCATGACACCAAGCCTTTCTGTGCAACAATGCCCATGCTTATAACATAAGGCATTAAAGTTAGAGTGGAATTACAAAGAAAAGATGTCATAGTTCTTGTACATGAGATGGTGAAGATGTTGATCAAGTTATATGCCATCGTACCCCTTACCCTAACATTTCCTCCTTGACTTCCAAGGAGTATAAAATCTAGCTATCCGCTGGCTTCTGTGTGATGTTGCCTCTAAGAATACACTGTTTCAATATACTTCTATCTAACTTTATCTGTGTCTTCCTCATGAACGTATTTTTGAGCTTACATCATACTACTTTTTAAAGATACTACTTGTAAGGAAAGTTTTATTTATTTACTCCCTTTTCCTTTGGCAGACTAAATGAATAATTGAATGTCTTTACCATCTTTGCTGGTATAATTCATCAATGCTATTAATGTATATCACTTATCAGTTTAATCTTTTTCTAGTTACAAACAACAGAAATTTAATTTATTAAGAGAAGAAAATGAAGGATATGCCAAGCTTATTACGGAATTAGGCCAAGAATTTACGTCGCAATTCACTCCACGACAGATGTTAGATTGTATCAAATCTCTTATAGGTTGGTTGGGAATTATTTTCATGTTGTCACTAATGAATTTTTAAGTTTATTAATGAAAAGCAATTAGTTTATTAGTGAAAAGTAATCTGGAATATATCACAATATAAATCTTTGACTTATCATTTCCAGTACCCGATTTCTTCAATTTTGATTTGATTTTTTTACCTTCTATTAGAAATTATTCGAACATTCTAAATTTATCTAACAAAATGAAAGTGGCCTTTTATTTTTACTAGCAATTTATTTTTATTCAAATATGAACATACAGCTTATCGTTGTAGCAAATGTGATCCATTTTCTTTCCTTGCAGGGTTTTTCAACTTGGATCCAAACAGAGTTTTAGATGTCATCCTTGAGCTTTTTGAATGTAGACTAGAACAATCGAAATTTTTTATCGACCTCCTTACGCAATACCTGGGACATTGTGACATAACTGGTCTTTGTGACATTATTGGTTTCAAGTTCCAGTTTTACCACGTATGCTCTCAATTTTGCTTTTCCATTTATTGTCCAATAGTTTTATCATGCATCAAATTGAATGGTTTTTCGTTCTGTCAACATGAATCTATCAAAGGTATCCAATGACTGATAATGAAATCTTTATGGACTCAGAAGAACCAATTTTGAACTTTCCTTGTTTGCTATCCAACCTAGAGATGCTTATTTGTACCAACTTCATCTCGAAGTTCGTGTTTCAAACGCTTAGTTTGTTTTTATTTTAGGATACTCCTGATACAAAAACTCCGATTGAATTGTACAAAGTTACAGCTATGCTTTTGAAAAATGAAGTCCTACATTTAGATGATATATATCCACATGTAAGTGCATTGAATTGTTTTGATTCTCCTGTTTTAAATCAGTGAAAGTACTCCTTATATAAATGTTGTAGGCTTTCAATAAATGGTAAAACCTATTGCAATATGGGTAGTCTAGCACCACCTCCGCGCATATATACATATTTACACCGTAATAATTCGAAGCCATGGACGGGGCTTATTCAAAGCTAGATACTAAAGAACTATGCTTATTCGTTAAGATGGCTTATTCAAATATTGATCTTTTTTCGGAAGGGGGATCATATTTATGAACGAAAATTTGGTTTAAAATGACCTGGATAAAAATGCTGTTAAATTACATTTTATCAAACTAATTCTTCTGATAACAAGCTAATGGCTACGATTTGCTTCCACTAAAATCATAGAATGGGATGTTGTAAGTTTTTTATGATGATGAAAAGGATTTGTAAACCTTTGCAGCTTTCACATACAAAGTAATGTATATTATTTAAAGCTTCTTAACGCCAATCTTCATCATATTTGATTTTGAATAAATTTTACTTGAAAGATTTTTTCATCATAAGTTTTAATTGGTCCACACAGAAACAATTTAGGGTTATCTTTAGACTTTAAACACCTTATCAAGGATTCTTTAATGTATCAACAACAGAAAATAGCAGGCAAGAAAATAGCAGGCAAGAAAATAGCAGGCAAGAAAATAGCAGGCAACAATAGAAAAGAGAAGGAAACCAATTTCTGTACATTTCAAAAAACATGTAGGATCCTCTTTCATATTTTTATAGAATCACTTTGCTTGTGAATGTATCAAGCATGGTTGCCAATAAACAACTTGGTTCTATTTCCCTTACGTCCACATATTTTTTCTATTTTAAGCTCATGCCAAAAGATGCGGAGATCGCAGAAATGAACAAAAGAAAGATTCTCCTTGCCAAAGAAGATGCGAAAAAAATGAATGTTGTCCTCCTCACTGTACGTCTATGAGATGTTATTCTAAAGTTTGCTTAAACTTCCATTTGTACTTAAACTTTCAAGATTTGAATGATCCCAATTCTTTAGATCTTGGAACAAAGTGTGATGCTGTTAGTAAACAACCTAGGCACTTGATAATACGTTAGCTCAGGACCATTTTGATTCATTCTGTCAATTAAGGCATTCTCAAACTGCCCTATCTTTAAACAATAATTTCATTATCGTACATGTGAGTTGATGTCATTGAAGTTGAACATTTCAAAGTGATATTTTGTCCAGATTTTGTCCTATCTTAGTTATAAATCGGATTCTAGCTATCTCAAATCTAAATTCAACTGTCAAAGGCATGCTGCAAAAAGAACGTGTAAGTCAAATGTCGCCTTACTCCAAACACAAAGTTGATTGTATTTTGCAAGCCTGAAAATTTTCAAAGAAAGAACGACTAAAGGCATCAATTTAGTTCGTGAATTTCGTTCCTTTGTGATTTATTTTTCCACCTTTTAAGGAAAATGAGAACTCTGAAGAAAAAGATGGCAAAGAACAGAGAGAGGAAATGGTAGGGAAAATTCTGAGTAAATTATACATATTATAACGTCTTTGCTTTTATTATTCTCGTGGCATGGGGTCTCTTCAAGTTATTACCTGTATCCGTGCTTCGCCAAGAACAATGCGAGGTGAAACAATTTACATTGCTATCAGTCGTCAAAAATTGAGAATCAGTTGGTCAGCTAGTAAGTACTTCGAGCATAACAGCAAGGTCTAAACTGGTATGTTATGTTTATAATTAAAATAGCAAAACCTAACACAGAGTAACTTGACTTCTTATTCAAACATCACAATGATTTAGATGTGCGTAGCCTCTGTGTCTTACAGCCTCTATGTCTCCCAGCCCCTATGTCTCCCAGCCCCCATTTCGCCCAGCCCCTGTGTCTTGCAGCCTTTGTGTCTTGCAGCCTCTGTGTCTCTCAGCCCCCTTTTTCTTCCAGCCCCCATTTCTTCCAGCCCCTATGTCTCCCAGCCCCCATTTCTCCCAGCCCCTATGTCTCCCAGCCCCTGTGTCTCCCAGCCCCTATGTCTCCCAGCCCTTTGTGTCTCCCAGCCCCTGTGTCTCCTACCCCTATGACGATTTATGCACTTTTCGGATGACCTTTCGAAGATGCTGTTACCCATGTACCACTCTTGTATGATGTTGTCTATACCGAATTTCATTACAGGAGATTGATAACCAAAAAGCTGGGTTGTGTCTTGCACTCTTGGAGATCGGTGCCTGGGAGCAAGCCAGTGGGATTATGGACAGGCTGCCGAATTTCTCTCTTCTCGATGAGCAAAACATTGTCAAGTCATTGTGTTACGTCATCCATAGCACTATTGAGCCTTTGTATAGGAGGTAGCTACATGTTTGCATTTTATCCGCATTTTGATAAGGAAGCTGATAGCTCAACACAGTTATTTGCTGAATTGGTTCGTAAAGTTATTTGGGAGATGAAAGATAACTTAAAGGTATTGGGGTAGCTGGAGACTTTTCCAACAATTGCAAATTGGGGCACTTCGTCCACACTGGTATGAATGATGAATGCTATGGTTTGATATCAATGGATTTGTTAGGGGCCACCCTTTACCTTTCCACTCTTTATTTCCAACCACTTTTACCAATCTTCAAAACGCTCTTGAAATCTCAGGCATTAAAAGTTTTTTACCATTATTTTTTAAAATGGAGCCCATACCGATTTTTTGAAGTTCTTTTCTTTTTAAAAAAATGTCAGATCCGTCAATGATATGTTCATCTTAATTTCTTCATATTTTGCAGTCTTCTTCATAACAAACTTATTAATCCTAATGAGTAATTTAGAGCTTTTTAGAAAAGTGATGGTGCTGTTAAAAGCTTCATCAAATCAACCTGAGTAACGGAAAATTAATCTTTAATTATTAATTAAAGGAATTGACCAGGTGTAAAGAGTTTCCAGTGAGTCAGAAGAGCTAAAATGCAACACCATTCTGATTTTAATCATGATGGTAGCCACATGTCTGTACCTCATTTATTTAGTCTATTTCCTGTAGTCGTTGAAAGCTGAAGTCATTTTGGCTAGACACTGAGAAGTCTCTTGTCTTTCATTAGAATTCTGTCCCGAATTGTAATCAAAGAGTTTTTGGCGTGGAAGCAATATATAGGATACTGATTTGTAAAACCTGTCTTTTTATTGTTTTTTAGGTACAGCCCTAAAGCTGCACTTGGCAAAATATACCAAGAAATCGGTGAATGCCAGCGCTGTGTTCAGTTCACTGATCTTCCGGTGACGATTTTTCCAATGTTCTTCCACTTAGGCGCTCACCTGCATGCAGATCCGGTTCTCATGATTAAAGTTATTAGAATTTGCAAAGCTTTCATGAAAGAGGTGAGCCTTGACGATTTTTTGTTTCTATTCACATGGCATACTGTAGAAAATTATATCCTGTAAATGCATACCTTAATTTAGCATAACGTTTTTAGAGAAAACCTTTACTCCCCTAAGATGAAAGTTTCTGTCAGTGAGGCGAACTTTTTTTAGTTCTCAATGTTTTTTACCCTGTAATTGGGCCTAAACTTCTTTGAATCTAGACATCCAACATTTTTGTCGAATTTTTCTTTTTGTTAACTATTTGCATGCAGCATGGGGTTAACAAACTTTCAACGATGATAAATGCGATTGAAAAACAACATATATCTTTCCCAAAACAAGTATTTTGAGAAAGAAATACTATACTCTAACATATATGTATTCTGAAAACACGAAAGAAAAATTCTTGAAATATATATAATAGTCATAGTTGAACGTCTAGTAGACCTAAGCTTTACGGAAGAATATCTGCGTTGGAGGCTTATTTGTCATGTTGACTTTGAGCCAAAATGTTCTTCCAAAATTATTGGCTGATTTTCTGGCATGAACTCAGAGATCGAGTTTTGTGCTCGTTCCATCAGCTACATAAACATACACCAGTAGTTAGTAATCCAATAACCAATTCGTATGATATGAAAATGACTGATCTATCTGAAATTCAATTGATTCGGTCATTCAGTTCCTATGCACAAGAGTGCTCCCGATGCACTATGAATTCCAGAGTTGAAATGATCACATCTCTCATTTACAATTTTTTTTCTCAGTTCAACCAGGTCTCGGAGATTTTGAAAGGAAAGTATGTAAGTATTGACGTTAACCTTATTTGCTTTAAAGTCTTTTGATGTTTTAATATACTTATCCGTTTTTATATGAGTATTTGGTAATGGAGCAGTTATTGCAAAGTCTCATTTTTGTCAACAACATTTGTCATTCAACAGCTCTTTTCTTGTCATATATGTTCCCTGTAATTTCGCATTAAAGATACCTCTCATTAAATTAGACAAGCAGTATGATATTATTGCATCATGTTAGAAATTGTTCCAGATTCTGAAAATGTCAGTCTACCATTTCTAAGGGTTGGCAGTTTCACAAGATCTGCCTGAAACTCACTTCCCAGCCATAGATCCCCGCCAAACGCCGCAACCTCAATGCCTGGATATTGCAAAGAAATCATGTCACATTGTACATTATGTTGTTTTTTGCATACTACCTGATTTGGCAGAATTTTCTCAATATTTCTTCCGTACTGTTGCATGCTATAAAAAGTGTCTTGAGTTTACAGCTACGATTTTTTCATGATCATAGCTCTGCTTTTCAAGACGACAAAATCTTTCCCCTGATTCAACTCGCAAGTGCCAGTCTTGAATGTACCTTCTTATGAATTTTGGCGATTTCACGGCCTCCGGCAATCTTTGATGTCTAAATGCCCCCGCAACTAAATTCACAAGACTCAATGCTTTATTTTTCACGTTTGCTTTCAGCTGCCTGTCTGGTCCGGCATCCTGACCCTCCTTGACGAAGTACTCCTTCCATCGTTGTCTCTGATGGAATGCAACTGCGCTGTCGCAGAAGAAGTTTGGGGGCTACTTAAGTACTTCCCTTACGAAGTGAGGTGAGATGTCTATTTAGATTTGAATTAATTTCCGCTTGTTGAGGCAATCTTTTTGATCAAATAAAGTATCATTGATTATATTGTTTTAATGTAAAGTAGATTTTATGATGCGTTAAGCCATAAGGCGGCATCTTTAATTACACAGGCAGGGATGATATCTTTTACTGACATAGTTTTATAATGTAAGGGTTTCGAAGCCATGAAAATAAGAAACCTTGTTGTCGTTACCTCCCCATTTTTTATCCCTTCTTCTTTGGTAACATCATTTAAAGCTAGGCAAAAATTTAGGAAAACTGTGCAAATAGTTCATCAGAGGACGCCAAAAAATTATCGGAATAATTTTATTTACGATTTCAAAAAGCAACGAATTTGGATGTCTCTTTGCTGGTGTGTGTCTAATCGATACAAACAATGGCTAAACAAGAAAACATTGTTTAAATTTTTAGTCTACTTTAGAAATTTTGTATTGATACTTGCTTTCAGTCTTAATGCTGTATTTTATGTATGCTGTAACATCTTTTAGATTAGCTATGCATTTACCCGCCCAAACCTCATTTCCCATCTCTTTCGCCATCTTCCCATAATTGAGATTAGAATGTTTATTCTCAAGTGATGAATCGGCTTGCCTCATGGCACCACCCCCTTTTTTCGTATCTGTAACGATGTGCTATTCGTTCAAGGTATCGCCTGTACGGGCAATGGAAGAACAGTAGCTATAATTCTCACCCATTGCTTATCATGGCCAAGGCAAAGACTTTGAAGAAAGCAAAGTATATTACGAAGTAAGTAAACCATTAGGAAGTTTTTCTACGATGGAATCTTGTAATTTCTACAATGGCCGATGCAGCATTAAACATTTCTGCCTGGTAATGTGATGTTCCTTCGTTTTGTTATAACTAGACGTCTTACAAAAGAGAACATCAAGCCTTTTGGCAGGCAGATTGGAAAAGCGAGTCACAGTAACCCTGGAATATTGTTTGAGCATGTAAGTGATTCGGTGACGTCATTGATCTTTTGAACAATCTTCTCTATATTGATTGTATACCCACTGATAGCTACTAAAAAGTGTATTAATGATGAATGAATTGCCATAGCATTCTCTGCTCTCGAAAATTTACCGTTCCTTTACGATAACGCTCTTTACGCAGAGTACCTGGTTCTGTTTCGAGTTTTTTGCGTATTTCTGTCGTACTGTTTGTTGTCTTGCATTAACAGCTGTCTTGTGTTTCATAGCTAGGATTTCTTCATAGTCATAGCTGCTGTTGCTAAAGACAACATCCAGTTGTAATCACATACCACATCTTTTGATTTTATTCACCTGTAGCTGGGCTTTCTGGTCTTCAGCAATGTGCAACAGAATACTTTTTATTCACATCAACGTCTTTGTTATGTTCTTTAAAAACAATGTCATTTTCTATCTTTTTTCTTTCTTATTCCAAAGTAATTTTTTCACTGACATTATGCTTGATTTAAACCCACGAACCCTATGGCATATTTTACTAAGCATCCTTAATTTCAGCATTTTAGTGTTTTTCTTTACACTTATCGTCACTTATTCTGTTCCATAGATCTTAAACCAGATTCAGAGGTATGACAATTTTATTGGGCCAATGGTAGACGCTCTGAAATTCTTGACGCCATTGGCATACGACGTCCTGTCTTGTATCCTTCGTATATGTCATATGACTCTCGATTTAAATCAGCAATCTTCTAACACATATTTTATTCAGTTCGTATTTTGGAATTACTTACGTAGCCAATTCTCTTCAGTACATGATTAGTTGGGAGTTGTAAAAGAAGCGGAGTTGGTTTTGTTTATAAGTGAAAAGGGGTTTATAACAAAGGGGATAGGGTAGTGTAGAGCGCGGTGTAGAGGCAGTTGGTTAGTTACACAAACAACACAGAGAGAACAAAGTTTAGCAGATGAAAATAACTGCTTTGATATGTTTGTTTAAAGGGAAGAGTTCTCCATTATTGAAAATAATTTTATCTCCGGAATGATTCAATTTATCTAAGTTGTACAAATCTGGTGCATGACCATTCTGAGTATCAAAATCAATAGCTAACTAATCTTTATAACGTTTTCATGCACTTATAGTAGCTTTGAATGAGTTCTCCTTAACAATAACCAGTTTGTGTCATCGAAGCTTTAGCTAATCCCGACCGAGAGAGGATGAAACAGTCGGATACAAATATCTCAGACTGGCTACAAAGTAATTTTCTGTTAATTCTTACAATTTCTTTTTACTTTTATTTCTAAATCACCTTACGGTGCCAAAGTTATCACTTGATGAATGTAAGGATCTTGAATGTAGAAAAGTAAACAAATTGAAGCTAATTTCTCAAAAAATACGGCTAAGAACAGTTAAGAATTCTAAATAAGATCTTTTTCAAAGGCTTCTTTATATGAGTCTCGAGGGTCTGGAATCATTAGCTACAAAGGCTCCGAGATAAACTGAGATAAAAACCCATTTGTAATCCCTGATGACGTCATTTAAGTTAAAAGGCTGATAAAAAGGCTTCACAGTATCAAACTGCCTTTAATTGTTTATAGTTTTCTCGCCAATTACTCAATTCGCATTTAATATATATCAGCTCACTTGTTGGCCAGGAAAGTTTTCTGCCTGATTTTAATTTTGTACTGTTTATTTCCCTTCAAGGTCTTGCATTGTTCTGTGGAACGGTTTTCAAGAAATACGCCATTGAGCTGACAGGACTACTTCAGTATGTCGCAAACCAGTTGAAGGCAGGAAAGAGGTCTCTCGCTTAGATGCATTTGAATGTTTTTAGACTGTTTACAGAAGTGGCTTGCAATATGCAGGTGGATTGTTGCTTTCGTCATCCACCGTCACATGAGATTTTAAGTGCTGGGAAATCACCCTTTTAAATGTCAGATTGTGCATTATCTGAACTCCTAGTGGGATGTTCAGTGGCAAAGTTCACCAGCTATGGGATGTTTTAATACCCATTATCAGGGTATCAACTTGTAGGGATCTGAGAAGTTCAAGTTTTTGAGAAGTTCAAGTCTTAGTTGCTTTGTAAAATCATTCTCCGCAGTTTTTCCAGACTCATTTACCACCTACTTACCACTCGTTTTAAAACCCTGGTGTGCATGACCTGTTATTTATGACACATAACTTTAAAGTCAAAAGTAGCGCATACTACCTGACTGGTAGAAAATTGTGTGTTTTTCTGCCAAATTGAGGTATGCAATACATTCGTCTTGTGTTTTGCAGTCAAAATTCTGTATTTGATGTTTGACTGTTTCTGGTCAAGACGAAAATAACCAGTATTGTATTGAAGGATTCCTCCATAAAGTTTTTTACTTGGGATGCTCTTGTTATGCACTCACCATATAAATACTTCCACGACGCTAGATTTGTCTTTAACAATGTTATTTTATAACCAAGTCTTTTGACGTCTTTTGCTTTATTTCGCGGCGTGGCCTGTAAGACCATGTTAGATTCAGTCTAGTTTCACGTTGCCTTTTTTTGCTGTTCTAAAGCCTCGATCTGCTGGTTCTAAAAGAGGTTGTGCAGAAGATGTCAGGAATTGAACTAACAGAAGAAGTAACACAAACTCAGCTAGAAGCATTATGTGGAGGAGACTTACTCAAAGCAGAGGTATGCATTGATTATATCATGGTTAAGAACCACTGTTTTATGTGTGGGGTGTTTTCTGTGTTCAAACTTACCTCTGTCTAAGATGTTACAAACGGCTGGTTAAAATTCAATGATATAATCTCACTTATTTTCCACGGAAAATATGCGGCCAGCACAGTCTTTCCTTGCAGTTGATTTGTACTAGAAATTCTTACTAGAAATTTGTACTAGAAACATCACAGAGCACGGTTGTATTACCATAAGTTCGTAATACTAATTTCTGCATGCTACCTGATTCGGCAGGGCTAGCTCAGTATTTCTGCCGTACTGTTGTATGCTATATCAAATGTCTTGTTTTTCACAGCCATGATTTCTGTATAATCATCGCTGGTCTCAAAACAGACTAAAAATATACGTCATCATTCACAACCCTTATATTTAACAATGGAATTCGAGGTAGCAAGGTTGAAATTATGAATAAGATTAAACAGTCGAGTGACTTTGCTCGATCAGGTTTTAATGAAGACTCTAGTTGTTCTTAAAAATTTTGTATCGTTCTATAATTGTTTTGTTCTCCGATTAGGGTGGATATTTTGGTCAGGTACGAAACACGAAAAAGTCCTCGCAACGGTTACGAGATGCACTTATCGAAGGAAAGCTCACTATACCGCTCTGTCTACTGATTGCGCAACAGCGAAACGGTATCGTTTTTGTTGAAGATACGACAAGACATCTTAAACTAGTAGGGAAAATTTTCGATCAGGTAAATTACATTCAGTTTGTAAGCTTTGAAGTACTCTCCTTTCAGAACGAAGAGTTCTCTTATTCTTACGGAACCACCATGTTATATACGGACACATTATATACAGACACAAGACAGAAATTTAGCCGTTTATTGGAAGGGATCTTTGTTTTTCATCTAGTCAGTTTGGTTTGTTGTCTTGTGACCAAGGGAATGTTATTAAAAAACAACAGTCCGTGTTTCCCCAGTATTAATTTGTCAGGACCAGGATTTCATTTCATGATGTTCTTGTTAGTAGCTTTGTACCCCTCAAGGGAGGGTGTGTGAACAGGGTATGTGCTGGCTGTTTCTTTTGCATCTCAGCTGCTTCTCCTGAAATGCAATGATTTCACGTGAAGTAAAAGACTCGGTACTGCTGCAGTGTTTCAGTAACATTTTTAACCCATTATCCCCACGAATCTTTATTTTGCACACTTGAACCTTAACATGTCAATCCGTTTATCAAGTGCCAAGACACCTTGGTGCAGTTTGGTGGTTTCTTAGCAACGCAGCTGAATACAGATGATTACGAGGCTAACCTGCCTTCCTTGGATGAACTTCGCCGTATTTATCACATCACGCCAGACGCCGCTTTCTGTCTATCAAGGCCATTGTATCGCCACGCAATTCAGGTACGAGGAATGAATCTCTCTTTTGATACGACTCTTTTGCAAGTATTTTTTACGTAGTCTCTTTTAGCAAGCTCTGTAATCATTCTTGATCCCCAATCTTAGCTTGGCGTGGCTTCTGATGTGGCTTCTACCCTGCAAATGTAGTAATCTGAAAACATGTTCAATTTCTTGTTTGCCGGAAAAAGTCATTGAGTTATGCTCTTGCTGAAAATCAAGGTTTTTTTTATCAAAGTTTGTCGTACTTCCTGTTTCAATTCCTACAGAGAACAATCTTCAGAGATCAATCAGAGATCGTATTCTAGCAATGTTTTGTAATAGTTTTGTAATGTTTTGTAATAATGTTTTGCGGGTCTTAAAAGCTGTGTTTTCTCTATTTTTCAGCTGCAAGTCGATGCATTTAAGAAAAATGAAGGACAAGACAGATCTAAGACTGTAAAGCAAAGAGTAAGTAAATGTAGTTACAGAATTTGTTAACTAAATAACAATCTCTGTCATTAGACAAATTAATAACGCATTCATTCTGACTTTTAGCATATCAAACATATTTCTTATTTTGTATGCAGATGATTTATAATTTGTCCTTGTAACTAATTAAAACAGAGTAGATCGGAACTCTTTGCAGCAAAGTTTTCATGTTTTTTAGCAAGAAGCTTTGGAGAAGAATTTCTGTGAAGTTTCTGATGATGTTTATCGACCGGTCATTGAATCAGCAATTCCTCTGCATCCTGCAAAGATCTGGAATAATCTAAGGTAAACTTCTAAAGAAGATATTTTTATACTTAAATTTGCCTTTCAGTTTACCGAGGGGTTTTTATGCCTTTCCAATGTTTTTTTCCATTATCTCGAGATGTAACTAATAGGGGCGGTAACTTGGTCCTATATTGGGGGGCGAGTCTATTGTTTTAATAAGATGACGTCACATTCCCTATTGTTTTAGAGGAAAAGACCATTGTCCTCTAAAGTATTAGGGGGCAATCGCCCCCGCCTCCCCCACAGGTGTCTGCCACTGGTAACAAAGTTCGCCTGTTTAAAAAATGTCTATTGTTTATTGGCAAGGAAGTTCTTCAGTCTAAATTAAAATTTTCTTGCTTATAAAGGATTTGGTTATTTCTGGTTTAGAAATTTAGATCTTGTCTACTGAACAGAATGTTATTGTTTCCGTCATTTGCTTAAGAACCACTTCATACCAATTTATTTGCATGTTGTTTTCTCTTTTCAGCCCTCAGCTTTATACAGTATTTTGGTCCATGGCCATGTATGATTTGTATGTCCCCCTGGAGAGATATGATGCTGAAATTCATAAGCTGAAATTGGCCATTGACAGTATAGATGACAACAAGGAACTGGTAGGCATCTTTAGTCACGGGGGTATTTTAAAAAAAAGCTGCATCGAATGTATTGCCTGTAGTTTAAAGTTTATCTTCCACCTGTGATACGTATTTCCTTTTGCCTCTTGATAACGAAGTAATTTATGCTTAACTAAACGAATCAATCCCCCTCTCATTCCCCAAGTAAACCTGCGCTCAAAGGGAGAATATTTTGTAACACATATTAAGCTTTTATTCAAACGACTGGTGTGAACTTTAACTCTCGACTGAAGTATTTACTTATTGTGTGTCACAAAACGAGAATCAGTTTTGTTTGTGTCATTGCTTCTGGGAATTTTTGATCTCTTGGTATTTTGGCTTTGTGACTGTGTTAATAGTATTGAAGATATTAAGAGTATTAAGACATCTGTGTTAAATCAATATGAAAACGTCTGCATTTTGTTTTAATGCTTAAAATGCCATATCGTTCTATCAAGTTTAGAAAAGATCTGGTTGGTTTTTTCGTGCCTATTTCATTTATAGAACATCTTCCTTTAAAATATCTTTTTCTTACCTGTTAGACATCTTTGACGAAGAAAAAGAAGGAGAAAGAAAGATGTCAGCTGTTGATCGACAAGCTGAGAGAGGAGCAACACGTGCAGCAAGAACACAATCGTTGCGTGAAGAAATGGCTTGAAACGAAGAAAGAAGGATGGTTTCCTTCAAGTGAGTTGTTGCTGGAATATTCATATAGAAACGTAGCCTATTACACGCTGTCATGTTGCAGCACTGGAATCAACGGTCGCGGAGTTTCAGAACCTTTGGCCGTCCAGGAGCTGGATGCTGCTTTTGTAAAAATAATGCATACATTGTTTACTGATGTCGTTTGATAAATACTTTAGTTTAATTAATGCTATAAAATGTCATAAAAAATGTTTCACAAAAATCAATTAACTATTTAATTAACGCTCAAAAAATGTTCCCTTATTTGCTGTCGTCGGAGAGATAGGTGTCTTTAAATCGCCACAAGCTAATTATAAATATTCATCCATTAACTCTGTATATAGTATTAATCTTTGCTAAAAATGTGAATTATCAATTTTTTTATACTGCAGTTGCGTATCATGTTTGTCCTGAATTCCCTTGCCTGAGTTTCCTTTGTGGTTGCGAAGCAAACAGTGTATCTGCAAAAATTTAGTTCCCTGCGCAGATGTATCAAGGATACTAATATACGGAAGCTGTCAGCGCCCTGTTTTTAAAGAGGGGGGTAACCTTTACGTTAAACAAAGACCATTGTCACTTTTGACATGTTCACAAGATATAACTGTATCTTTTGAAGCCCCTCTTCATTTCCTGGTATCAAGCTCCCTTCTTGTTATTTTGCAGAGACTGCTAAAGGGGAAACCATAACTCAGTTTCTACAAATATGCATTTTTCCGCGATGTGTGTTCACTGCCAATGACGCTGTTTATTGTGCCAAGTTCATACACATTATACATACTCTGCAAACGCCAAATTTCTCGACGCTTATTTGTTTTGATCGAGTAAGTACTTTTTATTTAAGTATCTAATTGCTTTCTCTATATATTTTGTTGTCTATAAACTGTCATTATTTTACTTTGTAAGATTGACAATTTTATTCAGATCAGGTGTGGAAACTGAACGGTTTTTGCAATGCCTTTTCTTTGACTTAGAAGGACGGTTCTATTTCAGCTTATGATTGATTTGCTGTTTCTAATCTTTAGCAGAAGGTGGACAGTCACAGTAGCAAAAGGCTAATATTGATAAAATTAAATTGATTTCTTATACTTAGGTAACTCGGTACTTACTCACACACGGGATCTCTTAAAATCCTTGGCCCGAAAAGTCAGTGACCGAAAACATAAATTGATTTCGTTGATTGATCAGTTATTGATCAGTTATTTCCTTGAAGGATATGGAAAGCAATCCTCATCGAATCTCTGCTTTCATTTGTTTTTCTATGTTTTTCCTAGGTGTTTTCTGACATATCATATATTGTTGCCAGTTTGACCGAAAACGAAGCCAGCAGATACGGTAAGTTTCCTATCCCAAACATTGAAACCTTTCGTATAGAAGTGATTTTAGCAACCTGTTTCGTAAACCCAAAATAATTCAATTTTCTTTATTTGATATATGCTCGAAGAATCATTGAAAGTTTTGGATTTTAATAATAACCTAATCAGGCGTCATTAACCCCTAAAATTTCTTATGATCATGTATCTTCTGTTACCCTACACCAACAATTAGCTTTCTGGCTATTGATTGGCATATTTCTTTAAGGTCGGTTTCTCTGTGCAATGCTTGAGATGGTTATGAGATGGCATCACGATAAAAGACTCTACGAGCAGGTTTGATTTCAGTTTTGCAGCTTCTCAATTTTGCTGTCTCTTTTTGTTTTACATGATTCTTACTTATCTGTATTTAGGCATTGTTTGCTAGCTCCGTTGTCTTTGTGATATGAAGAACAGGAATCTGGAGTGCTTTAAGGCTCTTCAACATACCACTAGAAAAATGTCCGTCACCCAACAGAATGTAACGATATGAATGTAATGAGAAGTTAGGAAGGGCTATTATAGGTGGCCAGTTTTCTTTGTTCAGCACCAATGTAAGGGATAGTGTTTAGCAACGAGACTGCTTCTCCACAAGACCAGTTGCATCTTAACTGCCTACCCTACCTGATATGTGAAGCGAGTGCCAAGTTGTAATTAGTTTTGCTCAATACTTTATGATTAACGCAATTATATGCTCATTCGTTTTAGTTCTTTCAGGATCACATTTAATAAAGTCAAGCTTCTTCACCATATTACCCATTGTTGAAGTACTTCCCAAATTTATAAGTTAAGGGAAAAAAGCAAAAAGAACCACGTCCAGATTTGATATCCTTATAGTCCAAAGGTATTCCTTTAATTTAATTTCTTTACTTCAGGAATGTAGCAAATTTCCAGGCTTCCTGACCGTCCTACGAGCTACCAACAACGAGAAAGCAGATTATTTGGACTACGAGAACTTCAGGCATGTCTGTCACAAATGGCAGTACAAATTAACCAAGGTAATGAGCTTCAGAACCGTTTATGTGGTGCGAATTTCCTTTGCTTCTGTCTTATTCGTCAGATTTGTGGTAATTCAGTTGACATGCCTGGCTGACGTCGCAGCTACCCTCTTTTTTCTCATGCTGGCTCCCCCAACTGGCCTGCTCGCTCTCATTTTGGTTTAACTACCGACAAATTGCCGGATCTTCGTTACGTCGAAACTCAGATAAGCTTTCATTCTACACAAGTGAAATACCGTTTTGATAAATTGGCCTCGTCTAATGACTTCGGACAGCCAAAAGAGCGGACACTTTTCTGATATCTGGAGAACATTTGAGCAGTGCTTTTGATAACACGCCTTCTAGGCCGGCTTCAGTGATGGCGCAAGAAAGGCTGACGACATGTTTTCTCTTATTCGATGTGAAAAAGGCTTCTTCTTGTCTCGGTTTGGAGTAGAGGTCATCTTAAACATCAGGTGGGAGACACCTTATTTGGTACTTTGCGGTCTTCCGTTTTGGAATCCAATTAGCAAGCACATGCTAATAGATGATTCCTTCTATGTCTTCTTTGGACATGGGAATCGAACTGTTGTAAGAAATTTGTGATAGGGGAGTAGTGTGTTCAAAAGCACCTTCACTTTGTTACTTCCTCCTTAAGGTTCCTTCCTCCTTAATGGGAATTTTTGTGTTCAACGGTTTTATAGTAATACTTCTAAATATTGTTCATTTATTAATATAGCTATTGAAGAATTCAAATATTTTCAAAGTTTCAAGGGGATTTTGATGCAATTTGAAAATTTAGCTACACGGTACTAACCTTATTCAATTTAATCTAAATGTAGGCGGTTGTTGTTTGTTTGGAATCCAAAGATTACATGCAGATCAGAAATACAATTATGATTCTCACCAAGGTAAGCATTATTTTAATTTCTATAAATACCGTTTTCTACTCGTTAACATTACTTCTCAAGGTTCACCGAATTAAGATATATCTTACACAAGGTTTCTTGCCAGATAAAACGTGAGGCTAGGAGAAGCAACTTAGATCTGTTTTGTTTTATTTATCAAAGATTTGTGCATATTTTAAAAAAGGGAACGGTTTCGAGTGTGTCAGACAAAAATTTTCAGTGTTGCAACAATTCTGCAAGAAAGATAATCTTCTTTTGTCGGTGAAAATGGTTGTTTTAAAAAAGAAGTTTTATGTCATTTTATAAAGCCTCAGATTTTGCTTCCTGCTTCTTGACATGCTTCAGGCGTCTGTATTGCTGGGATGGTAGTCAAAAGTGATGGTTAATCTAGTGGCATATCCGTTCTTTCAAGAGCATCCCAAAATCATATACTAATTTGATAATGCTTTGCCTTGGCATTGACAGCTTGGTCATAGCATAACACTGAAATGTGTATTTTTGGTATTATAAAGTGCCGTCAGTTGGTTAACTGTATATTTGCCTAACAAAAACGCTGCCATTACCGACCCTGTTGTTTAAAGGTTTTTAGATAGTTCTTTGTAGGCAATATGCACCAGTTAATTATTTTCAGAATTTCCTGCCATTTCTGATAATTCTTAATTCATAGATATTGCCACATTACCCGAAAGTCCAGAATTTAGGGCAGGCATTGGAAAGAAGGATTGAGAAAATTATCGAAGAAGAAAAAGAGAAGCGTCAAGATTTGTTTACGTTAGCAACTGGGTAAGTCGTTATGGAAGGCAGATTTGATCATGAGAAGAGCAATGCTTTTTTTCGTCGATCTTTTTTAGGAATATTGAAAGTATTATGTAGCCAAAAAAGGCTTTGATATGTAAAACAACATATGATATACGCTGGACTCGACGTAAAACTTTCATTTTAGGTATCTTGGGCTTCTCAAGTTACGGAAGTCTTCCATGGTGCCAGAAAACAAGTTTCACATCAAAGAGGAAAAGGAGAAGGTAAAGGTATTGTCAATTTTTATACAATTTGAATATTCTTGGTGCCTGTTGATGCTGATGACTATTCTGCTACATTGTCAACATATTCTGTTATTTCCCTAAAATCTTGAATCATGTCATTTTAAATTGTCTGCTCATGTTCAGATTCATTGATCCCTTTTGTTCGTAAACGCCTCTATATTTCCGTGCGCCTGCAATCCCGGACAAAATTGTTGAAACAAAATGCAATTTTTGCAATTTTCTACTTTACATTCCCCTCACTTGTGCTTCAAAAACATGCATTCAACACTGAACAGGGAAGGGGAAAATTATTTTCAAAGGAGAAGCGAAAATATTAATTTTTGTTGAACAACCTATCTGTAAAATGTTGCCATATATCGTGAGACCTTTAGGCATTCTGGACATACACAGAACTCGGCAAGTAGGACAGAAGATCTTTATGTAAAGGAACCTCTTGATTTTTTCTGACGTAGTTGTAATAATTGATGAAAAATTTATTCCCGTTATTTCTTTCTATTTCACAGCCTTCTAGTGAGCACCGTGCAAAATCTGCAGGACAGCAAGAAAAGTCAGACCGCCAGGTGAGTCGATCGGCAGTTTATGGAACCAATCTGCGGCCTGTAGACTAAGAGCATCAGAGTTATAATGTTGTTTGTTTCCGGACAGTTGGAGATATTGAGCGTTGACTGTCCACTTGCCTACAATTTTCTGGTATTTGAGGACATTCGTGCAAGAAAATTTTCATATAATCGATACAATTTGTTATAATTTATCGTTATTACGTCATGATTATAAGCTTTGTTTTTGCTCGCAGCCAGCACAAGGCGCAACTCGTGCTGCGCAGGCAACATCTAAAGATCACCAGTCAGAGGAAACTAGCTCAAAGCAACCTGGTATGTGAAATGTTTTACTAGATATTATGTCATTGCCGTTTTATATCATCATGTGTTTGGTTCTGTAACAATCATTAAAGGGTATCAGAACATGGCTTAAGATAGAAACAGCTTTAGAATAACCACACATGCTGCCTGATGCATGATATTTTGTTTAGGCCACTACTGGCTGTCAGTTTTATCCCGGTAACAAAGGTGTTTTTGAATGGCCCGAAGTACAGGAAACATGACATGTATAGCTAGAGTATACTTGCAACACCTCTCCGAAGCATAAAACACGGGGTAGAACTACTTTTAGCAGTAAGGACTTAATGTGCTCATCTTCAATTTATTCTCTAACCTTTTTCAATCTTTAGTTCATTTATTTTTATTTTTATTTTTTTATATATTGTAACTGTTTTTCTTAGAATGCAGTTTCTTCGCAGCTCCCATAACTGTATGCTGCTTTACCAATTTAAAATATATCTCTATAGGAATAGACAACTGTTTATTTCACATCATTAACCAGGATATCTTTATTTTTGAATGGATCCAGTGTGAACTTGTCACGCTTAGGTAGAGTATCTGAATATTATGGTAATTAATATTTAATTCTGTTGTTTCTTGCAGCTGCCGGTAAAGAAGTGGATCATTCGTCCGATCGGAGATCTCTTGGGTAAGTTCGTTTGCCGGTACATCTCGTGGAAAACAAGGACCTTGTGGGTTTACATTTGTATCATAAGAATCTTGGATTCTTTAAATCCGGTTTATTTTATGCGACTGGTTACTTGCTTACCAAATCAGAATGTAGGTTGTTAATAAATTGTAGTTAATTAAACATCACAAATGCAGTATCCCATCCTTAACCCATACATACACTTTTACAAATACAATCTTCAACATATCACTTTTTTCAAATTCATCAGCAAGGAAACAAATATCAAGTCAGAAAAATCCACATCAAGGCAGGAGACGAGCGCAAAGGAAAGAGAATCCTCAAAATCTCGTTCTGAAGACGAGTTGAAGTATGTCAAGAGTGTAAAGAAAACATCGAGTTCTCCGTCAAGGCATGAAAAAGGGAGAGACTCTGAGCCTGAAAAGAGTGACAGGTTAGGCCTAAATTCGTGCTCTGGTAAAACTTGTCTTGTGCTCTCTTTGAAAAAAGCTAGCCTGATGAAGAAGTAATTGAAGCATTATATATGAAACGAGGATAACTCTTAAAAGGAGGAAATGATATAGGATAAAATTAATGAAAAATTACTGTTTACCGTATAGCAAAGCTGTACAGAACGCTTTGGTTTATAGAACAAGTCTATATGATAAAATTAAGAAAAACATAGACATTATGTAAATTTGTATTTGTGAAGCATCGTGAAAACATAGAGGAAATTTGTTTGTGCAAATCAGGAAAAACTCGAGTTTTCGCACAGGGGAATCATCAGACTCTTTATTTACTTTGTTGATTTTAGGAGCCAGCGATCAAGATCAGCAGCTGGTAAATCTTCAAAAACACAGGAAGAAAGGTTCGAATTACTTTTCTACGACCCGGCTTTCAAAACCCTTGACAGATAACATTTGCCTGTAGGCCATTATGTCCTATTTAAACCAGCAGTGCACTGAGAATTACTAACATGGTACACTGGAAGGCGTTTTTAGTCATTAGAGTTGTTTACAGATCTTTCAAAAGAAAGCAAAAAAGATCTCTTATGATGTAATCTACATATTTATCTTCCCTTGTTCCTCAAACTGTTTAAAAGAATCTTCTTCAGCTTTCCTTTAAAATTGAAAGAGACACGCACGCAAGCGAGCAAGAGAGTCGACGTTGTAACGTTTTGTGACAATTTAACACCCCTAACATGGCTCTTTGTCCTTTTTACCCTTAAATCTGTCGCGTCAAATCAATGTGTTAGTGATGCGTAAAGGCCTTTATAAACCCATAATGTCCCGTTCTTGAACTTTGTTAATTTTTTGATAAACTTGGGGTTTTTATCTCTAGCATAGGTCGATTGAAAAAGGCAGTATTATTGTTATGCTCTCTCATCTCTTTTTCGTCGATAGAAACCATGAAAAGTCGCGAAGCAGGAGCCGTGAGAAAGAACGCGAAAAAGAAAAAGATAGGGAAAGAGAAAAGGAAAAAGAAAGGGAGAAGGAAAAAGAAAAAGAAAAGGAAAAAGATAAAGAAAAAGAAAGAGAGAAACACAAAGAGCCAGATAAAGAGAGGGAAAAGACACCACGAGAAAAAGATAGATCGAGTTTGGAGTCATCCAAAGCAAGTCGGAAAATCAGGCCCCACTCGCCTTTGCAGGATGGTATGAGGTTTTGTTACAGTTTTTGGGCATTAGAGAATCAGGGGTGTTTCATGATTACCCCTAAAAGATTTCCATAAAGTAAATGAATTTTATTTTGATTAAGACAAATATAAAGGGTCGGGAAGTTTACAATCCTGCATCTTTCTTCCTAAGGAAATAAAATCAATTCAGTTCGGCGTGTATTATTATAAGAAAACGTTTCATATAACAACTCTTAAGTCTTTATAACTCCATATTTTGCCATACAAATGGAATATGGAATATGGAAACGCGTATCTGAGGCAGTCTCCTGCGTTTTGTTTTGCTGTAGACGAGGCTCTATCGGTAGGGTATATATCGGTTGCACCTAAAAAGCATGAAAAAACTTTACATGTTCATCAATAAAGGTAATTTTTCATTTTGGTTGATTGTTTCAGCTTTGTAGGATTCCCTGGCAATCTGGCGAATTCTGATCTGGTGCTTTAGAATTTTGTATTGAAGTTCGATGAACCTTTTCATTTTAGATTTATTACCTCTGTTTGAAAGATGTTCTTTCCGGCTTCCAAGTATAAATTTCCATCAATGAAAATCAATGTTGAGGAGCTTTTTTTTCTAGCAATGAAATTTTTAAAGAATTGAAATTTTATGCACTATTCTTTTGCCCATCAATTATCAAAATAATTACTCAGGTACTTCGAAATACCCAGGTACTCCATTTTGTTCTTCTTGTATCATGATTTAGGTAGCACTTTCTATTTGCCTGATAATTGCTATTCACAGTTTACACATTTGCTATACATATTTTCCTAGATCCAAAAAAGAGAAAAATAGATGACGCCAAATTCGTTTCACCATCGACCAAGGTTCGTATTTTTGTTAGTTTGTATCCTATCAGTATTATATATGATAAGCAACATAAATTGTTTTACTAGCTTTTGTTGTTGTTATTTTCTAGGAAGGAACACCAGGATCACGATCTGATGACGGAAAAAAGGTAATCTTCCATAGATGAATTTTATCCTGTACAATAAACGGTTACTGACAATTATGTGACGAATATTCTAAAGGTTCCAAATTGCCCATAGAGGGCATCATAGGGTAAAAAATGATCAAGTGAAGAGCTAGATAAAATATTGTCCGGTCAGGTAGTAAGGTTTAGGAGTTCAGTTAGAAGCCTAAATTTCTAGGCTCTGACGAAGAGGTTCTCAAAAAGCAGGGGGGGGGGGGGGGAGGAAGATAGTGGAAATATCCTGTAACAGGTTCTCGGTATGGTATAGTTAAAGTCGGGGAAGTCCCATTGCAATACTGGGACTACGACTATTACTACGAAGTCAGAGGCTAACCTTTTCACTACAAAGGCAACAAGTTTATGAAATTCGTTGCCTCGTTAACTGATTACCCTGGAAACTTATTTGCAATTCAAAAAGGGTACAGAAGACCGCCATCAAAATAATTATGAACATCATAAGTAAAAAACATGGGGTTTTATTCAGTTTAACGTGACTGAGATTTTTATATTTTTTTACATTCTAGATTTATTTTAAGATTGTTATGTTCCGTAAATTTTTTGTTGACAGTTGGTTACCCCTCTTATCGTAGGCTACCAGCTTTAAGCTGTGTATGTTATTATCATATATGCGTGTCTGTAAGATTTCCATGGTCATTGTTTAAGTCGTCTTTCCTTTCCAGAGTCTTGTTTTTGTCAACGGCCCCATATCCTTTATATCATTGACGAAAAGCCTTGTCTCACTAACCCAAATGTTTTGTATGACAATTAAGAAGCATCGAGGAAGAATCTATTACGGGTGCATTGTTTTTAAACTTTTGATACAGCGTAGGGGAAAAAGCGGTCCTTTTTTTGAACAATGTATATAGGTAGAATGCGAAACGGGTACAAAATTGGACATCATAATACTTCTTGCACCCAAATCCCCCTCATATCCCCTCAACACCCACTTAACGGATTTACCAGTACCTCTTATACCCTCCCCCATCTCTCTCAACCCCCCCCCCCCATTCTAAATTGATAGGGTCTACTCTCGTTGCCCGGCTATTCCATTTCCTCAAACGTTTCATTGTCCCTGTTTGACCTAAGTGGGATTTGGATCCAGGTACTATTTATTATCCTCTTAGCCTTATAGGCCAGCTTCTTTTCCAAATCTTGGATTTTTTAAATTATTAATACGCAGTTTTGTTGGATTACTATTAAGACATCTGGAAAAATCCTTTTTTCTCATACTTATGCGCTAATCGTCGGGGATCAAAACTCTGCTGTATTTGAATCCCATGTGGTCAAAGTTCCTTTGTTCTGTATCTCAAATGTATCTCAATTTTTTCTCAAGAGAAATAGTTGGTTTGATAAAATTGTAAATGCTATCATGATGCAAAGGTACTTTATCCATATAAATTTGACCCGATAGAAATTATATTACTGGATAAAAATCATCAATTCCTATTGAAAGCAGAGGTGCTTTATTTTTATTTGGTGCTTTCAGCAGAACAATTAAATCTTCGATATGTTTTTGTAATAAGAACAAGTCTGTGTTTTGGTTTAGTTCAACCAACTTGCAATAGAAAAAAACTTGATTCCACGTTGAGGGTGGGCTCGATATCATTTTAAATAAATCTTGTTATCAAGTTTCTATCGACAATTTATTGTCAAGCTTTTTGAACATATTTTGATTCAGAATATTTCACCCAAGGGTAAATGAACACGCGTAACTGGATCTGTACATTATACGCAATCTTTCCAGCCTAGAATATAGCAAATCGGACTTGAAACCAATTGTATATTGTAATCAGAGCCCCAAGCCGTTGTTTTGTGAGAGTCAACAACCCCCGACCCCCCACCCTTGGCGGCGAACTCTATGATTTTAAACCCCTAAAATTTCTATCTGCTAGTTTCGTCACTAAATATTGGGAAACTGGCGCCAAGTGTTGTCGTGACTGTCATAAAATGTAATGAGAATAATTTTGTGTCGCATTGCAGGATAAAAAGGACAAAGATAGGGAAAGGGAAAAGGACAAAGAAAAAGACAGGAAAAACGAAAGAAAAAGAGTAAGAGCATTGCTTGTTAATCTCTAATTTCACGGCATCGATAATCACGGCATTTAAAAACGATATTTTTTAAACTAGCTGGTTTGCTGTGTATGGTGGTGTAAACCAACCATTGCAGAAGATCGCGCGAGTCAATATTTTCTACACCTTCGTATGAAGAGATCTTTTTCAATATTTCTCTCCACCTTGCATCGATAATGCATATTTGTTATCGACATTTCTAGAATCATTTATCTATTTTTACAGACATCATTAGAGATATCTGGTGAAACGAAAGATGCCAAACGACGCAAAGAAGGAGGCAAGATATATTTAGGCTTTATGCTCAAAATATTGTCACGTGTTCAGTTTATGTAATATACGACGTTAATATTGACGTTAGTATCAATCTTGGTATATTGATATTGATGTTGATATTAAATATTGATATTAAATATTGATGCATATACCTCTACGGTTTCACCAGTTTCTTTAATATATGCACTTTTGTGAGTCTTTCGTACATTGATACCCAGATGTGTATCAAGATATGTCTGGTTATTAGCTAGGGAACCTCTCGTGGCTGTGTTTTGCCATAGAATGCCACATCTCGTTTAGTTTAGCATTTCTTTTGAGGCCATTTTCTAAAATTGTGTCATATCCGGGAGCTTTTCTTGAGGATTCGATTAGTATTCAACTCAAAGCATGTTATATACTCGCTAATCTTTTCAAAAAACGCTTTGCCCAAAAAATGAGTTCGGAGTGGGACAGATCAAAAGTCAACTATTCCAACCGCGAATTTGCAATGATGCGAGTGATAATTTTTTATTCAATATTTCATTGACAGTATTTATTTCTCGTTACAATTTCAGATACCCCAGAAAGATCATCAAAGAAAGCAGAGGTTCGGATAAAAACTTTTTTGTTTTGTATATACATAAATTTTGCACTTCGAAAGCCGGATTCGCTTTTGTAATGTTCTTTTGGCTCGAGGGTAATTTGGTACAGTTGGTACTGTGGTACAAATAAAATAATCATTATTTAGAGTTTTTGCTGTTTTTGGATCTGCCCTTGTGTAAACTTATTTACCCTTCATTTCTAGATTGATTGTATATACAAAGAGTTTTCCAAGATTCATTTTATAGAACGCACAATAAGAAAAAATATTTTTGTAATTGATGGGTTGCAACTTTGTTTGATCCCGAAACATTCTTGTCAGATGCTGAAGCATTTTACAATTTAGTATCCTATTAGATGTTTGATTCCAAGGTAAAAAACCTCTAATTCATACGACTGTATGCTCTTTTTCACTCTAATGTCATATGTTCTGGACGAGGGTTTCAGTTGCAATTATAACCATTTCATTTGTCGTTGAGATGTCTTGATTTTATTTTCTATCTCAGCCCCCTAGAAAAGATAAAGAAAAGGAAAGAGATAGAGAAAAAGACGGGAAAGTGAAACTAAAAGACAGATCATCTGATAAAGAGCATGACAAGCCTAGTAAAAAGGTGAGGGTTTCCTCTTCCGTTCTAATATTACCTTCTTGAATGTTCCGTATCTTGAGTAAATTTGTGTAACACTATCCTGTTCACCTTTTTGCCTGGGTCTAAAAATACACCAATATTTATCGTTGCGTCGTTGTTAGTACAGAGCACAAATTTTGGCTTTCCAAGGAAGAGAGGTTACATTCTCAATACTAAATCTCGTAAAATACGCAGTTTAAGTTTCCTTTTCTCAATAAACTGCAAAAGAGAATTAAAACAGCGTTTTTTCATTGTAAATCTTAATCTACCTTGCAGCTCTGCTAGATAAGCTTTTGGTGCCAGAAACATAACATACTATGTGTGTTGGGTTTGCGCTTTCCGTGCTATCTCAAATCACTTTCGGAAGTCCTACCTTTGTACTCTGTTTTATGTAAACATGCAAGTAAGCCTATGCGAAACAATTAAACTTTAGTTATTAAAATTGACTTTATGTAACGCAAAAACATCTTAGTGTTCCACAAGGAAACCAAATGGTGTTTGTTTTCTATTGCCTATAATTCTAGATGTTTGTTGTATACGAGACAAAAGATGTTTATTCGTCGTCTTTCGTCTCACTGCTATCGCTTTGAAAAACAAACTAACTAGGCCTGTTATTTTTGACATTCCCAGAAGAACTTAAACAAGCTAAGCCTCATATCGCTCTGTTATCGGTTTAGATATTGCCGAACGGGTCTTCAAAAACTCAAACAGAATATTTTATTAGAAGATGGCGAGTTCTGATCGTTGTATGGTGATCCGGATCGCAGAATACAGAAGGCGGCATTCCACAAATCAAATTATCAAGCTTTTTAGAAAAAACACGGCCAACATTCAAGTTCTCATCCCGAATTAAGTAAAAATCATGAATGTTGCGATAAAATTTCCTTGTTAAAGAGATAAAACAAACCACGATATCTAGGTGGTTTGCAGTTAATGGTTGTAAACCGAATTAGCGTATGAAAACAAAAATTCACTGGGTCATGGTTTATCATCGCGCCTTGTTATCTAGTACTGGAAATAAGTTTTAATTTACATCTGCTCTGTTCTATTTGTTATGGATATTAAACGACGTTTATTGAGCGTTTTCGACTGCAATCCCAAGAGGACCCACCTACTTTCTGCTGCATCTCTTTTTTGAGCATTTTGGTTTGGATGTTATCTCGATTATAGAATTTTCCTTTATTTCCAATATTAAAGATTTTACCTCAAGATGTGTTCAAAAACTTCTCTCTTTCTCTTTAATGCAGCCTATAAGTCGTTAACTATTAGCACAAACTTTAGCAAAAGCAACGTGAGAATGCAAAAAAGGCAAAGCAATTCTCTATGAAACAAACACGGGGAAGAGCTCTGTGGTAAGGCAAGGGAGTATGGCAGGCATCTGCGGGCTGCAGCTCGCACGCTACCTCGTGGCAGCATTTGTTTGAAATAAGGGAACACGGGAGCTCTCCTAGGAGTTAGAACCACGTACTTTGGTCCTATATACAGAAAGGAACAGAGTATTTTTGTTCCAATCTACTATCGATTGACAAAAATTAAAAGCAAATGCCATGTAGTTATTTTTTTTTATTTCTGTAGTAAATTTTTTAAATGGTTTATAGATCATCATATTTGACAGTTACAAACCTGCACAGCTACGCACAGACATTCCACTCCTAGCCCTTCCACCCACTATACCCCAATCCCTATATCCCCTCCCCTAGGCTCTCCACCTCTAGTCCCTCCACTAATGGCCGGCTTTGAGCCAGTCAAAAAATAATATTTTCAATATTGACACCTTAAAGTATTTGCTGCACCAAGAATTTCAGGTCTCTAAAGCATGTTAAGATTTCTCATCTCAGTGATCGATACCAACAGTACATTGCTTTCTTGCTTAAATTGATTCAGTGAATTATTAGTCTTTGAGACTATTTACTCTTGCTTCCTTTTCGCACACAATTCCATTATATTTTGTAACGCGTGATGCAGTTTTCTTAATTCAGCTGGGTGTTGATTTGTATTCTGTTGTTAAAACATCGCATCTTCTCTTTATGAGACGACTGAAAGTCGTTTTTTCTGTCAATATATGGAAATGGATGACGGAAAACAGTTTCTGTTCTCTAATCTTGGATGAAAAACCGCTTTTCATGTAAACATGCAAGGACTGTCATATGTGTTTATTTCGCACGCTTTGATATAATGATTCTGTGGTAATTAGGCCCATCTAATATTGACTCTGACAGGGATATATTCTGTATTGCTTTGCAGTCAGAAGAATAATAATTAGATAGCAGAACTTCAATTGCCTCCATTATTAAAATCATCGTAAGCAATTAACACCACCATCACCATAATCAACCACCATCAGTCGTTGTCAATCACCAACATAATCGTCTTCATAATCACCATCATCATCAATCACTATATATTTTCATCAATCACATCATCGTCAATGATCACCGTCAATCACCAACATAATCATCTTCATCATTGCCATGATCACCAATCACTATTAATCGTTGTCAATCGCATCTTCATCATTTCATCATTGCAGCATTATTACCACAGCATCTGTGCCATTAACATCCTTATCAACGCAACCCATTCTTATCAACACAATGCTTTGGACAGTGTCAAACTTGAGTATATTGCCCAAGTTTCGGCTTTTCTGTTCCGATATCATCTCGTCATCCCATATCACCAACTGCAACTTAGAAATATAACTTTTTTTGTATATATAACTATTTGTTTTTTTATATTATAGCTCATAGCAAGCATCAGATATTGTATTGTAGTTTGGTTTTCACAAAAAGTTGTCAAATTTGATAGAAAGGCCTCTGTGAAAGCAGGATTTGATTCCTTTTTTGTTGATTTTAGGATAAATCGTCGCCTGATAGGAGCAAACATTCATCGAAAGAGAAAGATGGAAAGGAGGACGAATCCCGATCGCGGAAACAGTATCCTTTTTCATCCTAACGCTTTTGTATGTTTTTCAAGCAAAATGTTGCTTCATTTCGTCATGGAAGCCGCATCTAAACGAATATAGCGCAGCGTGCCCATGACGAACCAGTTAGGCATTAATGAACCGATTCATTTTAAGAGTACATATTCAAGTTATTGATTCAAGTACTATAAACTGAAATCAAGAGCTGGCACGCAAGGGCTACAGGCACAAATTTTCATGCTTCGTGACATCTGCCTTTCGAGATCTGGATGTTTGTAATAGACCTGTTATCGATTTTATAGAGACAGTATAATTATACAAACAAACAGGCCCGAGCGAAACTGACACGAGTCAATTGGCTTTTAAAGACAAAAGATAGCAAGTGTTTCTTTTTTTGCTTGTATAACCCGCACCAGTTACCAACAAATAAATCTACATCGTTGGTATGACGGCTACAGGTACTTTGATGTGCAGAGCTCGCCCAACACATGGGATTAACCCACGCTTGTGCGACGTCCCACCCGAATTTTGCAGGCCAGTTTAAACCGATATACCTTATCCAATGATCGTTATGTTGCAGTACCTTTTCGCATAAGGTTTTCGAGTGCCGTGGTAAATATAAACGTAAAATCATGGTTGAAGCTCTATTTATTTATTTAGAGCCTTAACCACAATGGTAAATGTTGCCGTAGTTGTTGTTGAGATCATTTTTGCCAGTGTAAAGATGCATTGTGGATGGAATAGAGTTGAATTTTCAACCAATGCCCTGTCTGATAAGATGATTGTATTTTTCCTTAACCCAGCGACAGTCGATCTTCAAAACCTACAAGTAAAGACAAATAGAGCATGCTGTAAAATTGGCTGTATTTAGGGCATTTTATTCAAGTTGCTGTTCTTTTCGGTATGTAAATTTTGAATTGTCGATCGCAACACAAGGGACAGAGGAACTTCTTTTGTATTGAGCCTCGTTTTATTGTAGCAACCGCTGTAAATGAGGTCGAGACCTCCCCGTCAAACAGTTGGTGTACTGAATTTGTATTTAACTTGCTAAACTCATTACGATCTGCAAAGAACAAATTTCTAATCAAAAAGGATTGTTTTTGTGGCCCTAGTCTCCTGAAGAATTCCACTCATGAGAGTGGTCAGTGCAAAGAGATGTGCTTGAAAATTTTTATGTAGACAAAGTGGAGTGAAACGTAATGCAGAATCCCAGAACAGAGATTCACTGAAGGCTGAAGTATGTTGGTCAAACGGTTTTACACCCAGACTCGTATTCGATTAGAGGCTGGCGGTCAGGAATTATGTCCTTGTTTTCAAGTTAAAAATATCACTCTTGCCAAATACAAAAATATATTTATAGTCCATAACACACGCATAAAACAAAGCGATAGTACGTCTTTAATTTTCTGGCCAATAGCAGTGTTCATTAAGAGAATTTGAGGATAAGTGAAAATTTGTTCTTGAAGAAGCATATTTGTGTTGCTTGCTGTTTCAGCAGACCGTTTTGCCAATTCTGAGAAAAGTTGAATGCGAAAGCAATGAAAGTCATTAAGCCTCTACAGCGCCCAGGTTAGCCATAGCCACAGAGAAGCGGGCATAATAAATTTGCAACAGTCTTTCCTCAAAGTATACACTAAGATTAAACCTTCAAGGTTTACTATGATAAGATTAATACATAAGATATTCATAAAAAGACAAAGGCACGAAGATGAAGCCCTGACACTCTCGATATTTCTTTCAAGTATCTCCATAAGTTAAACATTAAAAGTCCACAATGACCCTCAAGGATGTAATGTATTGAAACAACTTGAATATAGCAGGCAATCATAATTTATGATAACTATCGTTACTGTAATGATTTTTTATCACCTCTATTCAGGATTTTTTTTACAATTTTTTACTTGATAGCCAAAAGACAAACACCAATTTTATTTTCGAAACACCAGTTTTTATGTAGATCGACTCCAAAACTGCTAGATGGAAGGACGACCGGGCTCTGCCAATTATCCGAAACATGTCGTCATTATAGAGTTTTGCACAATCTGGGTTTTCTAAAAGATGTTGACCGATGGCAGAATCACTTGTTTTAACAGTGTTTCTAGAACTACAAGATCGAGCAGGCTGTGCTCTTTGAGGGGCAGTTTTGTTTCTTGTTTTGGAAACGCGTTTCAGTTAAATAAATACAATTTACAGTAAGTTAAAGCAAGGGTTTTCAAGTTTCTTACATCGCTGTTTTTACATCTTCATTGATTTTCCGTGATAATCCAACCACATGGACCATTTCTTCCAATGTAACCATATGCATTCTACAAATATCCGTCAATGATTCCTGGTTTACTTCCTATGTGACCCTATCTAGCTATATTTTATTCACCCAGGGTGCCCTTTTTCGTAATCAGTGCCCCCATGATTTCGAAAGGCTTCTGATGACGTGTTTTCTTATTTTACGTCAGTGACTTGTGTTGGAATCGGTCAAGTTTCCATTAAAGCTTGCAATTTTTATTGCTGCCATTTTATTGAAAATATACATATAGATTATCTCAACAGGAACCTCTTCGTCAACCCAGGTGGACACAGGGCCTAGAAATGTATAGACACCCCGCTATTGAGTCTACATTAAGCGGGAGTATTTGGCATATCTGAATGATATTGTTTTTACGAATTTGTACATATTAACTCGGCGCCCGTGGGTATACGGTAGCCACGTGCGCAGAACAAAGGGAGCTACTTTTTATCAATCTGTCTTAGTTCTATAGAACAGTGCTTTGTTTTTGTTTGATAAAAGCTGTGAAGCTGTTCAAATGTAGTATTTTCTTTTGTGCGTATCATTTTAAAAAAACAATTAGAGTCACAGTTATGAGATCGAACTGTGTGCTGCAGCTATTTTCATAGAATGTGGATGGTCAGCTGGCTACTTGTGAGTTTGTCTGAAGTATTCAATGCTGTCAGTGACGTAAATGGTTTAGGGTAGACATGGGGTCTTAATGATTGAACCTTTAAATTACGATGAGGGTAGTTTTTCATTGTCTCTCAGTTATGTTCATGCTTCACCTATATTTTTTATCGCTGAGACACGAATTTGGTTAAGAGGGGTTGTTTTCCATTCCTGTGGGGGGGGGGGTGATAATGGAGGATTGTGGACCAATTGTCACAAAAAGCGTATGCTTTTGATTAAAAAAAGTGGTTGGTAAAATTCTGCACCTCGATTAAAACCTGGGCACAAGCGTGTTCCCACCTTTTTTTGGGAATCTCTTCCTAGATGTACTCTCTTCAGAAATTTTGTTAAATTGCCCCCATATTCTGAGATATTGTTTTTTCTTTCTGGCGTCTGCGAACCTGGGTCCTTTTTAAAGCACCAACAACACTGAATCAAGAACTGGTACTTCTTATCTTATTTCATGTTCAAGGTTTACTGTTGTTCAATTTCATATATTGCTAATAATTATGACTAATTGACGTGTTTATCGACCAGTCATGGTAATGCCGGGAAACTTACAAATATTTTGTTTGTTGTTTAAACAGTTGCTCAAACCAGGCATGCTATTGTAAGTGGGAGACGCCTGTATGCCATGAAATCAACAATTCAGTCGCAATAATTACAGCTGCCTGGTGTTAGCCGTACTTTCTAATTGTTAGACGCGGTTATTCATGACGAAATTTGTTCAGATTTCAATATTGTTGCCATCGTTTACAACGCACTTATTTCTATATATTGCACAGACAATAACACTCTAGCGTCTATCCGAAATCCACTAACCACATTGCGATCGAATATCCTGCAATTGAAGAAGTAAATATTGGGCAGTTTTCCAAATACAGTCCCGAGTTAAAATCCCATAATTCAATGCTCCATAAAGCCTTTGTAAGAAGCCAAGCTACGCAGTCGCTCGAAAGGGGAGGGCAAAAACGAAGCTGCCAAAGACATTTGTAGTGCATGATATATTAGTTTACCGAGAAAGATTTTTTTGGCATGAAGTGCCCCAAACGCTATCCTAGAGATTGTGGTGTTTTTTCAAAGCTTCAGAAAAATTTTCCAGCCTTGATGTTCTTAAAAATATATTCTTTGAATATTTTTTTTTAAATCTAATATGGATTAAAGGAAACATAGCAAAAAAGAAATTTAATGTTATAAAAGGAAATGGAAGGAAAGAAAAATTTAGGCAATTATAATAGTTTGAGTGCTCCTTTTAATTGTAACCAACGTTGTAAAAACAGTAACCAAATGTTTTGATTACGCGGGCTGAGCAACATTCTTATAATATTCTTCAAAATTGGATAATACTTATAATATTCTTCAAAATTGGATAATACATAGATTGAATATTCTTATCAATGTTAGTGATCTTATATGTCTTTTTCAGTTTTTCACATCAATTTTTATAAAAAAACCTACTCTAAACTTGTAAAGTATCTTAAATTTGGGCGTAGTGAAGATATTCCGCGAGGAGATAGAACTGCAATGATTTGCCTCTGCCCTAGAAGAGTAAATTCAGTGCTTTCTACATGAGCATTTTCCGGAATTTGTTCTCCAGTACCAGCTCTAGTAAAAAAAAATTTGGAAGCATTTGCTATAAAATATCTGAAAATTGAATCGGAGAATAGAAATCTAAAGACAAAAACATAAGTGCTGTTAAATCTTAGTCGAAAAAAATCTGAGCCTTTTTTCGGTAGACGAGTTAGGCAGGAAAATTCTTGGAATTTTGCCAGATTTAAACGAACAATCGAATCCCAATCAAACATTACATTTGCAACGCCTTCAATAATTGTGAATAGATTTTCAAGAATTGTTAATGAAGATTGAGAAATATTTAGCAAATTCTTCGATGCTTCGAATCCACGTGGAAAAATATAGTTGAGTAGCGATATATAGGTTTCTATTTATAATGATGTTACAACAAACGGTTCGCGTGTCTAAACAATCGTCATAATATCTTGCATTCTGGTGTCTTCGGTGACTCACTTTTCTTAACACGTTTTTCATATCACACCACAGATAAAGAGAAATGTTGTGTGACGTAATAATTATTGTCAGACAGAAAGTACATTAGCGATGTTTTCATGGTGCAAAGCTTGATTTTTCACGCGGGAAACAAGTCGCGGTTGAGAGACTGACCTTATCCACCTGTTCGTTTGGCAGGTGCTGCAATGAAATTATGCAAATTTCTGAAAGCAAGAGCTTTGCCTAGCGCGATTAGTTAAATACAGTCTGCGATTTTCAGCATTGTGCCAAAGACGTGTTATTTCTTCCTTTGGGCTTATTTATGTAGCGATAGTTGCTGCCCGATTAGGAAATCGCTGGAGATTACTCATTCGAGATAAAAACAACTCAACTGTTGTAACAAAGAAGCGAGTTGTTTGGATAAATTAGATATTCATAAACATTAGCGGGATAGTCGCAAGAAAGCTCGTTGATTAAACAGATATAGCATGAACTAACCGTGTGCAGAAATTTTGCTGAATGACTTTTTTGTGCTGATTACAAGATGATGAAGAGTTGTGCAAAACGCGGGCCTACTTTCAAACCGTTGACAACGAAGGAAACATTGTATTTCTTGTTGAAGAAATTACAAGATAAAGAGTCACAAGTAAGTGCAATGAGAAAGATGATCGAAGAACGAGACGAGAAAATTACGAACCACGAGAAATACATCGGAGCACTTGTGGATAAAATGAGGGAACTCGAATCGGGTGAACATACGAAAAAACGCATCAGCCGTGGGACCCAAACAAGACCTGACGCTTCAGGCTGGAAAAGGCAAAGTTGGTACGATGCAAAGAAATCCATGCCTGGACTTCAGAATGTGCAAATACCACCGGCAGAGGTTAACCCTTATGCCACTTTACCCCGGAAAAGAATGGGAAAACGTAATAGAACAGAAATTGTCACAAGAGGAGATAGAAACTTCAATAATTCGGAGCGTTCCCTTATTTCAGAAGAATCGACTCCGAATTCAAGCACAACCAATCTGAACTCTCTAACGATTCGGTTGCTGAGAAATGAATTATCAAGAGTTTGGAAAGAAATGCGGAACTTGGAGAGCAGAATCCGTGACAGTATCCAGTTAAAAGAAAGACGTATTAAAAATGCAGCAAACGAAATTGACAGTGGTAGACAGAAATTAAGAACAAACACAGCCCAGCTACGGGAAATCCACGAGCTTCCAGAAGAAACTTCACAAGCGGAGAAAATAGGACGTTTGGAAGATACTGTCAAGTTTCTTCATCAAGAAGTTAAGTATAAAGCATCAGAAGTATTTGTTATCGAAGAAGGTATACGAGAACTTGATGAAGTTTGTATTCTTATCCAAAATATGTCCAACGTTGCAAAACAAACGCTTGAAATGGACCCCGAAATTTTTGAGGGCAAAGTGGTGTATCATTAAGTTGAATCGGCTTTTTCAACGCGATCTGAAGATTTAATTCAACCACAGACATCGTGCATTTTTTTATTTTTTTTTCAACTTGTTCACCTCAATGCTTTGTATTATAATAATTGTTTAGCTGCTCAGAGAAAAACTCAGATGTCGGCTTGAAGAAAGTTCCTCCTCAAGCGTCTGGTAAAACTAGGTTGTTTATTTATTAAACAGACAAGTAACGAGTGTTCACATTGAACATTTCAGGTGAGCTGTTTTGAAAGCGGGGATGTGTTTGCTTAAAAACAGGTTGCAGCGCTCTGTTTTCATTTAAGACCGTTTAACAAAATTCCCTTTCAACTCAAGGAAAAGTTGATCCAGAATAGGTAATGGAACTGGATAGCTTGTCAGGAAATTTAAACTTAACCGTCTCCTTTAGTAAGCTGCCTAAAAGCTGCTTTTAAAATAAGACGAAATATCATGACATCTGCAGTATTACTGCTTGTGAACGTCATTGAAAAAGTCTTCAACATATAGGGGGAGGGTTCATCGTGGGGAAATGAGTTGCTTGTTGAACCATCGTGGCTTATTTTCATAGATACCAATTACGTAGGGGATTGGGGGGCTCAAACTCCCCTGGGACTTTGATAAGGCGTTGAGCCACTCCTGCCTGTTAGGCGAACGACAAGTATTTTCTCCTTCTAAGAAGCAGCAAATTAAAAGGTTCTTTGAGTAGTTAAGACTCTTAATCAAAAGGGCCTCTTTAGTGGGCTTGCTTGTCAATTATTCAGATTACATCGTATCATTAACATTTGAATTTTTATGAACCTCTTTTTTAAAAAGCCATCTTGACCCGCCCTTCGGAAAATCCGTCGAATGTCCTTGTATTATTCCCACTCTCACCAGCAATTAAATCTTTTCGCATTGAATAAAACTTCATCATATATTTTTCTATAGATTGATAATCTCAAATCCCATCCAATCACTCTGAATTGGTTTCAATTGGACCTTGTCTCGTGGAAGATTCTACCACGTTGACAAATCTTTGAACTTATATAAGAACCGTAGGGGTTTCATCTTAACTACCCTGGGTGCCAGAGCCTCAGAGAGTCAAAGGATGAAGAACGGGGAAAGGAACTGCGAAGGAGAACGGAAGGGGAAAGGGTCTCTCCTTTCCCCGTTCTTCATCCTTTGACTTTCTGAGGCTCTGGCACCCAGGGTACATCTTAACAAACTCCCGGTGTAACAGTTGAAAACTTTTTGCCTGTTATAAAATTGAACGATTGGAAACTTTGCAGTTACAATAATTTTTTAATGAACAGTTTTCATGTTTTATTGCTTTCTTGCCAAATTCTTAACACAATGAATTTCATTAACAACTAGGATTCTTACTCATGTTTTCTCACGCCACCCGTAAGCAGCAATTCGGATAAGAAATTGTTTAGGTTATTTAAATTGTAAAATAACTGATTTTAATAACAACGGCCTCTTAATTTGCTACTTGATAGTCTTTGTGAAACTTTTTGTTGCTTTTATTCATTGATATTTAAAGCGAAGTTGTAATAATCCAGTTTTTTGGAAATTTTGCTTTTCATTTTACCACATTTTGATATTGTGCTAATTTTGATAGATAGTGTTTAATGTTCGGTTGATTGATTGATGCTTAAGTTGCAAATAATTAAAAAGCAGAGTGATTCAGAATTCATTTCTGTAGTCTATGCTTTTCAGTTACATGTGTCAAATTGTTCGCCACGCGTGTAATTAATTGATGGAAAAATATAAATGCTTTGAAAATAAATATTCATGTTTATTCGACTGTTTATTATTTTGAGTGAAAATTGAACAACTTTAACCTTCAGCATTCAAGTCACTTGGCTACTTTTCACAATTTAATACTGTTCCACAGAACTTTAGGAACCCTTTCACCAGAATCTATGAATTCCCAGCTTCTACAAAGCTCAGGTTACTTTCGTATTGGATTTTGTCAGGTTTGAATTTTAGAGGCATAGTACTGGATTCAGGACAGCTAGGGTGAGTCATTAGCCTCCTACCGCTACAACAAGGGACGTCGGTACTGGAGGCTTCAAGAGCAAGTGCTCCCTATCCTCTAGAAAATTTCTTTTCCATAGAACTTCCCTCTTAAGAAGTTTTGGACAAAATGCCGTTCTAACTTTCTGCCACTAGCGTTCTTAAATGTGACGTCATAAAAATATGTTTTTTCTAAATTTTTCTAAATATGCAAAAACAGTAAAATATAAAACTCGGGTGAATATATGACCAATGAAATATTGAAAGTTTAGTAACTCATCACAGTTATTTTGGCTCTGCTAATAAAGTTATGAGCAGAGACCAATTAACAGGTTTGGTAGGAAAATAGCCTGTGTTCATCTTCCCATATCTCTGCCAATTCGTAACACATTTAACTGATTTTGCATATTTAGAGGTATTTCACGATGCCCTTTCAGGTCAGGAGGTCAAAAGTAAATATTCTATAACAGCTTTTTTGTGACGTCACCACATCAGAACTCGATCCCTGGCTTCAATCGTAGCTCAAATATCTCTATAATCGTATCTCAGCTGTTTCAGCTTATATTTAAAGCAACTGTTTTCTCACTTGTGAACACTCTGATGGAGTGGACACGGGAATAAAGATCAGCTCTTTCTGTGTCTCTTTCTTTTTATCCATCTTTTTTTCTTTAATATAGGATCTTAAGGTCTATTTGATCGATGTAGTTAGGCTATATATGTTTTTAAGAAGGGCAAATTGTAAGTCGGTTTATTTGAATTTAATGAATGTATTTAACTCCGTTGAAACAAAAGAAAAATGAAATAAAGATGCAATGAAAATCCTCCTTTTATCAAATGATAGAAATTATTCAATTTGGTGTTTTGTCCAAATTCGATGAGCTAAGTGTCCCCCCAACTGGCGTCTAGTCTTACTCCATGAGCCTCTGTGTTGCTACTGCCTCACTTGACGGACGCTCAAATGGTATTAGCAAATATGAGCTTTTGATGTTGGTTTGTCTTCTTTTAAGATAATACAAGTGGCTCTCTAACCAAAATAGATTTGTTTGAAAACCTGAAGTCGTATTTGAAGCATTCAAAATCTTTGTTTTGTCCTACCATGAAACTGCCTACCTCCATCAATGTATCCACCTTGAAAAGTCGATTCTATGTTGTGAATCATTTCCTTATGTCTTATTCATGAAATGAGGTTTGAAAAGCCGTCACGCGCGCATTTTGGCATGTTTTGGCAACGAGTTGGCCCTGGGCAGCCTGCGTGCTACCCTGGGTACCAGACTCACTATATATAGAATAAAATAGAGAGTCTGGCCTAGTGCGCCCCATTCTCGTTCTGGTGTGCTGATATTAACCAATCAGGAGCGAGTGTACATTATTTTATTTTATACATAGTGAGTCTGGTACCCAGGGTACCTGCATGTAGACTGTCGGGTGGCTATGGGGCAAATATAAGAGTGCAGCGGAGGGATGAAAATAAAATGAAGTTTTGTCTGACCCAACCTGATTTTGTCAGTACTAGCATCAACTTCGACGACTACGAGTCAAAACCAGTGAACGGCATTGTAAAGGTCTAACAAAGTTAATTTTCTTTGGTTTCAGCATAGTATTTCAATAGACTCTGGTTTCAGTTTCATTTGTCCCCATGCATCAATCTACTTAGTACTGACTTCCCGTCACTGTCCCGCCCGTTTCAACTGTTTATTGGACTTAGAAAGTTCAAAGATCAGAAAGAGGATAAGAATGTTTGTGTTCTTTGAGAATGGGATGGTTAAGATCTTTTAATAAAAACCATAGCTTCTTGCACTATAGAAGCTGCTAGTTCTTTGTCTGTGAATCGAAGCCTTTAATTTTCCAGATGTCAGCTTGTGTCACTCGAATGGGCTGTCACTATTATGTCAAAACCGACTCGTTCGGAACGCGGTCGAGATGGCTCACAGTCATTAGAAACCCCGATGACTACAAAATCATCATTTTCTGCATCCTTAATCAGTAACTAAAAGTAAAATTGAAATTGGGAATGATTTTTTTGGCGATGTTAAACGCTCAATTTGCAATATTATGATTTGTTCAGCTAATTGTGGTTCGTTACAACATTTGATGTATCGTGGCCGCCTTTGGTATGATCAATGCCTGCAAGAAAGTTGTTAAAATGATAATGTCAGTAAAGTTACAATTAGATTTGAACGGAAAGTATTGCAAAGAAACCGCAGCTTTGCAGTTTTATTTACAATACTTTTTTAGCTGACTTGTCGTGTCATTTTCATAGTGTGATTTGTAAGCCATTTCTGTTTTACTGAAAAAGTAAAAATATTAATCCCCCTTTTAAATATCAAACAGGTGACCCCCTTTTGCCCCCCTCTCTACTTTAGAATCGTTGCGGGCCCTGCTACACCAGTATGGTGAGACCATAGGGTGAGACCATATAATCTTTTTGGGTGAGACCAGTGGGTGAGACCAATGAGGTGAATAGAAAAAGCAACAACAACATCCTTCGATTCAACTCAATCAGCATGGGCTAGGTAATGCTTGCACTTTCACCTCGACTGTGTATGCCTGAGTGTCTCAACAAAAGAGCAACAACTTTGTGATGCAAATCGACAAGCCGCAGGTAAAGCAAAGATCGTATTTTTTGAGGTCATGTTGTTTTTTATTATAAGTTTAATCTATTGCAGAAATGCTTGTAATTTTAGCAACCGAAAACCAGATAGGCACTGACTGGATTTCTTGGACGCTATTGTCAGTCACATGGCTTAGGAGAGGACAGCCTGGCCTCATGTGACCTTTTAATGACCGGAGACAATAGGTGACGTTTCCTTTTTTGGCATCAAAATACAAGTTATTGTGTTAGTGCTGTCATAAGTCGGCCGAACTTTGACTTCAGCGCTAGTTCACCAAATTTTGTTTTTGAGCGATCAGACTTTTTCTTAATCCTTTAATTGACTTCTTCTTAATCCTTCACCATTCAGGATCCACTGGTAACATCCCAAGCCTAATACATTCAAGAAATATAAAAGGACACAAACATGACTTCTTCACGCAAATGCTGCACTACAAATGTCAAAATTTCCACATTGATGATCATTGGAATTGTTCTACTGGTCGGTGGATGTGTTCTCATACCTGAGTTTCCCAAACTAATTCAGAGTCAAATTAAAAAGGTTAGTGAGTTACATGTTGTTTAATAATAGTGAAGGCAGGAAAACAAAGCTGAAGGCAAGTATGACCTTAATGATAGCTATCCAGCATGTTTAGAGATAGCTATTGTTTTTGGGGAAAGTATGGGGAGGGGGTTGTGCCATGCACAATTTTCTTTCGTTTGTGATGGCATTGCATGCGATTGGTCACATATTTCAAGCTTCTCAACTGGAAATAAACACAAAATGGCAAATACAGAGGTATAATATCATACACATAATCAATAGCTGGGCCTCAGAATATGGCAGTTTCCAATGAGATCTCAGGTGTGCAAGAGCAAAATTTTAAGTGTGCACTTTGGTATAAGTTCAACATCAACAAAGATGAGAAAATTGATATTAGACACACCCAGATCTCAAAATGCAACAACCTTAACAATGGGGTGAAGGAACTTTTTAGAAAGAATATCTGGGGTGTGCATTTGCCATACTCTGCAGATTTCAAAATGAGCAGTGGTCACTTGATAAAAAAGCTGCTTGCACTCCTGTGCCAATCCATTTCCCACTTCTATGACTATCGCTAGGAAGAGGGGAGCCTCTAGCTTCTTTCTACCTCAGGTTAATAGTCCTCTTGCTTTTCAAAGGCTAATCTTACTATTCCATTGCATAACCATCAGGTGCCAGCATAGACAGGCTTTGTTGGGGGGATCGTCTTCTGTTCATTGAAGTGTGCATGTCAATTTAGTGTGCATATTGAGGCAAGATTGAAAGTTGCTTCAATACATTTTGTATGACTTGGTCTATTTGTGGCCCTCATTTAAATATTTTCATGGGCTTACCCTCTCATTGTTTCCTGTTTATTCTGATTAATGTTCGCTTTTTCCAAAGTCATTTTTGAATTATTTGAAGTTAGATAATAAGAGTGAACATACATATTTTACATAAATTATAGAGTGAACATAAAACACAAGATAGATAATTTTCTGCAGAAAAAACTTTATGTGCACTTATTTTTAAGGAACAATGTTTGGAACACATTTTTGAGTTGCTTAGTCTTTTTGGTCGTCTTTATTGATTCTGGGGTTGTATTCCAGATTTTAGAATTATAATCTTCTTATAATATCCAAATAAGTATTCCCCATCATGATTTTTTTTTCACTGAATTTAAGTAAACATGAATTTAAAGAAGGTACAGAAAAATTTGTTTATTTTTGGTTTATTCGTATTTCCCTGATTTCCTTTTTTAGAATATAGTCATCAAGAAAGGTTCACAGGGATATGATGAATTCTTGAAGCCAACATCACCATTGTATATGAGTTATTATGTCTTTGATTTGCAAAATGAAGCAGATGTTTTGAATGGAGAAAAACCAAAAGTTATACAGCGTGGTCCATACACATACAAAGAAATGAGGGAAAATATCCCTGTATTATGGGAAGATGGAGGAAATTTGCTGACATATTTGGAAAATAAAACATATATATTTGATCAGGAGATGTCCTGTTCTAACTGTACTGAAAATGATAACATTACAACTCCAAATATTGTTGCATTGGTAAGACCTCTTGATGTTATGAATGTCTATTTAACCCAACCATTAATGTGCAATTGTTCATCACTCCAAATGGTTGTAAATCACCTATGCTGCCAAAACCTTCATTGTAAAAACGAGGAGCTTTTTATGATATAGGGATGCTTCGTCGGCAAATGTTCAGATAAGTTTGCAAATAAAAGATGGTTCACTAACTTTTGGCAACTGGGATTGGAGCACCCCCTTGAGCACAATGGCTAGCGAGCCTTCATTTACAAAATAGTTCATCTCACTGCAAAAAGGATAGAATTGATAGAAAGCATTTTCTTGACTTTTCCTTAAAAAAGCAGTGTTGGAGGGATTCTTTCTTACATCAAGGCTTTGCTTTTCCAAACCTAGAACTCCAGTCTCACCGTATTATTAATCTATATCAAAACCGGTGGGCAGTAGAGTTGTCAAGTGATGACGTCAAAAAAATTTTTTTTTAGAATTTTGAAATTTTTTCCCATAACCTGAGAGAGCATCATGAAATGGCTCTTGATCTGCAAAATCAGTTAAAGGTATTACAAATTGGCTGAGATATGACCAAGTGAGCACAAGCTCTGGCCCCATCAAACCTCTGTAATTAAGCCTGCACGCAGACTTGACTGGTTTTCTCAGAGATGAATCTAGTTGACTGAAAATTTAGTTGATTGGAAAATTCAGTGTTTCTATTACCTAAATTTTCTAAAACCCTAAATTTTCCATCGAACTAAATTAATCTCTGGGAAAACCAGTCGAATCTGCACGCAGGCTACTGTAATTTGGTCTCAGTTCATGACTTTATGAACTGAGCCAAAATAACAGTAATCCGTTAGCAAACTTCAAATATTCTTTTGGCCATAGCTCACCCAATTTTTGACAAATTTAATTGATTTTGCGTCTATTTGAGTATTTTATGGTGTTCTTTCTTGTTATGTGGTCAAAATTCGAAAATTCTAAAAATAGTTTTTTTGTGACATCAAACTTTTTTTGTGATACGTAGTATGTACACTTTTCTATATTTTTTCTATAATTTTTCACCAGGTGCAGTTATAAAACCTTAGTTTTATGTAAACAGAAAACTTATGTTGCATTTCCTAATGAGGCTAATCTAGCTTGTTGTTTCATAGCTATCCATTCAGAATTTTAAACTTCTTCTGCAACTTTATCCTTAGACATTTATTAATGATACAATGAAGTCAAATACCTTTGTGAAAGTTGGGCTGGCAGGAATTATGAGTGCTGAAAAAGTGACAATGTTTCACAAACTAACTGTCAAAGAAATAGTGTTTGGTTACAATGATACATTTCTACAGTTTTTGAAAAGTGTTGAAGACAACCCTATGGTAAAGAGTTTCTTGGACTATCTGAAAAAACATGACCCAGCATTGTATGCAAAGATACCAAACATAAACCCATTCCTTCAACTACAGGTAAGGCCTTCATTTCATGAGATACTCTAGATGATTAGTGCTAAATCATTTTTACAATCATATGCAAGATGAAAATATTATTAATTGCACCAATATAAGCCCTAAGTTTTTGTACGTGAGTTTTAACCTTTAATAAGCAATGCACTTAAAGTGGGCTGAAACTTAACTGGAATGTCAGAAACTGGCACCATATTATTGAAAAGTTCTTTGAAGAATAAAGAAGGTAGCTTAGAGATTAGCTTTGTCCCAAGACAGGGCATTTTTTAACAGTTTTCTAACAGAGGAAAAAATTCCCCTGTAGGCCCATTGCTATACCCAGTAGTAAGAGGCAATTTCAACTGACCTCTATTATTTTTTTAAATCAACTTTTGAATGACATTATCTGTATTTCTTGACTTTGTACTTTCATGTTTTTTTGCAATTCATGAATTAGATTTATATTATATCACCTATTGTATCATGCTCTTTTGTCCGGTCCTAAAAAAAGAGGTGACAGCATATCTCGCACAGGAAATATGTATACCCAGTCGTGGATCGAAAAAGGCCAATCCAAAAAGGCCAATCCAAAAAGCGAACACATGACTGTTGAGGTTGCCCAATCAGTGCCGCTTGCCTATTAAAAATGTTACCAATGGAATCCTAAGGTGAAAACAAACTCCTATTTCGATCCACAACTGGGTATATATATTTCCTAGCGTATAGTTTTCGATCCATGTCTTGACATTTTATACTCTGAAGAATGTCAGAAAAAAGCTTAAGTATGTCTCAAAATGTTTGCTTTTTTCAAAGCCATTTTCAAATTTTGTACAACCAAAATATTGGAAGGGGGCGGAAGTAGCAATTTTTTTTATGAAAGGAATGAAAGATATCAAATGCAGCGTAAATTGGTGGGTGTTCCAAGTACTTTTGGCAGACATTGCAGCTCTGCTTGTCTTTTTCTATGGTTTCAAATAAACGCCTCACTGCAGCATAGACATGTGTGCTCCTTTTGGTTATTTCTCTTTGGGCTCTTTTGGCAAAGTTTCCCCAGTAGTAAAAAAACCCTCTATCCCAGGTAGCTTTATCCCAACCCTGAAGCTGTCTATGCTGAACTTGACATTTTTATTGGTTTTAGGGATAGGCCTTCTCCACTTATAATTATCAAATACAACCTTTCCAAATAGGACTTTTTTCCGTTTGTTCAATCAGGACAACCTTACTATAAGGACTATTTCTTGACTTACCTCTACTATTTTTTTATAGGACTTGGGCTTTCTTATTTAGGATTTGTTATCTCTTCTTTTTATACCTGCCAGATTCAACATAACTTTCTGTGCACATCACTTCTGCTAACTTTACAACATCCAACAACTCTCTTATATATTTATCCGTTTTTATCTCTCAATATCAAGCCGGTCAGTGGCCTCATATCTGTTCTACTCATCACATGTGAGATTCACAAAGCTAATATGTTCTATATAGCAGAGCTGGTTTGAAAAAAGACTTAAATCATACCCTTTATTTGAGGAAACAGCCCCCTTGCAACACAAAAATAGACAGTTCAATTGTTTTGAAATTAACTTTTACCAAGCGACCACATCATCTGCCAAACTGCTCACATAATTCATATGATTAAGGTCTAGATAGATACATGATAAAGTTTTTCTGTCAGAAAGGCAATTAAACATTTCTTTCCATCAAATTATATAATTTATTTATCACCGTGAAAGACTTTTTAAAGACTCCCCTGAAAGACTGAAAGTATACACTCTGTTTTACGTGCAGAAAATTTTAATAGATTGATCCTTCCCATAATTTTAAGATATTTCCTATTGGCATCATTACTTAATTACAGGAACTGTCAATCTTGCCTGTTTGTTTATTTTTTATGTGTTGATATTTTTATGGATAAAGCACTAAGCCAGATCTTCTTGTAAATTGTCAGTTTTTGCCAAAGAATGAACTTTAAAGCTAGTCCAATTAAAAAAGATTGCACACTTTTTTCACAATTCACAAAAGTTTAGATTTTGGGGCTCAGCTGTGCTATATTTATTGTGCTTTTTCATTCAATTGATTTTTATGCATATATTAAGATTTTTTGGCATTTTATTTTTCTGTCGTTTAGTACAATGGAACAGCTGGCATGAAACAGGCAGGGAACACAACGATAATGACAGGACAAAATGATATTAAAAATTTGCAGCTCACAACGAAATGGAAAGGAAACTCGTAAGTTTTTTAAGTTTATGAAAAATTTTCAATCCAGTTGATAGTTGTTGATAAAACTTATTAGGAAACAGGAAAACGAGGAAATTTGAATATTAGAAGGAGGATTGGAAAAAGAAAAATGAGGAGTATTCCAATGACGTGAACAAAGAAAAAGTAATGAGAATTGTCTCAAAAAGGGGAGTGGGAGCTTAAGGTATGCAAGAAATAGAAAAGTATTTTAAACTGCCCATCTTGCGCTATGTTTTTGCATGATTGGGCTGATAACCATTAGTCACCCTTTATTTGTATTTGTTGCTATCTAGCATCCGAAGGTAGTTTTTAGGACAGTGAGAAGCTATGCTTATCGAGCAGTCTCCTGGTCCTTCCTCTCGATGTGACCACACCTCGTGATTCCTACGCCTGGAATTACAGAGAGCTGGCGACTCTCCCCTCTCTGGGAGAAAGTTTGGTCATGCCAGGGACTCGAATCACGGACCCTTGGGTCTGTAGTCAGCGCCTCTAAGAACTGAGCCATCCTCGCACCTGTGTCAGATGCTTCTAAGTTTTAGCTTTTAGTTAGTAAACTTCTTTTCTAAACGTTTTCTAATCATTTACTTCAACCATTCCATGGATTACCATCTCCAACATGCATATATTATTATTAGCCATTTTCTTGGAAAAATCCAATATTTTATGCTCTTGCTCCACTATGTTTTGATTTTTTTGTTGCAGATTGTTGCCATTTTGGAATTCGACATATGGAAATATGATTAACGGTACAGGTGGGTAAAAGCGTTATTCATCTCTTTTTTGAATTTTCATCGAGAACGCTTTCAAAAGAAAGGTAGCTGTTTCATATCGTTTCTCCAACACATTCATCGATGCCTTTGATTGGGATTTTTCGAGAAACAAGCATTATAGATTAGTGCTTTCTACTTTGGTCGTTCAACACTGCAGTTCTGTCAACTAAATGATTACATTTTTCTATATTACGCCAAGGAAAGTGTAGTGACCTCTGACTAAGTGATCAAGCTTGAAATAGACTTCGAGCAGTTACCCACCAAGTTTCGGCCTGACTGGTCACTAAGGCTTGTTTTTGATGGAATAATCTCTTCTGTATTTTCACGAATCAGTGCTCATCCTATCGACCTTAAACATTTGAATCATCTGATGCTGAGCATTAGGGCCTGATGTACTGGGGTCACCGTAAACCTTTGTTTGTTTTTGTTTCAGATGGAACGCATTTCTCTCCGAATCCATCAAAAACAGAACGGCTTTACATATTCGTGTCCGATGTATGCAGGTAATACCCTGGTTTTCTACCGTATCAGAATAAGAAAATGTTTGGAAAATGATCGGACATCATTATGGCTAATTTTACTTTCTGCTAGAGAGGTTGCTTTATGTCCATGTTTTTCAGCAGTTTTTTATCTGAGTCATGCAAAATGGCCGAAGAAAGAGCAAAGACCTTCAAATTTGTCCCCTTAGCATTTCCTAGCCGTGAAATGCTTTTAGAGAAAACCCATTGCTACCAATATGTGCTATGTTATTCGTGCCACATAGCTACAATTCCATTCATGGCTGCTCTGCTAATGTCAAATACAATTCTAGCGATGGCTGCCTAGTCAAACGCCTAACCACGTGCGAGGCAGCAAACTTTCGTACTAATTCTAAAATCTAACCCCCCTTTCCCTATGGGGGGCTAGATTTTAGAATTAGTTAAAATATTTGTTGGATTGTAAATCTTTCCAAAGAATTTGTTTCTGGCCTTGAAAATCTTTTAGGCAGGGCATTCTCCTCAACCATCGACCGCATTGCCTAACCTTTGTTTTTTCGACTGATTATGGAAATATATTGTATAAGGAATAATTTAAGCCCTTACAACATTTTCAAAAATTCACCAAAATCACGTGATCGGTGACGTCAAAAAGTTAGTTTTACAAGACTAAAAATCATTCTAACTTCTCAAGTAGACGTCCGATTTCAATATAAGAGCCAGATTCGGGCTCGCCTGAATAACAGCTTTCGAATGATGTATACAAATATACATTTTGATAATGTCAGCATTTTTATACAGTGACGTCATCACTTTCAAAATGGCGGTCGACCAGCAAGTAGATTCCACTTTGTTTCCATAACGACTTAGTTCTACCGCAGTTGAGCGCCCCATGATAAAGGAGAGCGATGATGTTGAATATCAAGTGTATTTGAATAACACACGATGAATGTCACATTTAAATTATAACTAACTATGAAGCGTGGGAATGTCGAAGATAGTCTGTTTCTAATTTCAGAACAAGTTGTTTAGAGGTATAAGTTGCCTCCGATGTGTTCGAACTTAGAACTGGCTGCTGACAATTTTCTCTTTCGTTGAAGATACTAAGTTTTCGGGTAGTGAAATGATGGTTTGTTGCAAAGGAAATATTTAATAGAAGGTAAGCAATCTTGTATTGTTATTTTTTGTAAGTTCAATTGACGCTTTATGGTCTTCCTGCGCTTACTTTTTAAATTTTATATCTATTATTCGTCTGTATACAAGAGTAGACATTTAGTTAGAGACATTTCCCCGTTGTCAACTGAGTTCCTAATTTTATTTGAGGTTTGGTTTCTATGGATACATCTAGTTCAGAGCCTCTATTTAGTCCGGCAAGGTATAAGGACAAGGAACTTTGTTTGATTTGTTCCAATGAATTCAAGCAAAAAGATATTGGAAATTCTCTTACAAACACTGGTTGGAAAAAATTCAAAGAGAATGCGGAAAAGTGGAGCAACATTGACATCCCGTTTAGTGAAAGTACACATAGGTTCACCGAAGTATTTCCAAAAATCCGCAGTCTCGACGACCCCTTCGGAAAGGTGCACAAGAGTTGCAGAGCCGTATTTGAAAACAACAGCGATCGCTTCAAGCAGAAATATGGCCTTGTGAATGACTCGTCGGATCCATGTGAAGACTCAGTTATTAATGGCAATGATGATAGTACGGTGCCATCGCCAAGAAAGAGAGTAACAAGAAGTCGCCAAAAAGGAAGCCTAAGAAAAGAAAAATGTTTTATTTGCAACGAGGAAAAAGGAACGGACCTTTTAAAAGGATATAACCAAGGAGGAATTGGCCGATGCTCTGATACAAATGCTGCCAACAAAATTTTAGAGAGAAAAGAAGCATATCTTGCAGATAAGGGTAGTCGCTTTCATGATGCCTCGCGAAGATTAGAATTACTGCTAAGTGGCGAATCCCATGACATATTTGCCGTTGATGTCTATTACCATCAAGCATGTTATTTGAAGTATACTCACTCAGCCTGGCTTAAAGAAAAAAGAGCTGATGTTGAAGATGCAAGAGAAGAGCACGCACTTCAATCCTTTTTTTACAAATTCCAATCCAAAATCATTCGTGACAAGCAAGCCTTTCTTTTGCACGAGCTTCTCAAAGATGTTGCATTAATATCCGAGGAAATAGGTTTGAATGCACCAGTTATTCAGACAACTCAAACTTTGAAACGAAGAATCATCGATGAGTGTGGCCCTGAGATATCTTTCTACAATTCTGGCAAATACCTTATAGTGCATGCATCAGATGTCAACCCGTGTGAATATGCAATTGCTACGTTGCATGGCTGTGGACTTAGAGACGATGATCTATCAAAAGCATTTGGCAGGATGGTTAAGCGTAAGTTAGAGGCAAGGAGAAATGCTCCAAGACAATGGCCTTGTACAACTGAAGAGATACTGAGCCAGCTTGACAGAGGGCCACTTCCAGAAATTTACAATGCCATATTTTATACTCTGAAAGATTACGGTGAAAAGAATGAATATGGTTACAATAAAACGATCTCACGTGTTAGGGCGACAAAGATCTGGTCCTTAGCAAGCGATTGGGAACACCTCATAACCAAACAGCCATCTCCTAAACAGGCGATCTTGGGCTTAGTTCTTCATAGAATTACTGGTAGCAAAGAGAGTATTAACTATCTGCACAAGTTAAACCACATTGTTTCATACAATGACATTCGACTACAGAATATGGCTTGGTCAAGAATGGTTATGTCCAAAAAAGCTGTAACTGCTGGTCTCAGAAAAGGCGTAGTCACACACAGCACCATTGATAACATTGATGCGGCACAGGACACAATAACTGGTGCTGGGACAACCCATTTCACCAATAAGACCGTTTTTCAGCTTTTACGAGGCGACCAAGATGTACTACCAACAATAGCGGAATGTCCACAAACACCATTGAGCATTGATGACGAGCCTGAAATGCAGTCAGTTGAAGTTCCAGAGTATAGCTTGGGAAAACGTTGCGGACCTTCAGTTTTTTCTAAGTTCAACGATAGCAAAGACGATGGGCTACTAGACGAACGTTTCAAGAAAGATTTTGCGTGGTCACTTGCCGGATTTCTTCCTCTCAAAATTGAAAATGAAGAGCTGCCTTTACTTGGTTCGTGGACTGCTTTCCAGCGCGCGATCACAGCTTCAGAAACAAATGAATGCATTGTTGAATACTTGCCGATGACTCCTGAGACGCCTGACTATCCAGTATGCAAGGAATACCTTGATTCTCTCTTGGATATGATTAGAGAACTCGACATAGCTCATATTTTTGTTCGTGCGGATGAAATGGTGTATGCAAAGATATACCACATTATCTGGAAGAATCCTGACTTGTATAGTCAGATCAAAGTGCTGATGGGTGGCTTTCATCAACTGAGGGTTCATCAACGCCTTATCCATAAAAGGCACGCAGTTAAAGGTTATAAGCAATGGTGGATTGATGCAGAAACTGTTGCGTCTGGTTCTGCTGATCAAGCGATGGAGGGTGGCCACTACTATCGTTGTATGCGTACACATAAAGAAACTTTTTATGCACTCATACAATGCTTCGTCGAAGACAGCACAAATGATCTTGCAAACGTAGATAAAAGATTTCTCGGGGCTCTGGTCTCACTACGGCAGAGTCCTTCAAAGTCTACACTGGAGAATGTGATGGCAATGCAATCATTCAAAGATATGGTCGCTTCATTGTTGGACGATGTAAAGGGTACAGAAAAACGCCTTACAATCGCTTACTTGAAGGATGTGTCTGCTTTGTTGAGTATGGTAGCAGCTGTGCGGGAAAGCAACATTGAGCTACACTTGCAAGCAGAACGAAATATGATTCCGCTTACATTCGCATTCAATCACATCAACTATGCCCGCTACTGTACCTACCAGCATGTGCTTCTCCGAACATGGCAGGAAGAGCAATCTCCAGCATTCCAAGAATTAAGCGAATTAGGATTTGGAGGCAGCATCACAGGGGACAAATTCTCTGCAATTCATGGCGATCTACACACAGAGTTGTTTAATCGAGAAGCTAAAGGGACTGCAGGTCCATACAGGTCTGGATTCAGCACAAACGTCAATGCAGTTAACACCTGGATTGCTACGTCTCACATTCATAGCAAGTTGAGAGTCACCCTGAAGCAACAGCTGTTCTTAAAGACGTCATCAGTTCACAAGGAGAACACTCCAGGTGGGAAAAAGCTCCATCAGAAGCATGTCGATAGCCTTAAAAGAACTCTTCGAAGCTATGGCACTAACCCATTTTCTGATGCTCCTGCAAAATCCATTTCAACTGGTGAAGAATTGGATCCAGAAATAGCTAAAGACCTCCTTGAAGCGCCGATTATAGGGGAAGAGAAAATGCTTCAGTTCATAGATGATCGCTTGATTACTGGCAGCGTTGACTTCTTCACGCCGATCAAGAAAACAAAGCTGAAGACAGGTCTAGAAAAGGTTAAACGGATTCCTACAGCTATTGCCGTGCTCAAGGAAGACAGGCAGGCCTTTGGACTACTCGTTTCAAAAGCAGGAAGTCTGCAAGAGGCATTTACTCATCCAATTACAACTGTCCCTCTTTCAATCGCTACAGCTGACTCAACTTTGCGTCAGTCAGACAAAGCGACTTTACAAAGATTCTTAATCGAAGAGTCACAATGCATCAAAGAAGCGCCTCCGAAGTCTACCGTTTGGATAGTAGATGGAATGGCAGCAGTTCGCTCCCTCAAGCCAAAGCCAACGTACCGAGCATGGATGAACAGCCTAATTAAATTTGTTACTCCTAAAGCTGAAATGAATGCGAGTGAAGTACACATTGTGAATGACACCTACCTTGACAAAAGTGTGAAGAACGACACCAGAAAGAAACGTGGTGAACCTGGGCCTAGAGTTCATTTAGAAGGATATGACCAAAATATGTTGCAAGGTTCAAAATGGCACGAGTTACTGTACCGGAATGAGAACAAAACTGATTTGATTAGAATGATTGCACGATTTCTGAAGGAAGATGGATGCTATACTGGTGCTATACCACTTGTTTTTACATCATGTAATGCAACGTTTAGAGTTTACAATGGAAGGGTGCAAGAAATGGAGAAATGTAATCACGAAGAGGCCGACACAAGGTTGATTTTACATGCCGTAGAGTCTAAACAGGATGTTGTCATTGTTGCAAAAGATACAGATGTGCTCGTATTGATGGTTTGGGCTTTCGCTTTTCTTGATGTAGAACGCAAATGGTTCTTCAGAAAAGATGATGGACAATTTGCAGATGTGGGAGAAATCTGTTCACATTTCGGAAGAGACGTTTGCCTTCATCTACCATCTTTACATGCTTTATCTGGCTGTGATACTACATCCTATTTCTACAACGTAGGAAAGGTAAGGTTGTTGAAGACAGTCATCAAGAACCCGCGATACCTTGAACTGCTTGACAGCCTTGGAAAAGAAAAAATGATTGGTGACAGCGATATACAAGATGTTCAAAAGTTTGTTCAAGTTGTAATGTATCCTGGCAAGAATGAGGAAAGCTATGTGGCAACAAGAGTAAGAATGTATCACAAAATGAAAGTAAAGTCTTCCTTAAGCCTCCCTCCTGATCCACACTCGCTGAAGCAAGCTATTCTGAGAGCGCACTGGCAAACCTACTACTGGTTGCGTTGTACAGAACCATCTGTTGAAAATATTTCATTTGAAGGTTGTGGCTGGAAATGGTCTTCTCAAGGGTCTTCACTGAAACCCGTTTGGTTCACGTGCCCCCAACTGCCCCCTTCTTTGCGGTCAAGACGACGAAACAAGAGCCGACTTTCAGAAAGCGATGGGGCAGATGTCGAAAGTTACTGTGAAAACCCCCCTGCTCCAAAGAAACGCAGGAGATGTGCAAAGGTACTGAAACAGACTCGCTGTGTCGATGACGATAGTGCTAGTAACGAAGAAAAGGAAACATCAAACCAGTCAGACTCTGACTTAAATAGCACTGGGCTTTCTGATGAACAGAACAGCGAATGGGAAGTTTCTGACTTCAGTTCCTCGGAGGATTCTGGCGATGAATGGATTCCTTAAGACGAATTGTTATTAATTTTGAAAAGTTAAATTGAGTCCTGAAGAACAATTATACTAAAAAAAAATGCTGCAAAACGAATCAGAAATGTTTTTGATTATATTAGAGCTCTTATCTTGAAATGTAATGGTCGACCGCCATTTTGACAGTAATGACGTCATTGTATAAAAATGCTAACATTATCAAAATGTATATTTGTATATATCATTCGAAAGCTGTTATTCAGGCGAGCCCGAATCTGGCTTTTATATTGAAATCGGACGTCTACTTTAGAAGTTAGAATGATTTTTAGTCTTGTAAAACTAACTTTTTGACGTCACCGATCACGTGATTTTGGTGAATTTTTGAAAATGTTGTAAGGGCTTAAATTATTCCTTATACAATATATTTCCATAATCAGTCGAGAAAACAAAGGTTAGGCAATGCGGTCGATGGTTGAGGAGAATGCCCTGCCTATTTGCCTAGAGCTAGGATCGAATTGTGAAAAGAGAATGGATGTACATCCTTTTGATCCAAAGAAGCCCTTTGCGCTCATCGTTGTAGGTAACTGAGGAATTTATAACCTCAATTTCCCATTCTACATCTGATGGGCGTTTTAAAGACCTTTGTTTTCGAGTATCCGATGAAATAAAAGTATGACTTCTGCAAAAACTTGAATTTGAATTTGAAGTTTGGTTTCTATGTCAAAGATATTTTATAGATATAAGTATCCGGTCCGACAGTTTCTTGGTTGTAAGACATTTGTCATTATCAACAGGTCATTATATGTCAAATACAAAAAAGACAGTTATGTAAAAGACATAAAGTTACAGATGTATTCAACTACAGATGAGCTGTTTCAAAATGCAACCGTGAACAAGGATAATGCACCATTTTGTGTTCCAAAATGCTACGGAACCGGAGTTTTACACATCGGGCAGTGCCTACCAATGAGTAAGTTGAAAACGTTTTCATTATCTCAAGCGAATTTCTTTACCAACACTGCCTTTTGTTAACCTACCTTCTAGTAAGCCTCCTTCTTGCAAAAAAGTAAGTTTGTATTTCAGGAAAAGAATAAATAGATCGCCAATTCGCAGGAAGTCCGAGTTATCTTATTACAACTTCAAACAGAACATTTCACTTTATCTGAGACGGTGAAAGGTCTTCCTTGATACGGCGTTGCATTCAAAATTTGCCTATTCGGCATCGAGCACCATATCACTGACCGGTATGCAGCTATCTTAACGAAATGGTTCAGTTTGGTTGAGTTAGAGTGGCAGTAGTTCAAGATTTGATCACTCCCAGGTGTTTCAGCTAGTGATTTGTTGTTATTAATAGATTTGTTTCTCAGATCTTCGCAGAATTTCGTATATCTTCCTTGTTCTGTTGAACTGAATTTGTTAGGCTACACTTAACAGATAAATTATCTTGATTGAATCAGAATCTTGGAATGTAACATTGAATTATGCATGTAACATTGAACTAGCAGAGCTCTTGTGGTTTAACTTGATTTGATATCCCACGGCCCATGGTGTCTTCTTTATTCGATCTTGTAGAGAGACCAGTAAGTGACACCTGGAGTAAAGCTAGAAAAGTAGCGTTAGTGGATGTTGCGTTAGTGGTGTTCTAGCATTTGAACTTAATAACAATATCGCCAAGGAAATTGTATTCCTTTTATTTGCAGATCCTCCGATTCTGATGTCTGGGCCCCATTTTTACCAAGGAGACCCGATGTATTACGAGGCGATCGATGGTTTGAAACCAAATCCTGAAAAACACGGGACTTTTCTCTACGTTGAACCTGTAAGTTGATGCACTTTTAGCTTTCAGCGCTTTTTTAATTAGAGTTAGCATGTTTTGATAATACTGTGCATGAGTGCGTTGCAGAGATGAAGGAATTTGGGTTAGGCATTGAGGACAGCACTCTCGGTCTATTTGTCAACAGAAATGATTCCTCTGCGAGGGGTAGAAGAAGAGTTGTCATCGTCCAGAAAGTAAAAAGCTTTTTCTCGAAATCATGGTTTAGGAACGAATGTTCTCCTAAAAGAGATGTCAAGTGATGAGGTCACAAAATCTATTTTTAGAATTTTTGAAATTTTTTTCCCATAACCCGAGAGAGCATCATGAAATACCTCTAAATCTGCACAATCAGTTAAAGGTATTACGGATTGGCTGAGATATGACCAGATGAGCACAAGCGCTAGCCCCATGAAACCTCTATAATTTGGTCTCAGTTCATAACTTTATGAACTGAGCCAAAATAACAGTAATCCGTTAGCAAACTTCAAATATTCTATTGGCCATAACTCACCCGATTTTTAACAAATTTAACTGATTTTGCGTATATTTTATGGTGTTCTTTTATGTTATGTGAAAAAATTCGAAAATTCTGAAAATAGTTTTTTTGTGACGTCACACTTGAGAACGCTTTTACCACTACATCTTTACACTTCAATGAACTGCCCTTTCCAACATTTGACTTATTTTATGTGCAGAAAACACGGAGCCAGAGAGAGATTTGTCGCGTAACCGCGAATTTTATTGTAGAGCTGAACTGACTATATCTTAGAACTTACTAATATGCAGTTATGATTTTCTAAAGTAAAAAGTAGTTTTGTTGAAAAATACAAATGATCGGAGGGTTGAGTGAAATGAATAGCAGATGAATAGTAATCAGTAGGGATGCATGATTTGTGAATGGCGTAGAGGGGGCCTTTGCTGTGGTGTTGTGAAGGAATAAATTCAAAAATTGCTGTAACTTTATGAGAGACTTTATTTTTAAGGTATAAAATCTCAAACCTGTTCATGTATTCATGATGTAAATAGAAAAATAGTTGAGTGGAAAAGTGGCAAACAGGGACCGTTTTTATTTTCAACATAAATAAAAGGAAAGTATCCCTTCGACAGATGAACCTACTTTGTCTGGTTCCCGCCAAAAAACTAAAAAAGTTTATACTAAATAATCCTTAATTGATATTTCTCAATCCAAGACCAATAATAATGGAATTTTTACTTCAATGTAGTTAAATTCGTATTGGAAAGTAATAATTTTAGCCAAGTATAGTTTATTTTCATATACATTAGAAATTTGTGTTTTTAGTTGTTATTGCTATACATATTATTTTTTGTGATTGACAGTATATTTTCATTTGATATTTTCTTTTTATAGTATACCGGTATCACGATGAAAGCATTCAAAAGATTGCAAGTGAATATTGAGATTCAGAATGATCCTGGATATGAAGTGTAAATATGAATTTCTTACTAATATATCTCTATCTCTAATATATTTCTTTTGATTTTTCAGCCAGATATCACCTTCGTTTCAATTTGTTTGTTGGGTTTCATGTCAAATCGCAAAATTGTTTAATTATTATTACAATATTGTTAAAATTGTTAAGGGTCCACCTGATTCAACCTACTTGCAAACATTCAACCTACTTGCTAGACTCTTGGTTAGCAACAAAGCATTTCACATCAAACAGCGAAAAACAGCCTACGGAATCGGTATATTGGGAATATACACTGTACAAAGTGAGTTTGGCTAGGCTTCAATTAGACCCAGTCTGCCCCATGATTTGGACGCTTTCCCCTTTCAATCCCCCCCCATTCCTACCCCCAGCAAGCAGTGATAGTAACATGCAACCTGAAGGCTGCGAGAAAATAGAAATGGTCACCTAGCTACCCCAAGCCCCTTGTAATACTTCTGCGATTGTCATCATTAGTTCACATATAGATTTTTTAAATCTTGAACAACACAGAGCTTTTTCTTTTTTTGAAATTAAGAGTTATTTTAACCTTATAATTTCCTGTTTGCAGTATTATGCATAAAGTGAGAGATTTTCTTTACCCGATAATGTACATTGAAGAGGTAAGGACTGTTTTTTATATGAGCAGTGTTAAGGAAAGGAATCATTTTCGTGAATAAGGGAGATTGGCTTTATAGATTAAGCTTCTTCTACATACAATCATAAAGAAACAAATTTGACTCTAAAGAAATCGCACCTTTTGTTTATCAGATTAAGGATGTTTCGATTTTTATGTTTTGATTTATAAAAAAATGACGTTTGATCGGTATCGGTATCCTTTTATAAATTGTTCGACTTGATTAAGATTGCAAATTTTTATCCTTCAAGAAGTCGTTTGGCCTAGTTTATGGCTTCTGATAGTTAGCCTTTTTAGGGTAGGTTGTTGAGCAGCCTGTTTTCAAAGTTTTTTTGTTCAAACATACGGTTGTTACCCCCATCGTTTTTGTCACCACTAACTTGATACTATCTTTTCAAGCATGGTCTTGTTGGTGACGCAGATGCCAAGAAATTCAAAAACCAGGTTTATTTCGCGGTTTCCCTCGGTGAATATCTGCAGTATGGATTAATTGCTCTTGGAGGGGTCCTCGTTTTGTCTGCTGTTGTTGTCGGTGCCTGCGCAGAGAGGAAGCGAAAATCGGTAGGGATCCTTTTTTGCTCCTTGTAAATTTTCTTATTCATTCCTTAATCAGTGATTTATCACAGTCGTGATCATGATAGTCATGATTGTAGTGATGGTTGTTTGGTTATCATGATTGAACACTGATATTGATCGATGACGATCGAGATTGCTCTGTTTATAATCATGGTTACGATTTCATTCAACAACTTGGCTAGAAGATTCGTATACTTTGTCGTCGTGATTGCATTATGTCAATTCAAAATTTAATCAAACTGCAATGATATCAAACTCTAATCATATCAATATCAGCATCTACATTTGTCATTCTTACGAACCATTTCCTTGCGACGAATAAATTTTTCCATTCATACAAAAATGAAGCACCTATGTTGAAACATGCTGTGTAGGATACGTCTCCTTATAACCATAACCCATAACCATAACCAATTGCCATTAATAAACATTAATTTCATTGTGCCTGAATAATCGACTAACCTTTAACAGAAAAAGTTGAAACCGCTCTAAAAACTGATCGTTTATTTGCAGGCCCTAGGCAAAAGCAGTGAGATAAGCCCCCTACTTTCTTGAGAAGTCGAAGCAACTTTTCGATTCAATCGTCTATTCGTACGACGTTGTTAGCCTAACTAAAAATACACTTAACTTTTAGTATTATTCTTTTCAGGAAAACAAACATTTAAATTCTATCTAGTTTAAAGTAATACTTTTAAGTTTTTGAGTCTCTCTAAACAACTTGTATATGTTTTCTTTTCAATTCCAACCTCCGTTCTGGTAATGTTGCTTCCCGAAATTGGACGTACGAAGTTATGTTTGAAAATTTTGAAATCATTAATAGCGTTAGCTGCAGGAAAGCTATTGCTTGGAAGCATTGTGCGTTCATTGTCATATTATGTGGCAGATATCCCTCACGACTGATTCACATCGAATAGAATAAAAAATATCAGTCGAAGATTTGCCAAAATTTCTATCGATGTTATTTTCATAGAAGCCTTGACCGGGATAAAATACTGTCTTTTGGTACTTTTTGGGTGGGCAATAACCCCTTTAAGGTAGAGTTTTGTAACTCATCTAATTGTTAATCAGAGTATTAAAAAATTATCGTAGTTTTTTTAAGATTTGAAAATTTATAATGTTTTATAGCCTTTTATATGGAATATATGAATACATTTTGCTGATTCATAGTGAAATTTAATTAGTTCTGTACATTATTTGTTACTGAACGTATCATTGTAGATAATGATTTTTATATGATTATGGACTATGGATTAATAGAAACAACGAAATTTCTGGAAAAGTTACTTCTTTTCTTGTCTGTAATTAGATCATATCATAATCAAATAAATCATAATAAATCATAATTACTCTTGATGAATCATAATCAGTCATAATAAATCATAATTACTCTTGATCATCAGTTATAATCAATCTTCATCAATCATCATGAGACATCACCATTATCAATCATAATCAATCATAATCAATTGTCATCCATCATCATGAGTCGTCACCATTATCAAAGATATTAAATCATAATCACTCGTAATCAGTCATCTTCAGTCGTCATCATCAACAATCATCAAATCAATCATCAAATCAATCATCACCATAACGACAGCCATCAGTCATCGATTAACAATTGTGTCATAATCGTTGATAATTTGCCAACCCATCATCACCTTCAACAATTGCAATCAACTGTTGTCATTTTCCTTGATTATCATTTTTCATCACAGCTCTTTTTGTTTTGTATAATCACCACTTTCGTGATTGGTCTTTGCATCACTTGAATTTTTCTTCAATGAAGCTTCTAGCTAGCAACTTACTTTTAACAGTTCGTGGCCCCATTGTCTCTCTATTTAGGCCTTATTCGTTGGCGGTTGCACACCCTGCCCATCAGTAATTCCGGTAAGCAGTGTGTTGTGTGAGTGTGACGAGTGCTAAATTATTAATACCTTTTTACCTTGAACCAACCAGCGAAGGAATCCTTAAACTCTCTATTCAAAAATATATAAACTGAGACAGGATGGATACGGCGTGTTGTAATTGTTAGAAATTGTCACAAAAAGTCATCTGCCTACCCATCTGCCACGCTTAAAAACCAACCATGAAACGTATACTTTTTCAACATTTCCGAAAGGAATGTAACAGGATTGTCATGTATTGTTGCCTCTAATGTCCCTCTCTAATCATGGTAAAAACATTTAATATCAATGTATTATCATCACCAGTATCATAGTCAGTTTGTCAGATATAGATGATGCAATCCATCATTTGTCCACAGCAGCTAGGATGCTCAGACGTTTGATATATGTATCATCAAATTGAAGTTCTAGAAATTAACAAGCAGCGCTTCTCCACAGGAAATGCTAAAGCTCTAAGGGGCTTTTTAAATAGAGGTGGTGGGCTTCTTTCTAAGGATTTTGGGCTACAGGGGCTTGTCTGAAATAACGCTTTTTGTACTTTTTATTTGTTAAATTTTTTGTTTGATTTTTTTATTTGTGTATTTGTTATTCATTGCTACTTCTTTCTGGAAGAAATAAGCCCTTAAAACTGACGATCAAAAAACATAATGCATATTTAGTTATAAATTTTTGCTTTTCCAGCTTTTATTTTTTAGCTTTAGTATCTTGTTGGACTCTCCTCCAATGCTTCCTTTTTGGTTTTTCTATGTTTACAGATTACTTTTGTTAACCAATCAGGATTTGCTGACGTTTTATTTTTTCATCAAGAGCAAAAAAGTGATAAACCGTTTTAATATGTACCGTAGCTGAACGATCTTCCATGAATATCCATTTTTACAGAAAAATCCCAAAAGTAATCAGTTTAGAATTTGTTAAGCATTCATCGATGTAACACATAACCAATAAAACCTTCTTTTCCCACCCGCAAAATTGAATAACCTATCATTTGTTCTTAAACTTAAGAATACTGGATAAACAGTGACGTGAGAAAGTAAATCGCTATTCAATAAAAAAACTTGAGTGTATTTTATATTTTCATTCAAGAATTTTTATCTTAATGATATCTGCGTAATGGTGACAGCAGAGAGGGTTTGGTTTGGACATTGTGCAGTTGGAACTGTAATTGGTTTGTGTAAACAGTGATATTCCTGAAGCCTGAAATATTGTTTTTTCAAGGAAGAATCAAAAGTAATTGCTAACTTCTATAGAAACCCCGGAAGTAAGTACGTCAAAAAATCTATTGAAGGATGAATTTGTCTATTAAAGAAAAAATAATCGCTCCTTGATGTGTTTTCAAGATTCTCCTCCGCTCTATTAAGATTATACCTGTGTTGTTATTTATCGAACTAATACTTTTGGTTGCGAGGAAATTTAACAAAGGTTTGTTTGAAATAACAGCCTTTAATTTTTTCACAATGGTCTCAGTTCACTACGGGCATCTTAAGATTTTCAGCAAGTAAAGTACTGGATTTGTTGCTGGGATGCATTTCGAGGCCTAGATTCAATTACCAGCAATCAATTCAATGCTTTCAACTTCATCACTAATAAGAATGGGTGTGATGTTTTGTTTTTAATCCTTTGATAAACTGCAAAGATATAATTTCTAATGTATATGTGGAGGATAGTTATTCAAGTTAATAATGAGATGGTATCGAAACAGATTGAGATGTAAAATATATAAGCATGAATCCATAGTTTTTATAGGTATTCTGGTACTTAAGGTCTGGACAAACGACTCAGACATTTGTAAAACATTACCCAACATTGTTGTAACAACATTGTTGGACGATGTTTTATGACTAGGTTAAAGGAACCAAAGAGATTTCAAAACAACTGTGATGGTCAAGCGCTGCCTCACAGTTTCCTACAGTTACTGCGTTTTTACCGAATCTCAACATACTGCGCTTGCGTGAGTAAAACAAATGTTTTAAAGGCTGGCCAAACGAACGCAACATTGTTGATAAAACATGGGAACAAATGAGATGTTTTACGAAATGTTTGATGGAAATCAAATTTCGTAAAGCATAACAAAACATCGTAAGATACCGTAGAACATGGTGGCCAAACGAATGAAACAATGTTATCCGACAATGTTGGATGATGGTTTATGCCGATGTTTAATTCGTTTGACCAGGGCTTTAATCATCGTATACTAATTTTTTACAGTAGAAAGTCCATATAACGAATACCTGTTATACTCAAGATACTGCCCATCGGTAGAGGTAACCATTGTTCGTAAGTTAATTCTATAGGCTTTGGTCATAGCTAAAAAATTTTGGTACGAAACTGTTTGTTCGTTGTTTAGAAGATGTATGCTAAAGAAAAGTGTCTGTTAATGAAAGATTCAGACGTGTATTCTAATCCTACCGGTTTGTTCAGAAATGCTCTTGGCTTCTGCATGATCTGGTAACCATTCATTCTCTTGGCATGTATTCTGAGAATGTGACGTCTACGGCAGAATTGTCAAAGACGATAGAATTTCACTGGTAGAAAAAGCAGTGTTTTATGAACGGAATGTCGTTTTATTAAGCAATATGTGAATTTTATGTTCTGGCTAAGATGAGCGGTTGAGACCTCTTTCAAATAGTTTTGAATCAAAAGGGGTTTCTTGTTACAAATTCAGGGATACAATGCCTGCCAAAAGTCTTGGAACACTGACGTCAATTTCCAAGCTCAAAATCAATCATCCCCCTCTCCCCCACGGAACAATGTTGGTTTACTATCAAACGGATTAGGATTTTAGGAAGCAATTTCTTTTGCGCTTCTCGTATGATATTTCTCTAAATTATCAACATTGTTTTAGGGGGAAGGGGCAGAAGTAGTAATTTTTTTTCATGAAAGGAATGAAAGATATCAAATGCAGCGTAAATTGCCGGGTGTTCCAAGTACTTTTGGCAGGCATTGTAGATCATCCCGTATACATTTATTGTGCTGTTCCTTTAAGACCAGTGGCATTTCTATAAACGTGGTAATTTTGTCTTTATTTGCTGTTTTTTATTTGGTACAATATAAAATAAAATATCATATGCGCCTACCCATCACAACTGTCATAGGGTGTAAAGCCTTATCAAATGATACTTTTTATGCTCAACCATATTCCTTCATGACCTATTGACCAATTTCCGCTTATGTTATTCGCAGCTCAATTTCGTAATCGATGACCAAGAAGGTTTGATTCAAAATGCAAGATAAAGCCAGAGAGTGGAGCCTGTGCGTATTCTCAAACTCTTTCCTTTCTTTGTTAAACGATTTCTCTAAATGTTGTGTGCATGGCTGTTCTGTCGGTTACAACAATGATGCAATGCAACGTATGATGGATTTGATGAATTCCACTGCAATCCAATCTTTGATGAGAGTTACTTTGGTTGTTGGATTGTTATCTGCTGCTCTCGCCTAAGTGTAACTCTACTCCAAGTTGCTTAACAAATATAATCAGTGAAAACATAACAATATTTATTGCTATCGACAATTTAGCTGCGTAAACACTATTTCTTAAATTCTATTTATGCTTGGTCATGCTCATTTATTATTTATGTAATCTTTAAGGCCTTATTTCGTTTAAGTTTAACCCAATGTTCCATACGCAATTATTATTTGATTCGGGTTTTCGCAGTAGCCTCGTTATCAGTGAAGATGAGCAAACACGTGATACTTTGCTAAATAAAATCATGGAAAAACGAATAAATGGGCAATAAAGAGTAAATTATCAATAACAACTTAGTTCCAATGCCCCAATTCTTGCTATTATTCGAGACTTTTATGCCTTCTTTTATTGTATCTTCTTTTTGTTTTAATAGTATTTTGTTCCATATTTTTTTGAAGAAATTTCGTTTGCTTTGACAATTGTTTTGTGTGACTTGCTTTTGTAAGTGGATCTTCATTTTGAATGACGATTCAACAGCGTAGTTTCTTCCTAATATGCAGTAAAATGGATTAGAATTATGTAGCATGGATTTCTGTAAGTTTTATATCTCTGCATGCCGTATGCGATTTGAGGTAGTGTATCTGCCTTGGTCTTATAGCTGTATAATTATTCAATTTTTGACTGGAAATTGATCTCGGTTAAGCTTGCCTAAGTTTTCACGCGGAACCAGGATGTGCCTCAATTAGAGTTCTAAATGCTCCTGACAAGACAAAGCATCCGAAGTTTCTCTGGCCAACGCATTATATTATGGGCGTACAGGGCTTACAGTCCCCCAAAACCTCAGCACTGCTTTGCGGTGCGGTTCTCGGTGATATTGCTTAAAGAGACTGTCGAGTTTTAAGACACATGTGTACTTCAATTCCCTTCTACACTACCTCCTAGATGCATTGCCACTGACGGCCTAATTGTTGGCTCTAGGTCAGCTTTAGGTCCTCGTGCAGCCTAGCTCATAGAGACAGTCTAGCTGTATTGATGAGCCCTGATATTGGGCGAAACTGGTGCACAGCCGGCTTTTTGAAGTGTGAGTGGTTTTCTTTACTTCACACATTATATTCTATATCGATGACTTCTTATTCTCTTAATTGTTCGAAATGTTTAGAAAATTGAACGGAAATAAAACTGGCTGACCTAAACAGCTATTAATTGGCAACCAATCACGATCGATTTCTCTTCTGACCTTGGATACAATTCAAATTGAATTTGAAATTATTTTTAGAACACTGAGATATTTGTCCGTTGATTCTCTTGAAGCTTTTGATTTTAATTGTCCCCTGGTTGTCATTACTTTCAAACTGCAAATGGGAACCACAGAATCATAGAAATGAATCTCATTCCAACCTCTGTGAAAATACAAGGAGGACAGGAAAGCGGTTCGAATAGAAAGAGGTGCGAATAACTGACGGTATCGCATCTCTTTCATTATTGTAGGAAATACAACGACTCGGGGCTACATCCCCTTAATCATGCAAAATGTTTTGCATTTCAGGCTCAGTATTGTGGCAGGGTTCATATAAAGCCCCCCCCCCCCCTAAACGTTTAGCATCTATAATCTCTTTAAAGGTGGTAGCTGAAGGAAAGGGAAAACCTTACCAGAAATTTCAAACAAGTTCTTTTTCGATTAAGTTGGAATCCACTGTGTTAATTCGGAAAACATCTTTATTGGTTGTTGTTGTTTTGTCTTAATGCTAGAAGAAAGGTGTCATTAAGAATATGATATAGCTGTGTTGCCTTGGTCAGTTTGACCGCTGGAAATATGGTTAATCAAAGAAGTTGTCCCTAAGCAAAGCTAGCCAGTATATAGATTTCAAAGAACTCATTTGCTAAACATCTTTTTTTATTTTCTTTTGCATTCTTTTATTCTTAAAATAAATACATTCTCTCTATATATATATTTTGACATCTGGTACAAAGATACTGCCACGATCATTCACAGTTTTAACAATTGCTCTCTGATGAAGCTTATTGTTAAAAGATTGCATTATCTACATAAAGACAAGTGTCGACCAGACCTGCCAGTCTTTTCATTTTTTGTTTGTTACATGGTTTGATATTTACTTTTACTTTCTATCTTTAATTAGTCATTAAATCCAGTCCCCAAATTCCACCTAGTTATGGTAATATTCATTATGATAAATAAATACATGCATTTTTTATATTTCGAATTACAAAACTATTCTGAAACTTTTCAGTCTATTTGAGGATGGCCTTTTTCGTCTCCAAAGTGATCTAGTGAGCCTCGTCACTGTCATAATCAAACTTCTTTTCAAAGAAATTGTTTCTTTCTACATTGTCCTCATCAAACATCTTCTCCGTGTCATCATAAAATGCTGACTTGTGGTTTGATAGCAGTTGCTCAAATGGTGAATCCATGGCAAAATTGTCCAGGATATTCTTCTCTGGATTGAGGTGATGTTCAAGTTGTTTTGCATCAGTGTCCGACACTCCGTAATCCAACGGCTCGGTTATACTGTTAAAAGTGTTTGACATTTGGCCGGGAGCCCCCCATTCATCTTCGTTAGGTGCGATCATTGCATTGCTTGTTTCGTCGCTGTTAAACTGCGAAAGTAATGGGATAGATGGCTCGCTGCTTGATTGAAGAAGATTTTGCAGTTTTGGTTGCAACAGCTCGTTGTTGTTGGTTTCAGTTGGATTCGAGGCTGGCTTCTGATTTAGCAGTGTTCCTTGCTGCTCCATCCCCCGTCCGCTGGCTTCCTCTACCTCACTTCTCTTGAGTGTAAAATTCAATACGGTTGGAGGTCCTTCGACGACCTTGACCTTGTGTGTCATTGGCTCGTATCCTTTCATGTAGGCACGTACTTCGTATTCTCCTGGGAGAAGAAGCCTCCAATAATCGCCATCACCTCCAGTTCGAACTGCGTGCGATCGGTCGCTCACAGTTATCTTCGATTTGGAAAGAGGAGCTCCACTTTGATCGAACACAAAGCCCTTCACACCACGGTGCACCTGAAAGCAAATTATCCATTACTAGCATTTGTAAACAGTTTTGTTCATTTTGTAATTGTTTTCATGTGACGGGGTGTGAAGGCATTATGATTTATCTTCAGTCCTATAAGAGGTGCAGATAACGTCAAGGAAGACCGTTATTGTGTTCTCATTTTTACAGAGAATTACTCTAAAGTGAACCACTGTAAGAGTGATAATTACACTGGGCATGCGCAGTAATACCGCAAAGCTAGTTTCCTACATAATGAATTATCGCAAAGCTACTTTTATTTCGAGGAGGTATTGCCCCTGAAATGTTTTCTAATACTGCTAAACGTCGATATTAACTTTTCCATTACCAAACAGAGTTGCTTTCTGTAGGACAGATTAATCTTCACTTCTTCATCATCAGAAACAGTTCATTTATCAACCGTTCATTTAAAACATTTAACATTCCTTGGTGTTAACAACATGGGAACTTTTGCATGCTCAAAACAAGGAAAGTTGGTTGCATAAGAAAGACTTGAAATGCCTTTGAGACTACTAGGGTTGCTGGTGCATTTCCCAATAGACGAGATCAAAACATCCCTTCAAACTATATCTACACAAGCATTTCAGTTACTCCTATTGTACTTTTCACTGGAGATTTTCAGATACACATTGAAATGTGCCCGTTTTGCACGGGTTTTACCTTATCGTTTCGGGGACTGGAACGATATAAAACCGTCGCCACAACTTATTACTTGGCAGTTGTAGTGGGTCACACGGCCACTTTTCAACTGGTTGTGTTAACACATTTTGCGTCCTAAGATTGCAAATATGCTAGCTACCAACGCGAGGGAGAATACAAGGCTCTATGGAGACGAAAATGCTGGAGAGATGGGGCATCAGGCGAAAACCTCAGCCTTTTGTAACCCAAAATCTAATCGAGTTGCCCTAAAGGCAATAAATAACGTCCAAAGACCAACACTTGACAGAGCTTGTAAGACCCAAGCTAATATCAATATCCACGCTACTTTTCAAAGCAGAGCACCAACGCACCCTAAAGGATTTAGCATCTTCGTGGAGCCACAACACACAGATGATATCGGACTACAAAGCGACATTTTGAGACTTCACACCAGTGATGCAAGCGATGATGTAGCCGAGTCGCCGATGAAGATATCTCCTGTCCAAGCCAATGACAACGAGATAGAAACCCGACCTACTGGCAAAAAGCCTCGAAACGATGAATGGTCCGAGTATGAAGATGATATCGTCCGATACCTGAGCAAGCGCGCGGTAAGCACTGCACCACGTTCTACTTACATGAACAAACAGCCGGACATAAACTACAACATGCGGACAATTCTTATTGATTGGTTAGCAGAGGTGAGTGATGAATTTGGTCTTGATAACAGAACATTATACATAGCCGTCACCCACATTGACCGGTTTTTATCGGTAATGTCGGTTCAAAGGGACAAGCTACAACTGGTGGGAACCGCCTGCCTGTTCATCGCGGCAAAATACGAAGAAATCTATCCTCCTGAAGCGTCAGATTTTGTTTTCATAACAGATGATACGTACACCCAAGAGCAATTATTTCGAATGGAACAGCTCATTGTAAAAGCTCTCGACTGTGATGTTTCAGCGCCCATTATACTAGACTTTTTAGATCCATTTTTAGCAGCGGCGGGGTGCATCGTGGATGAGCAAACTCAATCTTCCGGCAAATACAAGACACTAGGCCATCTAGCCATGTTTTTGTGTGAACTAACCCTGCAAGATTCCAGCAAATTCTTGAGGTACCTTCCACACGTGATTGCTGCATCAGCAATATTGCTGTCTTCCCATACCATGTCCTTGCCGATAGCGTCTGACACCTTAGTCATGAAGTGCAACGCAGATACGAAAACTTTGCTAAACTGCATGGACGATCTTCAAGATGCCTTCATGGAAGCACCAAAACTGAAATACAAAGCTATTTTTCTGAAATACTCAAAGGACAACTTTGATTGTGTTGCGAGAATACCCCCCGTAGCACGTCCTTTTACTTTTGTTCTTTAGAAAACTGTTCTTCGTTTTAATAAAGTAGAGAGTTTATTATGATTTTTGATTTACACTGATACTGAATTTAAAATGCTTGGCGCGTTTATATTTTCACGGGTCTTTGCGACCAATAAGAACATGTAATAAGCTGCCAAGAAGCTATTTCATTTTCGTAGAAAATTTCCACAATAATTATAAGGTGAATTAGATGCTCTTTGGAGATATCCGATCTAAACTCCGGGGTATTATCTTAAGCAATATAATTATGACCAAACTGTCTTCCTAAAGATATTTTTTAAGTTAATAGAAATGGTCACCAATAGAGCTTAGTTACTTTTTCAATTGTTAAATTTTTCCTAAATTATATGCTATGTATATTAAACATTTTCTGGTTAATGATAAGCCTATGAAATGGTTTCTTAGGCTCTAAACATTTTTGGTCTCTCATCATTTTTTAAAGATATTGCTTATTTGATCAAATTTAGCATTGAATTAGGTGTGAAGCTGTTATGGATGTAAATTTATGATTTTACTTTTTTGGTTACATGTATAATTTCTTGGTAAACTGAAGAATACAAGCTCTATCTCTGTTGTAACCCTACTTTTGTATCTCTACATTGACGACTGAAGAAGAAACTGAATTTCTAAAAGAACATTTTACGTGTACCCTCAAGAAGAAATAATTACGTCCTTCTCAGTAGATGGGTATTTCAAACACGAAGCCCCCCCCCCTCCTCCGATTTTGCTCCCATTTTTAAGGCAATCGTATTTGTTACCTGTTCTATGAACTTCACCAATGCTTCTTTGTTCTCATTCCAGTACCTTGGTAGTTTTTCCTCTGCGGGAAATTTATCACACCCTAACTCTAGTGTTATTTCGAAACAGTTCGAATGGACATAGTTGTAGTCTTGCATACCCCCTGCTACATTGTACCATTTAGCTCCATTTGTAATTCCATGATTGAAATGATCCGGGGGTACTCCATCGCAATCCCATGGTGGCCTATCCAAATGCATTGTAGAGTGTGCATCAGAGTATGTTAGAGCCAGGAACTTGAAGACGTCATCATCAGGACTTTTTGTGTAAACGGTTTTACTTTGAGGGTTATCGTCGTAGGGGTAGTTTGCTACAAGGGAACCTCCATGCAAATTTGCCGAGAGAACGAAATTATTTTTCCGGATCCAGCTTGCAACTGCTTTTGTCTCAGGTTGCATTGGTCCGATCTCATCCGGTAGAAACTGGTCCGGAAAATTACGATTCAAGTCGACGTGATGGGCATTACTCCTACCCTGCAACCAGTCACCCCTGTTTTTGGTGGCATTTTCATATCCATCCGGGTTCATACTCGGCATGAAATGCATGCGGGTATTATCAACTAAAGACGTATACCGCTTGTTCTTTCCATATCCTAAACAGAACTCTTTGATTAGTTCTAACAACAATTCGCGGCCTACAACCTCGTTTCCGTGCATATTTGCTACATATTTAAACTCCGGCTCTCCGGGTTCATGTTTGCCAGGATTGTCAGTTACTTCTAAAACCCAAAGTTCTCGCCTTTCGATTGATTGGCCTACACTGTAAAGTCGCGTAATGCGAGGAAACCTTTTGTGCCAATCATGTAGAAAGCTCGTCAGCTGTTCATAATTGTGATGCTTCAGTACAGCGTTTGCTGCATCGTTCCGTTTCTCCCGCAGTGGTGTTGCGTGGATCCTACAGAGCGAAACCGCCAGTATAAAAAGTATTAGTAGTTTAGACATATTAGGCCCGAACTGCGACCTCAGGATCGCACTGTAGAATGTATGAACCGGCTGGTGAGTTTCAATGCCTACTTATTGTTACGGCTTGTATACTGTTAAAACTATTGGCTGTCAAGGACGCTTCCGCGCCATAACGTCAGCTCCAATCACGGCGTAAGATCAGCATATCCCCCGGAAACCACGCTGCATCGCTGTAACAGGTGGCACGAAAAAACCGCCAAGATTGGAAGGAAGCCGCAAAGATCAAGCCACTCGCAGAATCTTATTGGCTACTGGTCATTTGGATGTTTTTCGCATTCATTCAAGCGAAGCGAAGCTGTTTTTTCGACGGTCCACAAACAAAACAAGAGTTTCCATGGCATATTTTGGTTTTTTCGCAAGAATGTTCACCAAAGTAAGCCAGTTACTCGAAAGATATGTTACAGTGTTCATTTTAACGCCAAGAAAGTTTATACATTCTGGAGTGGCGTTTTTATATGAGTATACCAAAACCAGCTGAAAATAGGCCTTTTGACCTTTGTACATTTCCATTCTATTTCCAACCCTATCCAACGTAACCGATAGGCCTGAGATGCACCCCGGCTTCATATAACTGCTAACCAGTCGAGGGATACCTCTCAGTACTAAAAGCTACAGCCCGAAGTAATTTCTTTTGCGCGATGCTGAATTGTGCTGCCAATCAGGTATAGAAATGAAGGTACCTACGAGCTTAGGAATCAAAACGAAAACTGGATAATATCTTTGTTGGAGCTTCTTTTGTTTTCTTTTAACTATTTTATTCAATTAACAATGTAAGAAGTATTTATAAATTTATAGATTATTTAGTGTAATAATAGTGTGTTGTTATATTTCGCTCGTAGTTTGTAAATGTTGGAAGAAGTTAGGCCCTACGAGAATAGTTATGAATTCTTTTTCAGTTTCTCTAATCATCAGCCCTTGATCAAAAGGCAAACGCAAGTTAGCAAGACCAGAGATTGGGTATGAAGCCAATCGTACCTAATTTCTAAGGATTTAAGAAAAAAACTTTATTTTTCAGCCGAGCAACACACCAGGTGCTTTAACTAATATTCGAGGCCTTTTAGAATTTATGAATATAAATTCACTTTTCATGTACCAACATTAAGCTGAAAGATTGGTGGTAATACTAGAAGTCACAACCAAGTACAAAAGAAGTACAGGCCCAGAAAAGTCATCTCTTGTGAGCGAGATTCAATAGCTGATCGCGCACGATGAAACCCCGAACTGATTCACAGAGCCACCGTTACAAAGAACGCGTATACCTAATCCTGTACCTTTCCAAATTATGATGCTCCGATGAAAATACAGCGACAATGAAAGCGCATGCCCTGTCACATGTTTAACTTGACTAAATTTCATTTTACGTAATTAAACTTCCCTTATTTAACCTTATCAGATACTTTTTCTTATTGTTTGTCCTAATGTTTCCGTCTGTTTTTTTCAGAGGGACCAGACTGTACTTTGAACCGGAATAGTTTAATGCATATGCAGATTAATCACTTTCATTCCCAATAGTTTATTCAGCTACTCGTTTTACTAAATTCTCCCATCAAAATTCTCCTTCTCACTTTCGCTACAACTTTCTGTCCATAGCAGAAATGTAACAACAACAATTTGGCATTTATTATGGAAACGAATAAGCTCAGGATGCTTTGATAAAAAATATAAGGAAAATGTATATTATTGTTGACAAGAGAATAAGGGCGTCACAGTTTAGTATGACTTAAAATATTTGCCTTTTTTCAAAACCATTTCTAAGTTTTGTACCAAAAAAAATTGTTTGAATTTGCATTTAGGCAGTGATAAATTATGACAACATCGAGATGTTGGTGTTAAGAAGCCATTAGAAGTAAATATATAAAATGAATGGCACCTACAAGAAAAACAACATTTCCTTCTCCCGGTCATTTCTTTTACCCAGACATTGCTTTCATCCGGTCATTACTTTCCCCGATCAGTGCTTTTGCCCGGTCATTTTTGGGTAGCCAATATAGATTTTTCTAGACTTACTTCTTCTTATGTTATATCCTTCAATTACGTCTCCAGCGTTTCAGAAATATTTTGATCGCAGAACCTTTACAAGATTTGTTGCTGTGTTCTCATATGCCTATACTTAAAAACATGCTATTGTCACCTAAGCATATAGCTAGGCGACATTTTATTTTATATAACTGCAATAGTGTTGAGATATTTCTTCAGATATCGATAAAATGTTAAAACATTAAAAAATTCTGGTATTGAAATTCAACCTAATTCTTTGAACAGAATTAGAAACACCGGAGTGGCTTGATAATTGCATAGAACACTAAGGTTGAAGTAGCAACGTATAACTACCTTTCTAGTTGTTTTCATGAAATTATCATTTTATTTGAAAGGATGTCAAAACCAGCAAAGAACCGCGCCGAAACTTTGCCATCCAAGCCTCCTTTTCACTCGGATATTCAAAGCATGAATAAAGCCTATCGCAATGGAGACCCCGTGTTGCAAATTTTACACTGGATTTGAATTCTTAACCTTACCTGTTCTATGAACTTTATCAGAGGCTCCTTGTTCTCGTTCCAGTAACGAGGAAGTTCTTTGGCATCGGGAAATTTCTTGCACCCTAGCTCCAATGTGATTTCCATGCAATTCGAATTTAAGTAGTCATAATCTTGCATGCCCCCTGCCACATTGTACCAATTCGCACCGTTGGTTATGCCCCCTTTGAAATGATCCGCCGGTATATCCGTGCATTCCCAAGGGGCGTCATCCAAATGCATTGTCGGATGTGTCTGAGCATATGTTGTCGCTAAAAATCGGAAAACATCGTCATCAGGGCTTCGGGAATAAGAACTGTCTCCTGTCGCACTGTCATCGAATGGATAGTTGGCTACCAAAGATCCTCCATGTAGATTAGCTGCTAGGACTATATTGCTCTTCTTTATCCAGTCTTCAATCGCTCGCGTCTCTGGCTGTGTCGCAGCATTCTGGGTGTTCATAAACTGATCCGGGAAATTGCGGTTCAGGTCAACGCTGTTCGCATTTGTCCGACCGACCAGCCAGTCTCCTTTTCCTTCTTCACTGCCAACTCGTATCCGTCCGGATTCATACTGGGCATGAGAAGTATCCGCGTGTTGTCAACAAGAAACTGTATTCTCTGATTATGATCGTATTCATTACAAAAATCAGAAATAATCTTTAACAACATCTCTCGCCCGACCACTTCATTCCCGTGCATGTTTGCTATGTATTTAACTTCGGGTTCTCCTGCTTCATGTTTCCCTGGGTTATCACTTAACTCGTAAACCCAGAGCTCTCTGCCTTCTACAGATTTTCCAATACTACTTAAATGACTAATCTTTGAACATTTTTGGGCCCAGTCTTTCATATAGTTAGTCATTTCTTCATAATTGTGATGTTTCAGTTCCTCGTCCCCTCTTTTTGTTGGCTGCATTGCCTTTCTCTTGTTTCCAATAGATTTTGTTTCGTATAATGCTAGGAAGCTAGCGCAAACTGCAATGAAGAGCGTGACAAATTCTTTGCCACCCATTATTAGCCCAGAATCTCAACTCCCAGAAACTCATAAATTCTTCTTGAACAAGAGATGGCTAACTTGACTTTAAGACTCTTCGTGGAAATAGTAATCGGTGCTCCAGCATCACCGATCATAAGAGCAAAGCGTCTTTTCTTGGCAGTCGGCGATGCCGAATGTTACTCAAGAAGCTAACCAGGGGGTCGATCAAATTGGAAAGATGTTACCTAGCAACAAGTGGCAATTAGGCCTGTTTCTATCACTTTCAAAATTTGCCTAATTTGCGATGGTGAATCAACATAAAAGGATGGTGAAAAATAGTCACTTTGCGAATATAAAGGAAATCTTTATTGTGAGCTTTTCGCAAATTGTATATACGAAAAATTTTCACAAATTGTATTTTAACGGGTGGCCTGTATAAAACCAATTTTTTTGCAAGGCCAATGTTGTTTGACAACATCAAGGAATTTCTACTCACGGTAAATTTTTTTGACTACATTATCTTTCTATCTCTGTTAAACCAATTATAGAATCAGTTTTGGCAAAAAGTGAGGTTTGAAAAAGAAAAGTTTTTTAATGGAAGGGATTACAGTGACTTTGTTTGCTGTAAATTAGTATCTTAACATTATTTGGTTTTCATCTTAATAAAGGCTTATGATAACTTGAAAATATCATTGCTTGCAGAGGATGATAATCATGTTTTCTCGTTCAACGAGCAATATTTGGTTTACATTGGCCCCCAATGTTAGCGATCAGGATATTCACATGATCCGTTGATAAGGGCTGACGGGTTCCCACAATTGTTTTGTTGCATCTTACCCCCGTCAGAAGCTGCAGCAGAAATCAGAGGATGTTGTACAGGTGGCTATTTGTGTGAACTGTGATTGGCTGCTAGGTTTCTATACCTAATTTATTGTGTGAATGATAAGCAATTCTAGTTTTACTAACAAACTGCATCTGCGAAAAGGACGTAAGTTCTCACTTTGCTGCTAAACGTCTCCCCAAGCTTACTTGTTTTGCTAAACTTTTAACGTCATCCGGGCTACAAATGCGCAGGAGAACGCCAAATTCCTCACACTGGTCTCTTTTCAAGAAAAGCAAGGCATTGTTTCGTTTTGGAAATCCTTTCAAAATACTTTATGGAAGTCCAAGTTTATCGCTATCCAGACATTAATTAGATCCCCTACCACTATCGATTAGATAGATGAAATCGAAGTTTAATTAGAATAAAAATTCATCAGTAGAAGGCAATTTTTAGCAACAGTTAGATACAGATAGGGCTGCAGTAGATATATGAATTACAAGTTGATCTGGAGAGTTAATGTCAGTTTTGGACTTTCCAGGTTTCAGCCTCCATCCCAAATAATTGTAAAACTATGGTAGGTCCTTATAACACTTTACTGAATGGGAAGCATTACAATGGGCAGCCCCCCAATATGAACTTCCCTCAGACGGCACTGCTTTCTACATGATCATCAAACCAAAATCACCAACAGTAATAATACGATGTCTCATGCAGCCACCAATTGCTTATTAATTATTCCCAATATGTGCGCTATTTATCTTTTTTGTCTTTATTTTCAGTTGAAATTTTTAGTTCTCGGTATGATTTTGTCAGTTAGCGAAACTTTTATCAATCTTCAAGAAAATCTGCAGGGTTTTAAATTCTGACCATACTTAGAAAGTGTTTTTGTTCTCAGGAACTTCCTTAGCCTCTTTCGTGTGCATCTGTCGTAAGCCATTCTTCTTCCACCAACTTACATCATTTATTTCTGCGTTCACTTTCCTCTTTGCTTGTTTTTCTTTCCTCTATTGTATTATCCTTTTTCTATATTTAACGTTTAATCGATTTTCATGCTTTTCTTCATTGCTCCCTTTCACCCTAAATTATTTTTCCTTCTTTTCGCACAAGTCTTTTGATTTTCTTTCCCTATTTCCTTTATTTTCTTCAGATTCCTCTGCAATTATATTACCTTTCATTCATTCATTTTTTCCTTCATTCGTTATTCATCCATTCATTAATTCATTTATTTATTCGCTTATTCACTCTATGGAAGTAACACTTTTTGGAACAATAATCAAAGAACCGATTTCTGGTAGAAAAACTGGTAGCCCCATTCCGTTTATTGTCAGGCCACTTAAACAAGTCTAATAGTAACAAAACTGTATTCTGAATAGTCTATGAATTTTTGAGCTATTATAACGTCAAACCTATTTCCTTTCATTTCAGTTTGACTTAACTTTTGTTCTAGGTAAATATACCTCAACTACGGTCTCTGCCGCAATATTCAGTCTCTGCACTCAAATCTATCCGGCTCTGGTTATTCCAAAGCACAAAATGAACGTTAGTTGGAAAATAACTAGCTCACGTTGAGTTCTTCTAGCCCTTGCAAAGCCAGTGCTGATCCAATTCTTCAGAAACGAACTTGCTTTAGAAAGGTACTTTTAGCCCTTAAAAAAGAAAATTTTTTCGAAAGAATTTGCATTTGATACGGTCTTCTAGCCCTTGAAAAGAAAAAGAGAGACACTTCTCGAGAAGAACTTGCTTTAGTAGTATTCTTCTAGCCCTTGCAAAGACAGTGCTGATCCTATTCTTCAAAAAGAACTTGCTTTAGTAGTTTTATCGAAAAGAGCTTGCTTCATATAAGTTCTTTTAACCTTTGCAAGAGAAAATGAACCATTTGTTCGAAAAGAACTGGCTCCAGCTTAGTTCTTTTAGCCCTTGAAAGGAAAACATAAACACATGTAATCATTTTATATTTTAGTTAATTTGAAGGCGTTTAGAGCTTGATTAAATGAAATTTAACCACGTTTGATATGTGACAGGATACGACAAGAAAGGAACCCCTTTGGCTTTTGTTTTTTGGACACACATTGCACGATTATGTTTATCGTAGCAGTGCTCGAGTAAGCATTACATTGTGTCTTTTATATGGCTAAAGTAACAAGCGTGCAAGTGTGCATTGGCCTTGGGTATATAAACTTTATGTTGGCATTGTTTCATTCTCACACGCTACAAGACAACCTGAAGTTGGATTGTAGAGAGGAGGTAGAGAAAGTTTTTCCTTTGCGACCCTGCCCACCCAACCCATGTCTATATATTTTCAGGGTTTTTTACTTGCATGTTAACTTTCTATTTCCTTTCTTCGTGCATCAGTTAATGGCCGTATGGCTTGCGACTTTTTGCATGAACAAGATGTTGCTAGTTGTTGCTAAAGAAGGCCATTGTTCTTCTTCTCAACCCCCTCAAAAGCGGTTGGGATTTTATTTATGGCCGTCTTTGCGATTGGCGCACCGACAGCTCAAGGATAAAACGGTCTAAATAATGAGAGAACGCCGCCTTCAGTCTTGTGATTGACAATGGTAAAATATTCTGAGGACTATATTACTCTTATTTGCTAACGGTTTTTGTTTGGTAACCTGGAGCAAATATTAAATGTCGATTAACCATTTTATGTGCATCAGTTTTAGGTCATTTCTTCCTCGTGTCATTGGCTATAATCACTAAAACACAAAGATTTTTATATCCGAAACTGGCTGCAACAGTGCTTTTTTCAGAGTTGAATATTTTGAGCCTGTGGTAGATTTAGATTATTGGGCAAGTTCATGAAGTCGCTGAAGAACTGACAAAGCTCAGACTGCACGTCAAGTGCTTACTGGTACTTAATGTTACGTGGTATATCTTGCCTTGCCAGGGGAGAAGGACATAAATCGTTCTACAGAATGCAACTGGTCAGGTTCTTGACTGACGTCACAGATTTTATCTCCCCCGGGTGCTAAAGAGGAAACAGAACCTGACCACGCAACCCAGTTCACTCCTACGACCCCAATTCGTCTGCGGTTCTGTTTCCTTTATTTTGGTTCCTAGCTATGGAAACGAATAACGTTAGATTTAATTGAAAATCATTATAATATATAATATTTACAATGGTGCATTGAGATTTTATAAAAAAGCACCTGCAGTATTGTATTTCTCGTGATCAATAATAAATGGACTTGCATAGAGATTTCTCCACGATCAACATGCAAAACATGGCAGTTTAGAATGTCTTTGACCATGAGCCTACATTAATATCGAGCTTAAGTGCACTGCTATGGAGCCAAGATGGAGCCCAAGATGCATTCTGTAGGCCTACTGATTATTGGTGAGGGTTGTGTGTCTTTATTAACAGTTTAAAAACGTTATTTCAACGGCTTTTGTACTAGTAACATGCTATACTCAAGTTCCGTTTATTAGCCGGTGGATGTCGTCATAATGTAAGCATGAGATTTCATATAAGCAAAGTTTGTAACTCTCTCTGATGTAACATGAATACAGGCCTAAGAACATACAAGTCTGAAACAAAAGCTGTTTATGAAATATGGAACAATTTGTATGAAAGGCGTTTTAGCAATACTCTGAGAGCGTTTTCAGTTTGATGTGATCAGATAGAATATAAGACAATAATCATTTCCAGATTTGATATTTCTTTCAAGAATCTTTCACCAAGATTCAAATCTTAGATTTCTTTGTAAATAAAACTAGTACATGTTTAAACTAAGTATCAATCCATTTCAAAGAATTGGTTATATTGCATGTTATTAGTGTATTAGCCAAAAGTTTGTGAAACATTAGAATATACAACTTTGAAAACAACTGGATATTGACTTGATGCTTGACAATATCCAGGTAACCAAACTGTGTACCGTAAGTCTCGTTGCAGCATTAAATTGTTAGCCAAGCAGAAACTTCATCAAGCCTCAAAATCATTTGAGATGGCAATATTTCACTTGTTTCTCTCAACCGATATCAGAAAGTTAACTGTTGAAAGTTCAGGGAGACACTTGTTTGGTAAAGGGACAAGCCTGTAATCCCATTTTCCTTGCCCTATTTTGCCGGATTTTAGAATATTTTCTTGAAGTAGCACAGTTGACCAGTTGCTAATTCTGCTACTTTTCTACTGAGATGTTCTTAATTCTAGTTACTAAAATCTCATAGCTGCATCCCTTGGCTGCATTTCAAAGAAATACCAAGATCCCATTTCACATCTCTAGCGCCAACCGTCTTAAGTAGAGTGTAGTTTCTCTAGCTTCAACGGTTTTTAGCTAGAGTTTAATACCGCTAGCTCTAACCGTTTTAGCTAGAGTGCGTACAAAATTTGGAGAATCTTCTTGGGCAAATTTAAAACCAGTTAAGGATATACTGGCATGAGTAGGCATACTTAAGCTCAAACTTTTAATCTGGATATTTTTCATTAATCACGAACTGCCGGTTCGTGTTATTGTTAATAAAACCCCTACAAAATTAATATCTTAGCCCTGTGCTAAAGTTGACTTTTCCTTTAAATTGTTGTGCAAACTTTCAGGGATTTTCTCGCTGACATCTGGCAACAGATTGCATCATGAAACAGCTTTGCGGAAAAAGCTCGGAATTTTCTCAGTGCCTGGAGGAATTAAGGAAACGCCAATGGTCAATGCTGGATCTCCACTAACGATAACCATTGGCCTTAATCTTCTACGGATACTTCAAGTAGTAAGTATAAACATATTTATTGGTTTCATCTAGCTAAGTGAGGCCCTCGAGGTTGCTGCAGTTTTGGTACACTATTTTTTATGAGAAAATCTTATCAGATCACAAGCCCTAAATTTATCAAAAGTTAAGAAGAAAATAACAAGCTAGGATGAGCTACTACGAAATGCAATTTTGAACAATGTTATGAAACCCCCTCAAAAAGTGCATCTAAACGAAGAATTGTTGGCCATCTAGGGGTGCTTTTTTGGTGAATTTTCAAACCTTTTGCCAAAGAAAGCATGTCTCACTCACTTGTTAGAAAATGAGGCCTGAACATGTATAACCTCCCCTTGAACACTTTTTACGCTCTCTGGAACCTTTGAAGACAGATTGCACACAGTTTTTATTATTAATGGTGTAATTTTTCAAAACAATTCATTCATTTTAATACTTTGATATTTTGGTGACGAATGCAATGAAAATCATCATTGTTTTATTCAAAATTATTTATATGTCCACAGCATTTCTTGTCGAGATTTCTGCACCTGTGAAGTTCATTTTCAAAAATTAGCCAGAAAATACACATAAAATATTTATTGCATTCATCCACGAGGTGTTAACATCAGTATACAACGTTACCTATTCATCTTTTATTTTATGCTTTGCCCTTGTTCCTTCTCTCAATTCATCTTCCTATCAATAACTGCTATATATTATTAATTACATTCTTTTTATAAGAACCAGTAAATTAGAGTTCAGGCTGGTTGTTCTTAATTTTTTCGAAAATCTAAGGCTGGATTGCTCTTAATTTGTTCCTAAATTAATAGGGTGTAAGCAGTGCGATTGCTAGCTTTTTCTCTCTAGGGAGGTGTTCAGGCCTCACTTGCCAACAAAATGAGTGAGACAACCTTAATTGACCGACAAATTTTAATATTCATCGGAAAAGCACCCACACATTGCTAAAAATCCTCGATTTTGAGAAGAACGTTCCTCAAAATTGCATTTTGCAGAAGCTCAGCCTCAGCTTGTTCTAAATTTTTTCTTAACTTCTGGCCAACTTTGAGGCTGGTGTTCTTATATAATTGTTCTATTAAAAAAATTTCATTTAAAGGAAGATTTGGTCACACAATGTTGCCTATGTTGTCTTTATCCTGAAGTTTTCCCTTATTTTAGACCCGGTTTACAAGAGATGTCACCCGGTTTATATGCATTTATTCGGGAGATGATGTATCCCTATATTTTTGGACCCTCTGTTCGACTTTTTGGATCGCCCTTCATTGGATCGCGTTTAAACGGCTGGATCTGCCCTGGATCGCGCGTAAACTTTTGGATCTGCCCTGGATCGCGCGTATACTTTTGGATCTGCTCCGGATCACGTGTAAACTTTTGGATCTGCCCCGGATCGCGCGTAAACTTTTGGATCTGCTCCGGATCACGTGTAAACTTTTGGATCTGGTCCTGATCGGAGCCTTTAACCTTGCAATCTCGGGGTTTTTTAACAACTTCTTTTGTGCGCGAATTTTCAAAGTGCACATTCGTGCGGTGACTCACTGGGTTCCGATCCTTTGTATGGTTTTGGACTTGATCGGATCCATTCTTATCTAGGCATATTGTAAAAATGGTCCTAGCTTCATTTTGCATCTATCTAGCCTATCCTTTTTTGAAATATCTTTTACATGATTTAGAATTTAAGATTGATATCAAGATCAACAATAAATGAAACCGAACCGGGTCTTACTCAAACCAATCTGGATCTACTTTGCCAGCAAAATGCGAATGTGATTTGTTTGGGTTATCAGAATCTAGCTGCATCGAATATTTTTTTTACTTACAACATGGATTCGTTTTTTAAAATAAAAGATATTACAGGCTTATGGATATATTTCGTGTACACCTAAACCATGTACAAAAGCTATAGCCCCTGGGGCAAGAGCGTCGCAAAAACTCCTCCGCCACCATCTCGTTTCTTTAACTTCTTTCTCTGCCCCGCCCCCTAAACGTTTTGCATTCGCTGCGCCAATGGGCTTGAACTTTGTTGTGGAAGTATAAAAGGTCCACACAACAAATATAGAAACCTTTCAGGCAATACTCGCACACATAATATTTTTTGAGTGCCCATCAAGGTGGTGACAATTCTTATTTGGTTCTCCGCCTTTCCTTTACACTCTCTGAATTCATGCAAACATCACAAAACAAGTGTAACTTTATCATAAACATTGCACTCACTTTGCCTTTATCTAAAGTAATTGGTTTTGAATTCACAGGATGAAAAAAATGCAATATTTACAACCAGTGTTTGGCTTCGTATGTCATGGCGACACAAAAACCTTGTGTGGAATTCATCCGAGTACGGATCGATAAAAGAGTTGCGGGTGAATCCGGATCGACTTTGGGTTCCAGATATATTTTTGATTAACAAGTAAGTCGGTATTACTTTCATAGCGAACACCTTATAAGGGTTTGAGAAAGTAAACTGTGTGATATTTGTGTCATGAATGTGTGATATTTATGATTTTACATAAGCAAATTCCATTAGATAATGGCAGAAAACATTCGTACGTGAGAATCTTATCGTAGACTACCTTAGTGATAATTGCCCTGGCCCGTTAAAATATTGAGTACCATACGCATGAACTTTACTTAGTGCAGTGTTTTTCTCTCGTTAATGGCCTAATTGAAACTTCAAAATAACGCACTTCTTGCATTTTTGCATTAGTAATCCTTTACTCTCTATTGTTTGATGTTAAGACCCCTGGGTGCAACAACACTTTCATGGACCCATAGCTTTTCCCAGAATTTCTGTTTCACGTTCAAAGTCAATTGAAGGGACAACTCCCTACCCAACGCTATACGGAGTTCACTGTAGTCCATTGGATATCTGCAGGTCACAAAGTTAGGATCTCGGGGTATACATCGTGTTTATATTATATTTGATTTGTTAACCCTTGTAAAGTACAAAAGCGTGTTTCTTCAATGCTGTTGATCCACATATAGTTTTTTCAACTGTAATTTCATAATTTTGCAGTTGAATCGACCAGTAGATAATTTATTGCTTCTTCTTCCAGTGCCGTCGGTAGTTTTGAAGTGCAAGGAGCCTTGGCTAAAGTAATAGTCCGTTCGGATGGTGAAGTAATTTGGGCGAATCCTGCCATCTTCAAAAGCTCCTGTGAAATGGACATAAAGTACTTCCCGTTCGATGATCAAACATGCACGCTGCAGTTTGGATCGATGACGTATAACATCTCATCGAGCAAAATCAAACCAGCCAGTGACCATGTTGATATTAAGAGGTAGGCTAGAACTCTATATTTTCCTGTGAAATGTGCCTTTGAATAGGATAGATTTGTCTTTTGAACCAATCCATTTATAAGAATTTTTGACATCTTCATAGCCTTTCCAAAAACCATCACATGTTCTTAAAGGGGCCATATATTAATGACGTCACCTCGAATATGAGGATTTTTAATTCCCCTTCCTCACTGTCAACACGGTGTCACCAGCTTTCTGACCCCCAAGTATAATATGACGTCACATTTCACATTAACCCCTCTCCTCCACTTGGAACTTTTTTGATAAGTTGCGATTGTCCATGAGCGGACAGGAGGGATGAAATCATCTCATGTTTACATGCAAATTCTATTCCAGCTTCGAGCTTATGGCTTCCTTCCTTTTAATCCCACCTCTACGCTATATGTAATTTTTCGCTTTGCAATGTGTACGCATGTGCATAGATAAGAATTTTATCCCACCCTCATCCCAGACAGTTTTGTGTCCACATAGGAAAATTCCATCCCAATTGGTAAAATTGGCAAGCTGACAGCAAGGTCTCATGAGGCTTAATTACAGAGCAAAGTTTTGTAATTAAAAGATTGCAAATATAAGGAATAATAAGAACCACGAATGTTCTCATTATTACATTGCAATATCTAATGTGAAAATGACATCATCGATTGTAACGGCGCATGTGCATATGAATTATCATGCCAAATTTTGAAAGCCAGCGGGCTTTCGAACAAATTCTGGTTTAAGTTAATGCCCAATTTGTTTAATTTCTTTCTGACTAAACACAAGTTTGCACTTCTCTGACGAAAAGGAAGGTTTACTTGTTCGGGAGACGAAACTATCAGTCCTTTGTTTCGAAACAATACCGTCTTAAACCAATCAGCGTTGCGGGGTCATAGCACATGCGCATTAACAACAGTATTCGCACAACTGTTCTGTCTGCAACCACACAATTCTTAAACTTCCTGCCAGGGCTTCAAGTGATAATGCGCATGTGCAATGACCGCGAAACGGGGGCTAGTGCATGTCTGAAAGACGGGCATGATTCATCTCCCGAACAATTACGAATGGTTACAAGCAAGTGCTCTTTATTTTCATGCATCTTCACGATTGAGGTGGGGATGATGCTACATCCCAAACAATTATGACCTATCTGCCTCAAACGAGTCTAAACACTAAAACAATGTAGGTATGGACAACAAATAATTATGATAGAATTTTGAGTCTAGTGAAAAATTTTTTTGTTCATTTCCTTATCCAGGTACATAGAAAGTGGAGAATGGAAGATTCTAGAGACGCAGGTACGAGACTCTGTCGAAATGGCGGACGAAGGCAGCTATGCTGTGATCACCTACTCAATCAAAGTGCGGAGACGAGTTCTCTATTACGTCATGAATTTTATTCTTCCTTGCGTCCTTATTGCTGTGCTCACTGTTCTGGTCTTCCTGCTGCCACCTGAATCAGGCGAAAGAATCTCTTATGGAATAACAGTTATCTTATCGTTTACGATATTACTTATAATGTTATACGTGAGTATATCATTATTTTTTGGTTAAATGAGGCAATGCTTATATAATGATTGAATGGGTTTTATACTAAAGTGCTCTAGCAGCCAACGCGAAGTCAGAGTGTTGCCCAGAAATCGCAGGGGGGGGGGGCTGAGAGGGCCTTAGCAACCCCCACCCCCCCCCACCCAATAATTTCCAAAATGTGCTTAAAACCATACAAAAAATTGCCCAGCTCTCTTTTTGAGCATGTTTATTGCTTCCTCGTGAAATGTTTTAGCCCCCTCACTCTGTAATATGCTCCGCGGTCGTTGATGTCGCCTGATATCGTTCGATCATTACACTGCATTTAAACTGCAAACATATCAAGAGATACCCGCTGTCAATCGATAAAAATATGTTAAAATTACCATAATATCCCTAGGTGTCTGATACCTTATAAATTAGTATTATTTTCGTTCTTTTTGTAGGAAAAGCTACCTGTAACCTCATCACAATACCCTCTTATTGCGGTTTACTATGCTTGCACCACTTTTCAAGTCTCTATCGCCTTGGCTCTCTGTGTCTGGGTTTTACGTTTCTATCATCACGACCCCCCAACAGATGAACTTCCAAGATGGGTAAAGGTGAGAGTTTTAACAAAAACTAAGCTTTTTCAGCAATTCAAACCTGCTGTTCTACCTGCAATCCAAACAAAGTGTCCAATTTAACAAAAAAGAAATTTGACATATGAAAATTGATCTAGTTTTTGGTGTGATTTTCATAATCAAAGTATTTCTTTTCACCTGCCACTTTCACTCTCATAAAATTTCTTCACAAAACTGTCATTAAGAAAAGTCTTAGCCAAATATTTAATAATTGCACCTGTTGGCATGGCCTTTAATTTATACTCAAGTTTCAAACATTTCTAAACCTTTTTACATTTTCTTTTGAAGGTTGTTGTTTTAAATTGGCTGGCAAGACTTGTCTTACTTAAGAACTCAACTGATCAAGTGAGGCAGGAGTTAATTCTCCACAGCTGGGAAGAGCGTGAGTATTGATTGCGCCGTCTGCAAAACAGCAGGATATTTAATACCTTGTTCTTCCTTTTTGGTTTCTTCGTCTACTCAACTTTCTCTTAATCTTCTTAGACTTGCTTTCTCTTTCTCTTGCACAGCATTTTTTTGATCTCACCATCTAGTCTTCCTTTTTTCTGAAAAATAATATCACAGGTGTATTACCACTTTCACTCGAAATACACCAACAATCTAACTTACGTCACATGTATGCGTATACGATGCCAGTGCTGACTCAATGCTTACAGTATTTCAAAGAGTTACAGATACTGCCCTTTTGTGCTCAAAAATATGCACAAAGGAAAATGGTACTCAGGGATTTGAACAATACTGTTTTGAGGGGCTGGTTCTGAGGTATTGCTTAGATGAAACGAAGCCTACCTTTGCGTACATTGATACTGTCAATTTACCGTTACAAGGAAAAATCCTGGCCTAGTCATTTACTAAAAGTACATTTAACAAGGCACATTAACTTTAAATGTCCATATGTTGTGCTGGTTCTTCTATGAGGAGCACTTTTTCTGTGATACTCAAACGACTATCATACCTTCAATAATGCAAGTATATTCTTTTACAGTGGCACACTCAAAGCAAAGAAGATCTAAAAATGCATTGACTGTCGTAATGAACAGTATCTTTAAGAAAGAAGAAGAATCAGCAAAGCGTGAAGAGTGGCGCATTGTGTCCACAATCTTGAACCGTTTGTGTTTATGGATGTTTGTAGCCACGGGCTTTATCACATTTATTGCTGTTTTCCTTGGATCTCCAAGAGCTAGAGCCATGGAGCTTTAGTTTTGCACATATGCCTACGTTTCGTAAGCAGTGTTGCTCATGCTTCCGCGCAGAAGATCCGGAGAGATCTTAAGGCAATGGGGTGGACTGTTTATGACACTTCCTAAAAGTCAATGGTACAGCATGTCTCAAGATTTGCCGAATGATACCATGATGTTTTCTCGGCATCGTGTTACAATGACGCATAGCTGGCTACGATGCATCGACATGTTTCTTGTTTCCGACAATACAATCTACATTAATACAATTCTGATTCTATATACTCGTATCGACCGTATAAATTGCTAGTAATTTCATAAAATTGTTTGCCTTGAATATACCAAAATCAAGAAGCATTCGATCTTACAGCTTAAACTACTTTGTAATTTAAAAATCTCAGTTGCTGGCTGTTTTATTAACGATATGGTTAATGTTGGCAGGATATGGACGCTGTAGCTTGTTCAATCAAGTATCTTTCTAATTTTCTGCGATGCTGCAGGAATACTATTAGACTTGATACTGATCTACCTTTTAGCAATTTAAACTGAAAATTTCTCTGAAATCACCTTTCAGTACTTCTAAGAATATAATACCAATCAAGTTTCCTCTTTTTACTTCAGAATTATCGGGCTATCAGAGCTACAGAATTCTCTCAAGAGCTTTATAAGCTGATGCAAGGCTATAAAGCCCCGGAACCTAGGCTACGTATTTACCTGAGGTCAGCAACATTTTTTTTCAAGTTGAGCAGTTTACAGACCGACCCCTGAGGGGGATTGAATTCTTCCAGAATTTCAGCGTTTGGTCTTAATACCCAAATGAATCCTTATGGGAGGATTTAAGCAATTTTTCATTAAAAAATGTTACTGCTAAAGTTATTGCCGTTTATAATTTATTGATAAAAACGATACTTACTTAGGCCTTAGTAATTCCAAGACCCTTCTACGAAGACGCCGATGGCTGAATGCGGTTGGACAGAAGAAAATAACTTGCAAAAGGGTAAAACAATCACCGTAATAAAGAATTGTTTTAAAAAAAGTTTTTTTGAGTTTTTTTAAATCTTGTTAATGAAGCGGGCGTAAAATTCTTACTTCTTCTGGTAAAGGAACAAGGCATAAACAGGAAAAAAAGATAGCGAAAATGCACTTGAATTGAAGGCTAAATTGAAAATAATTTTGGAAAAAAGATTAGAGAAGGGGTTGATTCATAAGTAAACTAATGTTGAATCGGGGGGGGGGCGAGAAGAAGGTGTAAAATAGCCCTTTTTCAGACCCAATCCAAACGTGACCCCCTCCGTTATATGATGCATTTTTAAATAACCAAACAGAAGTGTATTATTGGATAATGTTGTACGCATGTTAGGCAGCCGTAATTATCAGTTCAACCTAACAAACAGTTGCTTTATATATATTTTCATTTAAACATCGTGTAGAAAAGCGTTCTTTTTTCTTGACCTTCTTACCTTGTTTGTCATTTTCTAGGATTTACTTAATCAAAATTTACTTTAAAAGGTTTTCAGATTGATGGAATATGGCTTGAGCCGAGGGGCAAATCACTCCAAGAAAATCTCGTACACCTTTGGTGGAAATTCTATTGTTTTATCTCAAAATTCTCGGAAATCCTTTTGTTTAAAGGAAAATCCCGTACGCTATTTGCAAGAGTGAATTGCCCCTTGGCTTGAGCATCTCTGCAACCCAGAACGTTCAAAAGCATTTGATGAATCTTTTTGGCCTTTCTTTGCCTCTCAGTCAGGCTCTCTTTTAGATTTAGGCATTTGATTGGTTGTATAACTTAAAAAAGCAAAGGGCATCCTTTTTGATAAGCTTATTCGAGTGAATTCTCCAGTTTCTACTATGATGATAAGGCAATGAAAAATTGAACAATTGATGAGTACTTGAGTAGGCTTGATCTATCTGATGCTGCCTGATTCAGAACAAGTAAGGCCCTTTAGTTCTGACATCAGACAATTGAAATAAAATGTGTGGTGTAAAAACATTTCATAAGTAAATGTTATAGATCTTTATGAAATTTTTTTAAATAGATCTTTATGCCAAAATGATCATCAATCTCATGTAACATTAAAATTAAACCTAACAAATACACAATTACAACGAGTAACAATTCTAAATACTTTTAAGAATTTAAAACAAACTGATCTTAAACATAAACAATGTAAGTTGTGAAATATGCTCAGTAACAAAACGGGATTTACTTGTTGCCATCTCTTTCTTTAGGTTTTTTCTGCAATTTCAAGGTCTTTCCCCTTTAGTCATTGTTTTGACTTTAAAACCCTGGGCTATCAAGATTGTATATTGATGTGTTCTCTCTTTTTTTGACTTATGCATCGTGCACAATGCTGATTACAACGACAGATTGTAAGATATGTGCTATGTAGGTTCAAGATGCACGCTATCCAGCTAGCAGTCATACAATCATACACGTATTACGTATATATGCAGTCATACACGCTATCCAGCTAGCAGTCATACAATCATACACGTATTACGTATATATGCAGTCATACACGCTATCCAGCTAGCAGTCATACAATCATACACGTATTACGTATATATGCAGTCATACACGCTATCCAGCTAGCAGTCATACAATCATACACGTATTACGTATATATGCAGTCATACACGCTATCCAGCTAGCAAATTACAGAAGGCAATTGATCCAGAAAAATAGTCTTTGTGAGATGAATTTGCAACAAATTTACCCTACCTGTTTTGCTTCATCTATCTACCCTTTTTACTTGCAAGGATTCGGCAAGGCATTGAAATTCAGGAATCTTTGCCCAAAATTTACGACTTCCATTTATACTAGCCCTCCATAAGAAAGACCAAGATACAACTTTTTGTTTGGGGAGGGGGAGGCCAGTATTGCTTATTTCATATTGCTTATAATAATATCAAATTTTTCGAACGTACATTCTCGGCAAAAGGGGCCCGAGCACCCACCATTTAGAACCCAGGCTACCGGAACATCACCCCTTGACCCCAATGAGAGAAAAGTCTGAACTGCCACAGAAAAAACAGTTCTTGCTGTAATAGAGCTAAAATAAAATTTATTTACCAATTACACTTTGTTTTGTTTACGTAGCTATTTTGTATATTATGTAAATTCTTAGGAAATTCCCATTGTGCTGCATTCCATTCTATTGTTGTAGGATTATGTTATACTACACTTTAACTACAGTGCAACTAAGTATACAGAAAATAACTCACGGCCCTTTTCAACTCGATATGTGGCAGAGGGGAACAGAGAGAAAACGACTTCTTTCGTCAGCACTTTGAGCAAACAGCAAGATGCTTCTCCCAAAAAGCCTAATTCTTAAAACTACTACAGCGTATTTATAGATGCAAGCATTTTACAAGTATTAATTACAACCAATCAGCTAAAAACACGTAAGACCTAAAACCAAAAGAAACATCGATAATTAACAGCAAAGTTATCCGGAAATAAAGTGTTTGTCAAATATTAAAATTATAGCCTACAATGGTTCGAGTTCAAAATGTCAAAGTTCAAAAATTAACATCGTTCGATTTGGTGTACAGCATACCCCCTCATTAGGATTACATCATGTTGTGTAGTCATTAGTTTTTTTAGGCAACATTTCATGCTTAGTTATACTCTTCTGGTAATTTCCTTGTGCATATAAATAGACGTATATAGTTAGATTATAGTTCATAGACTATGGTTAGATTTAGAGAGATTCGGAGAGAGATTCAGAGGGTACAGACATGAAAGGCTAAACATTAGAATGAAGCTAACCGTATCGCCCGAAAGCCTTGTAAAAGCTCTTGCGGCCCAGTTTGTATTCAGGACAGGCAGTGCTTGAGCAAGGACGTAAATTGGCAGATATTTTTTTGGGGGGGTGAAGGGCTCAAAATTTCCGACTGACAAAGGTCAATTCTAATTTTGTATAAGGGCCTAAACTTTAATAGTTTTTTACCAAAAAAACCTTATAAATTTTCTCGTAAATAATTATTCAGCTGTATGACAAAGTTTATAGATTTCGTAGATTTGGAAAATCGAGCATAAAGACTGTCAGTTTGAAGTTTAATTAGTGCATCAAAACATACGTAGTCCAAAAATCAGGTGTTAATTTTTCTCCTTCTACGACTTGCCCATTGCTCCACTATCTTATCTAAAATTACGTTGTCCAAAATGTCTTTCTCGCAAGTAAGAACCATAAGGTCGTTTAGTCTTTCACAGGGGCGGTGCCAAGAAATTCAAATTGGGGGACTCGAGTTGATAGAATTATTAGACTAAAGAACCATCTTTTGAAAAACGCACTAAAATGCTTCACGATATTTTATGCCTATTATTTTATGGGGCACTCGTCATGGAAAAAGGAGAAAGTTCTTGACAAATCATGGGAAATGTACTGCGCTTCCTTAGGCATTGCTGAGAAATTATATTTCGTATCCCGTTTTTAGAAGCAATTTGATTGAATGATTATCACACTATCCCCATTACGACGAATGTAGTTGAAAATATTTGCATTTTCGTACAAAACTTCGTTTTTCCTGTATTGCATCGCTTCTCATTCTTTTAAGAACTGCCTTTTACCAAACAAATATTTTCTTCTGAATTTATACCTTTCTTATGCTTTTATTTGAGCTACAGTTCACAAGGTAATTTGAGTGAAAACTTCAATTTTCACAAATGATTCAAGTTTTCTCCAATTAACCTATCTTTCTACCAACAGCTTTAAATTTTCCCACTGTCCTCAAATTTTCCGACTGGATGAAAGATTAGGGGGTGTCACACCCCCACACCCCCCAGTATTTACGTGCCTGTGCTTGAGAAAGACTGCGCTGTACCTCGTTAGTTTTTGTATATTTTGGGATATTGTTATAAGTATTAGAGTTCGCGGAGAACCGTCGTTGATTATGTTAGCAGTTTGATTAAAGTTTAGCCTTGGAATGTTACATGATGGAAAACGGAAGAAAAGTTTAGCTGCTCGCACATTTGTCATTCTCTAAAGTTTCAGTCTTAACAGTATATCTCTCGATTAAAAAATCAATTTTACACTGCCCCCTTCCTGCCCCTTTTTGAAATTCCTACTTACCCCCCGAATTTCTTACTTACATCATTCATACAGTACATTACATAATTATCTGGGTCACATGAGCACGATGGATCTCTTTGGGTCTTTTTTTCAATGGAAAAATTTGGGTTTTGGGGCGTTGTATACTTTCGCGCAATGCATGATGGTAAAATTCTCCCCAGTCTTGTGACCACCATTCCAGGTCAGCGGATGCTAAAATATTCCTGTCTTGGTATCGCCTGAGCTTGTGAGTGTTGGTGTAGTTCTGTCTTGATTAATATCAATTTTATCGCCATCTACAGTGTAGAAACCAGCAAATCAATATGTCTTCAGATGAACCAACATACGTAGCATTTTTCGGTGTCATGGGAGCAACTTCGGCTATGGTTTTTAGTGGTAAGTAGACGAGTTCTTTCCATCCTTCTGGGAGGGCCTAAACAGCTGGATGGTCGCTTGACCAGTTGGCATCATTGATTCCTGACCTTTATGAATTCCTTTTTGGTTACTTCGATGTATCTTGTAATACTTTCTCTTTCAATTTCTTCAATTAATTGATGGTTTAATGATTGCAAAGATGAGGTGCTATAATTATAAATGCAACGCTGAATTTTCTTGGATGCCATGCATGTTGGATGTCGGAAATCCATTTACTCATTTCATTCTACGCTAATTAAAATTTTTCAATAAGTGTAATTGCAACATATCATACTTTGTTTTTAAAATGTTCGAAGAGTCAATTTCTTGTGCTTTTTTGTTCGTCAACCATAAAACAAACATACATACCTACATATGAACTGGGTCAATGAATTTGTAAATGAATTTGTTTTCACTCGTATAAAGTGATTCTTGACCAGAGCCATCACCCTTGACTGTTCTTGTTTTTAATTTAATTTAATTTATTGCTTTTCTGTTTAGCTCTCGGAGCTGCTTATGGAACAGCGAAGAGTGGTACTGGCATTGCAGCCATGAGTGTGATGCGACCGGAATTGATCATGAAATCTATTATTCCAGTCGTTATGGCTGGTATTATTGCTATTTATGGCTTGGTCGTAGCCGTCCTTATTGCTAACGGATGTATGTATATTTGCACTGTATATTTATAATAATTATATGAATTATTAGTCAACAAGTTTAGATTGCCCTATCAGTGAAGCAAGTCATCCCTGAAAAATATTTTATCAAAATACCAACCTGTTGGTTTATCGATTCGTTTTAGTTTTTCATTATCCTCATAGCTTTCATTACATTTCATTTATTCTAGCTATCTATGTTTATGGCTGTGAATGATAGGTCATTTTCTTTATTCAAGTAGACTTTCCTAGAGGAAGCACCCCCCACTTACAATGCCTAGGTCATTGACCAGACACATGTTTCTTTCTCAATAACACACATAACAGGCTATTTGATTGGGCTTACTGAGACCATATTAGTTAACCATTGTTATTAACCCCCACAACCCCACTTATTTTATAGATAAATAAAACCTCTATATATGTATTAAGTTTCTTTGTATCTGGCTAAGACAAATCTGTTTGAATTATGAACATTTTCATCATGTTTTCAATTTGTTGCAAATCGGCCAGGCAGTAAGCTAACACTCCCAAAAACTGTGGTTACAATTTTAATCTATATATTTACTTTCTTCTTTACAGGACTAATTATTGTTATAATGATGATTTAAGTAGATGTTGACAGTACCTGTATTGATCACACTATGATTTTTGTTTGCCACATTATCTGATTAAAGACAATTTTTGTTTTTCCCTAAAAAAGGTGTAGAATTCTTGAAAGCCATCCTACAGCCCTCATAGATAATTTTTAGTTAAAATGCATCATACAATGAATAACTTTTTTTTTAAAGTTATCATTCATAACCATATTGTTTAGTAAAATGTTGTCTTTTTTGTTTCAGTAAATTCAAAGTCTTACAAATTGTTCAAGTAAGTTATTTTTGTCTTCTTTGGTGTATGAAATATATATAATATAAATATATAACATATTATGGTAGATAAAATTGATTGTCCCAAGAAGAAAATGATATCTATATGTGTTAAGGAACAAATACTTTCATAGACTGATGAAGTCCTTTTTTATTTGTCTTAGAATTGTGACTATTTTCATATGTGTATAAGACATATATATAGTAAAGATATTCTATCTATGACTTTAATGCTGTGTTACAATTATATATATCTTTTTTGTTTTACTACCACCAAAATATGCCCTTAAGCTACCGTCTTTGTAGTAAACTTGATCAAAATAATTTTTGTCTATGATCTTCTATGAAATTTCAAAGCACATTCTCTTGTGAATACTGTATATAAGTTGATATTACTTCTTATATTGAATGAATACAATTGCTTTTTATAGGAGCTTTGTTGATCTTGGTGCTGGATTAAGTGTTGGCTTGAGTGGTCTTGCTGCAGGCTTTGCTATTGGCATTGTCGGAGATGCCGGTGTTCGTGGCACTGCTCAGCAGCCAAGGTTGTTTGTTGGTATGATTCTCATCCTTATTTTTGCTGAAGTGTTGGGTCTCTACGGTCTCATTGTTGCCCTCATGTTGACCACAAGACCATGAAAACAGTATCTTATGGACAGAATAGTATTTAATGGGATAATGAGCTTGATAAAGAACTGAAAATCAAAAGAAAGAACTGAGACAGTGCCTTCTGAACAGAAGATTTAACAACACAATCTTATTTGAACATGATTTTCAAAAAATATGACATGTGAGTGAAAAATACCTCTGATTTTCAGTATTATAAACAATTCCTTTTTAATAGGTCAATGCTTTGTAAGAAGCTCCTGTCAAAGTTGCATGAGAAGTTAAAATTGTGGGTCTCTGTTGCAATTGTGGTATTCAAAACTTTGTACTACAATTTGGGTTACAGGTTACAGGAGTTTTTATCAAGGGGAAGGATTGTGAAATTCGTTTGCCCATGGAAACTATTATATCATGCAAAACTGAATGCAGATGATCTTAGCTTTTTGGCAGGAACTTCTTTCACAAGCTTGTAACTTATATTAGCCCAGTGATGAATAAATCATTTGATATTTAATGTTTTCTTTATTTTAAATTCAGTAATTTAGAGTTCATGTTTGTGAGATAAATTTCACGAGTCTCAGTTCTCTGGAAAAGCAATGTTTTCTTTGTAGTATTCCAATTTGGTTAGAAAATTTATAACTGAAGTGAATCTCTTTTTTTAAATTACTTTCAGAACTTATATTGTTTAAATGGCAAAGGAGTCATAAAGTCTTGCCTGTTAATTGGAAGTTTCCTCAGTTGTTCTCTACACCTATTTAGAACAATTTTGTAAGAACACAAGCCTCGAAATTGGTCAATATAGTTAAAAACAAATTGAAAGCAAGCTGAAGCTGAGATACTGTAAAATGTAATTTTGAACAATGGGACATTCCATATCAAGTGTACCCAAAAAACCTCATTTGCACAGTGACCCTCATAGATTTTGCTGATAATTTTTGTAGGTGTAGTGCTCTATAAGAAAATCTTACACCTAAAATTTCAAGGTTCTAGGTCAACCAAGGTCAGCTCAATTAAATCAAAACTGAACTCAATATTTGTTTACAGTCAAATCTTGATATAGCAATCATTTTTGCAGTTGTTTTGTACATACCTTTGTTACATTATATCAAGCTTTCATGAGCTGGTAGCATTTCGTGGCCTGACAAGCTTCAGTATAGAAAACCTTTGAAAATGGCATTTTTACACATACCTGCCTGCTTTAGATGAGTCATTGTGTAAAATCCCAATCTTACCCCACTCTGAAACTTTCTGTATCAATTTTCTGGTAACCAAGGAATATTTGAAAAAAAATTCATCAAAATCAAAATTGCCCCCTGGGCGTGGTCAACATTTGAAATTTTGGTGCACTGTTTATGTGAGTATACTGGAGAGACAGAATTTTTGTGTTGTTTTTTTAGTCAGATTCAGAATTACAAGAGCTTTTATTTGATACCAAAATCTTTGTTGTAGGTGCTACAGAACAGAAACGATGGGCATCTGGGTGTGGTCCGGATGCCCCCAATTTTAGGAATTTTGCAATTTTTGACCTGTCATAACTCGGAAACGGGTTGACATAGAACCCTCAAATTTTGGGTGTTAGCTTTTCTTATAGAGCTCTACACCTACGCAAATTATCAGCAAAATCTATGAGGGTCACTTTACAAGCTGGGTACACTTGACATGGAATATCCCCAATGTGTCATCTTAAAAACAAGTGAATTTTCAGTGAAATTTCAAAGTTGTTGTCAAATGAAGGTTGTCTCACTCACTTTATTCGCAAATAAAACCTGAACCCCTAGAGCAAAAAGCTAACCATTGCTCTGCTTGCACCCTCTTAATTTAAGAATAAATTAAGAACAATTCAGCCTCAGATTTCTCCAAAAAATTAAGAACAGTCAGTCTGAACTTAAATTTGCTGGTTCTTACTAATAAGATTACTTTTTGATTGGATGCTTATATTTATTTATACCATCATCATAATTGTCACATTTTTCATCATTTTCAATTGTCATCATCAATAGTTGATTGGTTATAGTTCTTTTGGCTAGATTTTGAGGCAGGCATTAGTATTTTGATGGTTTTCTAATAAACTCTACCTTTAATACTTTACGTTTTTAGCAAGTTTCTTAACAAGAAAACCTGATTTTATCAATTTTTTACTAATTTGATTTGTTTGACCCAGAATAGGAATTGCTCCAAAGCTTCTTAAGTTTTGAAAATATGACCCTAGAATTTCAAAAGAGGATATTCAAAATGTGTAAGCTGCCACATAGCAGTGCACAAAGACTTATTAATATAAAGTTTTTCTAGGTCTACGAGTTTTACCATCTATTTTAAGGCACTTAACATTCCTTAATTAGCTGAAATTTTTTCTCTTCTCAAAATGACTGGTTTTCGCGTGACATTTCAACTTTACTTGATACCTGAGCAAGCTTCAAAATCTTTAAACCAGAAACCAGGAAACCAGTTTATAGAAGATGTCGGATTCAGTATTTGATTTAGTCTGAGAAACCTCAATATTAAAAAAACTTCCGTTCATGTAGTAATACATGAAACTTATTATTGTATGCTGTTATTATCAAAACTGCGTTCCTTGAACTTTCAGGGGCTCTGCTTAGTAAGATATTTTTTAGAAGGCTTTCTGGCTGGTTTGTTGCAACTTTCGGGTTAAGTGGGAATTTTTCAAATCCCTTGGATACATAATTTTAAGGGGAAAATATATGAGTAAATACAGTGCCTCTTCAAGTTTTTTCCTTAAAAACAAATCAGTTCGTACTTAAATTTGCAATATCAGAGTCCCAATGAAATGATAATTTTAAAGGCTCTTGCGTAACGAGCATGCTTAAGAAATTGACTGTGTTTTGCATTTTCCTGCAGTACGATATTAGGCAGGTTTTGGAATTATAATGGGAAAGCATCCGGTTGCAAAAAGCCTTTGATGAATTTCGCAGGAAGTACTATGAGAATTTTCTATCGCCGAGTTGGCTTGGTTTGCTATGGAGTCATTATGATACCTTACCAGTGATGATGAACCAAGTGCAAACTTAAAGTAAAAAATTTATGTAAAAATTTACGCTGCGAGCAGGATTCGAACCTGCGAGGGAATATCCCATTGGATTTCGAGTCCAACGCCTTAACCACTCGGCCATCACAGCGTATGAGGCCAGGTGATCAAAAAGCCAGCAAGACCCAATGTTGAGAAGTTTATGATCAACAATTGTGAAATAATGTTGAAAAATAATGATAGATCGGTTTTGGAGTTTATTTTTTAAACAATGATAGAGATAGTGCTGTTGAGATACAATTATCAGGGTCTCCGATGAAGGGAGGCCGAGGAGCCATGGCCCGCCTCGAGCTTTGTTCAACATATTTTGCTTTAGAGCTTTGTTCAACATATTTTGTTATGGTTGTTAAATTTTCGCTTGCCCCCCTCCCCTCCACTCTGAAATTTGCGCCGGGGCCCATGGTTATTACATCCAGTCCAGAATCAGCGTCATTAGTTAACATTTGAAATGGTTTATAGGGGTAATGTTTATTGTCTAAATTTCGTAGCCAGGAGAACAATTTAAAAATATTAATACACCAAGATAATACCGAAACCCTACCTAATTCAGAAAAGACTGCATCAGTGGTACCTAGTTGATGACTTGACACTTAAAATATATTTACATGCTGCTAGATGAACCTTCTCAAGCTTTAACTAGTCGTTTGTTCCCCAGACATCTGATGCATAATCGAGGATAAGCATTATTGTATGGTCAAAAAAGTAGAAATAGAGTTTTGGTTGAAAACCAGGCCACTCCTTCGCTTGCCACGGCAAGAATACTTATACTGAACATTTTCAACGTGCACGGCAAAAGAACGATTTGATTTCAGTGTGACACCAACACCAAGATGTGTGCATTGTTCACATTCCTCCACGTTTTTACCTCCAAGTTTCCACAATAGCTTTTTCGGGCTTAGAACCTGATTTCCTTTGGAGCAAGAGATACCGGGGTTGAAATGATATTTTCGATTATGTAACCTCCTATGCACGCTTCTCTAGAGAAAGTGCTGGCGGTTTTTAGACAAGAATTTTTTGAACAATCTTTTTTCCAGGAATGAATTTGCTTACCACCGGCTTGATTCGAGGATGGCTCAGTTGTTAGAGGCGCTGACTACAGACCCAAGGGTCCGTGGCTCGAGCCCCTGGCATGACCAAACTTTCACCCAGAGTGAGGAGAGTCGCCAGCTCTCTGTAAGTCCAGGCATAGGAATCATGAGGTGTGGTCACATCGAGAGGAAGGACCAGGACACTGCTCGATAAGCATAAGCTTCTCAGTGTCTTAAAAACTACCTTCGGTAGAAACAAATACAAAAAAAAATACAGATTCAATTAAGTCTGTTGCTGCATACGCCAAGAAAACATTATATATGGTTTAAACTGAACTCGTATGGTTTCCATTCGGCGGATAGAACTCACAAAAACTGAAAGTCACCAGTGAGATTCTACAAGGATCATGTCCAGGGCCTCTCTTTTTTATCTTGTATGCAAAATTAACTTCGAAGAGGCCCTGTCAACATTCTGCTTTAACATATATGTTGATGACACCAGCATTTCTTTAGTGGGAAAGACCCTCTCCAACTTTGACTTGACGAAGGAGTAAAGGAGCATCATGAACTGGCATAAATCTAAATGAGGAAATGTGCGACTTCATATTTCTTGGTAATAAAAAACAGGTAAGCAAGTCCTCTGAAATTGGTTTTGGTAATATAATATCCAGATCATTGTAATATTCCATTATGGTAACCATCGCGTTAATTAAGACGAGTACATGTTCCTTCAGCGCGTCTATAGACTCTTGAAAGCTAACTAAGCGAAACTTATCGACGAAATGTCAGATCTCAGATATGAAATTAAAAGAACGACTTAGAGAATGCGACTGGAAGACTCAGGGGTTATTCTAACGTGGTTTTGTTACCGTTTTGTGGTGTTGTAAATTTGATTGGAAATTTGTTCGCAAAATATAAGAAATCGTTTGGTAAAACTATAAGAATTTCAAATATATGCAAAAATTTAACACAACAGAAGAATTATAGTAAATTGTCAGCAGGGACGGATTTAAGCAACAATGATTGGGCGTTAGACACTAATTGGATTTCTGTACACACCCTTCAGGTCACTGGTAAATGAAAGATTCGCCCATTTTTAAAATTCGATTTTTACCTTTATAATAAAGTAGATAAAAAGAAGTGGCGTAGCCAGTGTTGGAAGGTTGGATGGGCAAAGAGGAGAAAATTTTTGCTGACCACAACCTTGAGACTTTGGGAAAACACCCTGTTTTGTAAATGCGTTTGGAAAAGCTATGGCTTTTTTTTACGTGAAAATTTTCCAAAGTAGCCAAAAAAAATAAACAGTATTCAAAAGTTTCAAACTAAGCCTGTTCACCTTGGAGCATAATTTGCAAAATCTCCGACAAGCATTTCAGAATCCAGGTTTTTTAAGGATTGAAGAGCTTTAGCATTTTAAATAACGATCAATGTAAGTAAATTGTACCAGGAAAATTTTTTAAAATAATTAACGACTTTAGCATTTTAGTTATTATTTTATGTATATAGAACGTGGAGGACCTTTCTGCATCTAGCAACCTAGCCAATGCTTGCATAACATACGGATATACATATT